AACCCTAACCCTAACCTAACCCTAACCCTAACCCTAACCCTAACCCTAAACCCTAACCCAGGATCCACGTTTGCAATGGGATCGCATCTGGGAGGGGAAATATACATAGTGATCTCATCACAGGGCATTACGAGATATGTTATCACATCAGTACGATCACTGATCCAGTCATCAGATCTCCTCTGTTGGCATCAGTGCTTGCCAATGTTTGCCAGTCTGTCTATCAGATCTGATGAACAGGTGACGCGGCAGTGTTGATTCGTTTTGTTTGCTTTGCGTTCGGTCCAGGCCCTAGTGGCCCTTTGGTCAGGCTTGGACTGATGCGGCATCAATTCATCGCACAGCTACTGATCCCTAGTAATCTTATCTTGATTAGATATGATAGGCAATCTTATTGTCTCGCGTCGTCGATCAAGGTCTATTGTCTCTATTGTCCTATTGTTCTTATTGTTCTAGGACTGCACTATTGTTGTGCGCATGTAATCTGAATGTGTAAGCAGGACCTGAAGAGCTTATAAGCGAAACAGGTGAGCCGGTGAGTCTTCACCAGCCTGTTGTCCTGCAGCAGCTTCCCTCTTCCTGTGTGTTTCAGCTACTAAACCACCCTAACCTCGGTTACGTGAAATGGTCTCAGCGAGCTGGCTTGTTAAATATTTATCTTTCAGCCGTCGCAGGGTCACGTGTATCAGCCCACCCGCCGGCCATTCCTGATATGTACTATCGTTACCATGAGCGCTATGGCAGTATCTCAAAGAAGTGCTTGCATGATGTACAGAAATACAACAAGTTCGTCCACAGTGTGGGCCACGCGATCAGCTCTCTGCTATTCGAGGAGGTGAGCCTGGGGCCTTAAATCCGACCTATGTCTTCGTCACACAGAGTCAGAATGAATTCAATTGGCTACAATATCTGTGTGCGGCATCGCAGGCCTCCGAAGCGCCTGTCAAATCACTCCGATCGACCCAATGTGGTCGTCGTGGGCACGTGAAACGGCCTCTTGACGCTCGCTGACAAAGCCACGTGATCCTTGTAGCGCGCCATGTTTGGTCTGTCACCCCTTGCTTCTTCTTCCCGTCATTGTTCCATCAGATGCAGCAGCACTTCATCCACACCAAGGGACCTCTGCACCACGATGGGTTCCGGTCTCCAGATGACATTGCCCATGCCTCGCACTCCATGCTCAAATTCCTCGACATCAAACCGCCTCTATCACACCTAACAAGCCAATTCACTCGCTTTTTCGCTGAGACTGAGATTTTCAGCCGACGATTAGAGATGCATGCTGCGATCAAGCTGCAAGGAGATCTCCCCGGTCAGTCGGAGACACTGCACTTTCTCGGATACCGCGCTTTGAATGCCGAGCCCCACAACATGAAAGCCAAGGTTACCGCGTGTCTGGTCGAGCTGATTGTGCCAGTTCTGCTTGCAGACCGACTCGCCTTCCTAGCCCAACCCCTCCGATTCCGTTCCCTCGTGCAACCCCGCTCAAGCGGGCACATCAAGAATTTCTCGAACGTACGTAAGACTTCGTCGCGCTGAACGTAACTTATCTGTGAGCCAGACCTCGGATTACCTCAGTATGGCGGATTTGCAGACATGCCTCTTATCCTGGAAGAACCGCCGAGACCGATTGATGCAGAGGCAAAAACGAGCGGTCGAACAGGGCACATCCCAATCCGATGTATTGGTGTGTCGGGAGATTCTAACCGAAGGGAGGAGGAATGACGCCAACGCGGTTCTCATCAATATTTGGTCCATCTGCTATATTATCAAGTTGAGACCCATGGATCCATGTGGATCCCGGGTCCAGGGGACCTTAAGCTACATGTGGATATAATTTTCCTAAATTTTCGTGGAGAAATGAGGTCGGGATCCACGTTTGCAACGGGATCACATCTGGGAGGGGAAATATACATAAGCCGACGGTTAAGATGTTCCAGTCCCTACGGTGACATACAACCCGTCACACCTAGTCACCGTGGACTGGATTCGAGTCTAGTGCGATCCGCGCAAGTGAGAGTAGACTGCGGTACGGGTGATGCCGCAAAAGGCTCTGCGCAACTTGCGGTGAGCCCACGTCCGGTTCCAAGGTGCGTGGTGAACGCCTAACGTGGCGCGAGACATTGAGGACCATTGGCGGAACAGGAGGAGGTCAAGCGGACATAGGTGCAAAAAAGAAACGCATCTAAGGAGCAGGTCTCCAAGCCCTCTCCCTGCGCTCTGCCCATTCGTACACCCAACTCGTCTGCTATCGTGCGTCAAGGTTCCAGATCTTCAGCTCTCTTTGTCGGGAACCAGAATTAGATTGTTACGCATAGCTTGTCCAGGTTGCACGATCCGTGCATTCGATCGAGAGGCGCTCTGATGACTGCACAGGTCTGTGCAATGCCACAAAAACCAAGACCGCCGTGGTTCCGATTTTTGGTGACTGCAGAGTCCATTGTTGAGTCCTTCCGTTGGGAAAGTGTCCCGGGTTGCTGACCAGGATGACCGGGGAGGGCGAGACAGCGCTGAGCGCAATAGCAGGTAGCAGTAGAAGACTGGTATTTGGGCGCTATGATGATTACATGTACACTAGGAGCGCCCTCGCGGGCAAGAACGCCTGCGTCGAGCAAGGGGGCGGGGGTGAGGTGTGTGCGTCCGCTAGGGTTGGCTCGGCATCTGGGGCTGGGTCAGCGGGCGTGGTGAGCACTCACCTGTAGTCCCCTCTTGTTGAGTGTAACCGTCCCCCATTTGCCCTGGATCCCTGCTGCCCAAGCCCTAGTCCGAGTTCCCCGGCCCATCCACCCCACACTCGTTCATTGGCGGCCGTGGTGGCCTGGTCGGATGTGTGAGTAGGGCGATGAGTACCCCGCAGTTTCGTTGTAGTCACACTGTCACGCTTCTGGTGGCCCGGCCTGCATTTCATCTTTTTGAGGATCCATGCGGACAGCAGAGGATCCGCCCAAAACGAGTCGCCCAATGCATCTGTGGTATTAGGGCCTGTCATACTTTCGAGTTTTTGTGTGAAAATCTCTATCTCCAGCCTATGGATCCTCGACTTGAGAGGCCAGCAGGTTTGATCACTTTGATGGCTGCCTGTCAACTTTCACCATGCTCCCATTTCTCGCTCCCTATTCCCCCACAATGGGTTCTGGCTAGTTTCGTCATGCGATATTCATATTAGGGACTTTTCCGAACATTTTGTCTCAATTGACCAAAAAAATCCAGGCACTCCGTGCCCCGGGATCCCCAATGCAGTACCCATCACAAAATTTGATGCGGCAGAGTGAAGATGGCTCCCTTCCGCACCAACCCCTGGCTCTAAAAATACAAAACTTGGGATTCGAGACCTTGAATACAATGTGCCTAGTCCCAGCAAAAAAAAAATGAAGATGTTGTGTAAGTAGGCTTTGGGATCCCCAGTTCATCAAAATCGGCCTGGTGAGATGATGCAAAAAAAGTGATCTGATTGTTGGGGGCTGCTACGTAGCCCCCGCCCCCCAACCCTGGGATCCAAGTGAAAAATGGATGAAGGGCCTCTAGGGCTTTCATACAAGCCAGGTTTCAAGAAATTTGGTTGAGAATTGAGCTTGGGATCCCCGATTGCAATGAGATCATTTATTTCAGGGCCAATACCACTAGCGAAAAGAAGGATCAAAACTGACAGATGACGCAGATGATCAGAAGAGGGCTTTCACAGAACGAAGTCCTAATGGGTGAATAGCCCTGGATGTTCTTTCAGCACAAACCGTGCAGGATGATGCACTCATATGGCAAAAGATTGCAGGTCGAGCAAGCAGCATCGTCGTGTTTTATTGAAAAATGGCTCGAACAAACCTAGATGCTCCGGAGGAACATTCTTCCATAACCCGTATTTGATACTGAAGTGGTTACATAGATCAGACGCGAAGCAGGGCGATTGCATTAGCACGGACGGTGGTTGCATAAGAGACATGAATTTACGATGTGCAGTGGCGGTGCGTCATTTTGATGTACAGCCACCCATCAATGACTTTCCCATCTTCGATGAATTTAAGGAAAGAGTGATCCGAAGGATTGAGGGCATCTGTTAATCGTAGCTCAAGACCACTTGAATAATCCGATGAATTGTAGACCTTTTTAACTGGACACGCGCGACAATGACTGAATATAACAAACACTGTTCCGGCGTTAAATCGAAAGGCACCTGATCACCCACCACATCTCACTGAAATTTTTGGTTTGCTCGGATACGAAAGCATGAAGTAGGATTTCTACAATACAGAATTTACAGACTTTGCGTGCTCATACAACCATAAAAACACATCCAAGTGGTTCTTGTATTCCACATCGGCGGGTGCGCCGGCTTTAGCGTCTTTGAGCGCCCAGGTTGAGATGTCGTGTAAATTTTGCGTGATCTTGAGCTCAGCTGGCATTACTTCACAGTCTGTTAGCCGAGGCACGCCCGGGGCCCCTGTGAAGAATGTATATAAGGCCTTCGGAATCACAGCTGTGCTTCCACAGGCGGCCCCGTTCCTTTCAACGAACTCGTGGGTCTGGTAAGTATCGAGCTTCCCCTATATTTCTAGTCAGTTGCTGATGATTTGGAGGAAAATGTCACTCACTTGTGGTCGGTAGCAGTGATAACACCAGCCCCGTTTGAGTCTAAACGAGCTCTTCTTCCATTCCAGGTATTTGTCGGTGTCTCGCGTGGCGGAGTTTTTGTCGCAGTCTGCTAATCCATGATCCCAGTCAGGGAATCCGCACACAAAACATGCAACACAGGATTTGTCAGGCTGTAGCTCCGCCAGTGCTGCATTAATGCGCTTGAATTTCTCGATGTACGAGCGGATCACTTGGTCATTGACAGCCTTCGCAAGATACACCGCCGGACCGGCGAGAGGTGTCTGTCTGCGACGAGATGTATTCGGCCTGAGAACACCATCTGTTGGTCTGCCTCGCTTTGCTGGAGGGCTGCTGGTCGGGAAAGGCCGAGCTGTTATCATTGACAACATGTCCACATCATGATGACCATCAGAGTTCGCCGTAGTTGTCCGAGCTGGGGCTGGCTGCCATCCTCGTGTTGACGGGCGGGGTCCAATCGCGGATGTTCTCATCCCAGTCGAGGAATCCATCCCTAGTTTGGCTCGGATTTCTGCAACCACCTGTCAGTCGATGCTATCTCAGTGATAGAAACTGTGCTTACTGGCTTGACGAGCGACGGCCGCCTTTCGTTGTGCTTGGTCGATTTGAATCGGGAACAGGGCATACATGTCATCCATGGTCTCTGCAGTCGGAGTTTTGGTGCATTGGGCTGGCATTGGCTGGGTGGCCTCGGTCTCGCAGATGTCGCAGAGGATCGCCCCGGGAATCGCAGCGCAAGTGATGCCAGCCCCGTCCAAGAACACAGAGATGATGAGCCTTCGACAGACATGCAAGAAGAGCCAGGGGATGAGAAACTGGGAGCCCAGCGAGATGTTCATGTTACTTTCCATTGCTTGCGATAACTTGGTCTCGGAAGAAGCGAAGGTGAGGACTCTCGCTGGCCTGCCGTCCCTCCCGGCCCGGTTTGCCTGCTGATGCGAATCAAGCAAACAGAAGGCAATGCCAATCTGGACGACCTCTCGAACATCTACATCGATCCCAGCGCCGAGGATACTGGTCGAAACCATAACACAGGTTTCTCCATTCACCCATGACCGGAATATTTTCTCCCTCTCCGGCACCGGGATCTGCGAGTGGAACGCAGAAACACCCAATTCCTTCGCGACTCGCTCGGTGTCCGCCCTAGAGCAGCAAAACACGATCATTCGGTATGGCGCTGTCTCAATGGCTTGGCGGAACTTGATATATTCAACCGCAGCGCCCTCATGCGTGTCGGAGAGGTGGCCCGCTGCGTTGATGGCCCGCGGGTGAACGGAGGCGATGTACTCGAGATTACCGCGCATAGAAGGGGTTCGAATTTCATGCACATCCTTGATGCAGAACAATTTCAGCAGGGGTTCAACGGTCATTGGACCGATGGACCCGCTGAGGATGGTGATGGGGATTTCAGCCCTTCGTGTGATCTGGCAGACCCTGGTCACAGACTCGCGGAAGTCGCTATCGGTGAGGAACATATGTCCCTCATCGAACACGAGGTTTGCGAGCCTCCGATCACCATGGAGTTGTTCGAGAAAACTGTGGAATGTCAACGGTGAATGACTAAGAAAAAAAGGAGGACTTGCCTGAGGAATGTCTCTCCGATGTGTTCTGGAGTGACATAGAGCAGATTATAGTCCGAGTTTACGTGCCCGTTCTGCGGTAGCCACTGTGCAGCTCGGAGGCCCTCTTGACGGGCACGCGTATGAAGGTCCAGATGCAGCCCGCTCACTGGGAGCACAACGAGAGTCACGAGCATGTAATCCATAACCTTGGCTTGCATCAGAACCGCGGTAGTCTTTCTGGTGTTGCATGCCAGGACGCCGAGAACATGGCGGTCCTTGATTCGCATGGCTTGGACTAGCTCGGCTTGCTTCGGGTGTGTCCACATGGCCTCGGGATCGTTCCGGAACTTTCGAAGATCATTGATCAATGATGGATGAACAACGACCGCTGTCGCAGGGGCGAGTCCAGTGTGTCTCGTCAAAATGTTCGATTCAGAGTTCTGACTGGCATAGAACTCCGCAAGGGCTTGATAAAATGGCTCGATGAGTTCTTCTTTCCGCGGTATAGCGGCTGCGACCACTTCTTCCATGACCGACCGCAACGCTGCCAGGCTTAACGGCTGTACCTGGACAGGTTTCTCTGATGAAGCGTCAGTCTGATGTACCTGAACCTGAATGCAACGACTGACCTTGAACGGCTAGCTCAGGGATCAGACTGTCGGGCAGTTCCTCGGGTGCATCAATTCGGATTGGATTTCCCCGGTCGATTCCCGTCTTCATGCCCCAGATGATGCAGGCAGAGATAAAATATATAATTCTCCGGGGATCTGCATTTGCCAATGTGTTCTGATCAACGCCGTAGTGTCGATAGCTTGTTGGGGTGGTGTGATTTTGCAGCAGGTCATAATATGTTGACTCGGTAGTCGGACAGTCCCCTGGCTTCCGAAAGAAACGAACAATTCCGCTGACAATCTTGCGGTATGCAAGGATTTTGAGGGGTATGCCAAAGATATTTTCCGTCGCTTCACCGAGTGCGTTGGAGATCTCATCTCCGGAGAAATCACGGCTGACCCCTGGCCACAAAGACATGCGATATCTGTCGGCATCTGCCGGAGAGCGCAGATGAGCGACCACCATGTGCTCCCAGGGACGAAATATCCCAACATTTATGACGAAGTCCCGTACAACGTCCTTTGTTGGAGCATGAGGAATGAAATGCTTTTGAAGGTACTGGGCGCTGTTCTTCTCCAGAACACAAACAATACTGAGCGTCTTGTACAGCAGCAGGACGCTACGGACAGTGCCGCCTCGAATGTTCCTCAAGGTCTGCCGTGCGAATTCTGTTCCGCGAACCGATGGCCCTGATGATATCAGGACTCGGATCGCGAGAATCATCCGGAGCTGGGAGAAGCATTCCAGCAGTTCGTAGCACGGCCCAGGCTTCCAGCGCACAGTCCCACCCTCGATATAGGTGAACTGGTCGATGATGTGCGGCTGTGACGCCATCCAGTCGCAGTACGCGCGATCCCAGCCCTCGACTTGCTCCGCGTTCTTTGGGTTGTCGAGGAAACAATAATCGGGTGCAAAGTCTCGCGGATTGTCAATGAACTCGGTGATGTCGAAAACGGGCCGGCATGTTTCGGGAATCTCCTGGTTGAAGAAGATTTTTTCCTTCAAGATGCTGTGGTATTGGTCGCGCAGAGAGTCGGTCAAGTCAGCAAATTGGCTGACTTTGATCCGGTGGCTCTTGTATACCAGAGATGAGCCAGCGGAGTCTTCAAACATGACCTCGGCGTCGTTGAACTCATCCGAGATTGGCTTGAGCAGCCGGTGGACGTCATAGATGAACGCGTAAGAGCTATCGGACTTTTCTGATATATATATCCGAACCAGCTCTAGTCCCCTATACAGTGTCAGAATTGATTGTCAAATTAAAATTGGGACTCACTGCTCTGAATTGAGGCGCTGTGCCTTCATTTCTCTCCGCATGAACAACAGCATGATTCCTCGGCCGATCCACTCTAGTCGGGCACACAAGTTCGTCATCTGATGCGCAGGCAGCCACGTTTCGGGCCCCATGAGTGACGCGACAAGATAACGGTTCATTGGTAAGACCCAATGCTCGGCGCTACCATCCGGTTTCATCTGCTGGTAGAGATTTAAACCGACTTTCAAGATTATATCCAAGGTTGTTTCTTCCTCCGGCATTTTGTTGCAGAAAGAATTGTACATTCCCTGAAGCAGTTGTACCTGCTCGTTATTCAGAGGAAATTTCACAGGGAGTGGCTTGTCATTGGCGGCGAGGGTCAGGGTATAGAGCATCTTTGCGAAAAGTCTCGAGTAGGAGGGAATGCTTGAATCGGTCAATTCCCGGTGCATAGCGCTAGTCGGGTCGCTGACGGGAGGTTCAGCGCGGCATTCAAAATCCTCAACACGGTCAACTTACTCTCCAACTTTTGCCAATTGTTTTTTTACATATCCGAGTGACTTCTCCAGTGCGCCGTTTATGTGTCGGCACAGTATCTGGCTGGCCTTTCGGTAGTTGCCAAACACCCGATCTGAATCAACAGAGCTGGTGTCGATTGCAACGCTCTCGTTCAGCTCCGCTGGGGTGTAGTCCTTGACAAACGAATTGAAGCCCGAGTTCCGGACAAAGAGGTCGAGATCATTCGCATCATGCGATTGCTCCACCTTTATGCGTGAATAGTCCGGCCGGACGGCGGGTTGAAAATAAGCGACTCCGGGCTGTTTTCCGCGAGGCACTAGTGCCGTGTGGTCCACGGGAAAAGAGAGAGATCGGTTCCGTGTGTTTCCCAAAGACTGCCCGTGACCCACGTATGACGCCTGGACGACATCGCCCTTCAGACGACTCAAGCATCCGCGCTGGTGACTGTCCCGGGTTGTTTCTTTCTTGTAACCGTGGTGACAATAACCGCAGAAGTAGAATTCCTCGACATAAAGTCCGAAGATCGGAGTTATGCTCCGCTCGGGGTGTTGGAAGTCTTTCGGTTCCGTGATCAACCACTCCCGTGGGATGACCTCGTCCAGATCATCAGGCAGCTCCATATGAGGGATATGGAAGCGGACGTGGCGCCGGGCGCCCTTGACGGTAATCGCGCGTTGGCATGAAAGACAGATGAGGAGCTGGTGGGTTGTGTTAACGATGAGCCCGAATCGCGTCAGGTCGAGTCCCGGAGATCGGAAAATAGTATCCGGACCGGCAGTGGCCGCATATCCACGCGTCTCTGCGGTGCTCGGGCCTAAACTTGGGCTGCAAACAGGCGGCGATGGGGTGCGCGACTGCGGTAGAGGGAAATGTGTTACGGCGGTAGGAGAGTGCGTTCGGGGGGAGGGGGAAGTCATTGAGATTGACGAGGGGGCTGGTGATGGACATTCGGGGGAGGTGTTTGCTTCTCTCTGGCTCGCTGCCAGGATGTTGGTCCCGGTGTTGATGCCGTCTGCCTCAGGATCCTCCATCGCGACATCCTCCCTCACAGCGGTGTCTGGCTCGCTCTCCTCCACCCGCGCGTCTTCCAGTGTGATGACCCTCAGCATTGTCTGAGCTGCCTGCACCGCATTGCATTCTTCTCTCCGTGTTTCGTTTTCCCCTTCGCTCTCGCATCCCCGCGGACAGTTTTTTCTGCGGTAATGACCCTGCAACAGTCAGATCCACCCTAGTCTTCATTTGGAAGCTCACGAGGAACAACTGCGAGTTTACTGTGGCATATTCGCAGCCAACATAAGGACAGACAAATTTCCCTGTCGAATCGCGGCGATGCACCCTCTTCGTCCCATCATCGAGTCTTTGTGTCGCTTCCTGCTGATGGACCTCTCTCCGATGCGCACTCTCAGTTCCTTCCACAACCCGGTCGCACTTGCTGCACACGAACGATTCACCCATTTTGAGATTGAGCGGGGCGTCTGGGCTACGAATAAAGGGTGGAAGAGGATGGGCAGTGGAAGAGGATGGGCTAACTTCTTTGACGCCTGACCCTTTAGGCTGCTTTTGCCTTCGATCGGTTTTTACGTCCGTGAGATGATCGTGCAATATCCAATCCTCAGCTTCCAGGCTCTGAATGGGACTCTTATAACCCATGGTATATTATCATGGAGGGAGACTCATCCTATTCTGTAAATTCTACATATGTTGACGAGCATTAGCATGCCTGTAAGCGATCAGTAGTGTGGCAGTGTAGCACTAAGGTGCACAGCATTTGGTGGATGGGGACGGGAATACCTATTAGAATCTGAATTGGATTTCATGTGACTAGTACCTGGGCTATTGCCTCTCAATAATACGTGATTCAAATTGGAGTCATTATAGTGATTGTCTAGTTTCCAACTAGAACTAGTTCTGCAACAGCAGGATCTCGATGAACCCAGAAAACCCTAGCGACGAGGAGGAAAGTGAGTAACTAGAATGTCTGAGGAATGTCTAGGTGGGTGCGGCGCTGCTGCAGGTGCACGCCGCAGACCTACTTGGTCGCAATATCGTCGGGGACATAGTTCGGATCCATCTACATGCGTGTCAGATGAGATCGCTCTGTGGGAGTTTCGGAACCCAGACGCGCGCCTCACCTCAAGAATGCAATACTTTCCGGCCGTTGTCTGCGCCAGAACTTCAAGAGCCTGGGCGTGTGGGAGCGATGATGCCGTCTGACACCTCTTGCAAGATGATCTTTGCTGTCGCCAGATTGCACAGCGCACTGGGCCAATAAACCAGTCAGCACCCTGCACACGGGCGTGGCCACTGGAATGGAGTTTGTGGCGGTCGTTAGATACTGGTGCAGAGCGATACGGAAGAGTGGGAGGCAGTTGCGTGGTTACAGTATATCGGGTGGGCAGTGTTGGGGATGTCGTTCTTGATCTCTGCACTTCTTCCGTGCGTGTGATTCATGTCATGGTGGTTCTTAGGAGTTCAGGTGAGCTGCATGTAACGTCTTCCCACCGTGCGATGATACTTAACCGTGCTGGTCCTTACCTTCACCATTAAGGCCGGATAGCGTGGGTTAGGCGTATTCTACGCAGATGCGGCTGCAGGGCCCGTGATTCAATGCTTCGAGTGATGATGTTGACGGGTCGGATGAAGGGATTATGAGCACTGGTCGTCGAGATCCAGATGTTGACCTCGGGGACAAGTGTCCCATTAAGGAAGTCGTTCCCCATTGGCGCTAGCAGCTCAGAGAGAACGATGCAATGGTGAGGAGTCGGTATTAGCGGCTACAGATGAGGCGCATGTACCTAGCGAGGCAATACCGTCAGCTCCGGGACCGCGACGACGACTTACATGTTCCGCTATGGCTTGGCTAGCCCAGACACTAACCCATTCCTTTTTTGACCGCTGCCGTCCGATCCCACCTTCCTTCGACCTTTATGCTGCCGTTTTCCTATTTCGTGTGTTCTAGTGCCCGTCTTGCATTAGTTCCGTGAGGCGCAAGATGAGGTCTGTGAGGTGCAAGATGAGGATGTGGGAGGGTGTGACGCTATCGTCACACCCTCCGTGGGCTGTCCTATTGCGTGGAATCGGGCCTCTGGGCGCACTTTGCGGCAAATTTGAGTCGCCAGAAGTGTTCTGCTTGTGCCGACCTTCAATTTGAGTGGCGAGGATTTTCCATTGTCCAGGAGTTGACTCTGGGATCCACGATTCTCGCCGGGTTCTCCCATCCTTCGTTGACAGCTCCCATCATTTCTCGTCTCCTCACCTTGCTCTGGCTTCCCATCCCTCCACAACGCAGGGACAGCTGTTTCATGTGGACAGATGCATAGTACATGTGTTTTAGTACATAATTTCTCAAATGAGCAAATAGATTCGAGGAGGTTTGCCTCTGGGATCCATCGTCTAATCAGCATCAGTGATTCTGATGGTGCTGGGGGAAGATGTCGATATTCCACCACAACGGCTGGTTGAATAAATATGAAACTTGGCATGTGGAATCTTCCATATGTCCATGTGAGAATGCGCGAAAAAAATCGTGAGTGTTGAGTCAACTGCGGTTGGGATCCATCCTCTGATCATCGCGCCAGTTTTCCAGGGTGCCAAAAAAGACGCCTTCCTGGTGGGGCTGCGCAGCAGCCCCACCCGCTCAGACCCATGGATCCATGTGGATCCCGGGTCCAGGGGACCTTAAGCTACATGTGGATATAATTTTCGTAAAATTTCGTGGAGAAATGAGGTCAGGATCCACGTTTGCAATGGGATCGCATCTGGGAGGGGAAATATACATAGTGATCTCATCACAGGGCATTACGAGATATGTTATCACATCAGTACGATCACTGATCCAGTCATCAGATCTCCTCTGTTGGCATCAGTGCTTGCCAATGTTTGCCAGTCTGTCTATCAGATCTGATGAACAGGTGACGCGGCAGTGTTGATTCGTTTTGTTTGCTTTGCGTTCGGTCCAGGCCCTAGTGGCCCTTTGGTCAGGCTTGGACTGATGCGGCATCAATTCATCGCACAGCTACTGATCCCTAGTAATCTTATCTTGATTAGATATGATAGGCAATCTTATTGTCTCGCGTCGTCGATCAAGGTCTATTGTCTCTATTGTCCTATTGTTCTTATTGTTCTAGGACTGCACTATTGTTGTGCGCATGTAATCTGAATGTGTAAGCAGGACCTGAAGAGCTTATAAGCGAAACAGGTGAGCCGGTGAGTCTTCACCAGCCTGTTGTCCTGCAGCAGCTTCCCTCTTCCTGTGTGTTTCAGCTACTAAACCACCCTAACCTCGGTTACGTGAAATGGTCTCAGCGAGCTGGCTTGTTAAATATTTATCTTTCAGCCGTCGCAGGGTCACGTGTATCAGCCCACCCGCCGGCCATTCCTGATATGTACTATCGTTACCATGAGCGCTATGGCAGTATCTCAAAGAAGTGCTTGCATGATGTACAGAAATACAACAAGTTCGTCCACAGTGTGGGCCACGCGATCAGCTCTCTGCTATTCGAGGAGGTGAGCCTGGGGCCTTAAATCCGACCTATGTCTTCGTCACACAGAGTCAGAATGAATTCAATTGGCTACAATATCTGTGTGCGGCATCGCAGGCCTCCGAAGCGCCTGTCAAATCACTCCGATCGACCCAATGTGGTCGTCGTGGGCACGTGAAACGGCCTCTTGACGCTCGCTGACAAAGCCACGTGATCCTTGTAGCGCGCCATGTTTGGTCTGTCACCCCTTGCTTCTTCTTCCCGTCATTGTTCCATCAGATGCAGCAGCACTTCATCCACACCAAGGGACCTCTGCACCACGATGGGTTCCGGTCTCCAGATGACATTGCCCATGCCTCGCACTCCATGCTCAAATTCCTCGACATCAAACCGCCTCTATCACACCTAACAAGCCAATTCACTCGCTTTTTCGCTGAGACTGAGATTTTCAGCCGACGATTAGAGATGCATGCTGCGATCAAGCTGCAAGGAGATCTCCCCGGTCAGTCGGAGACACTGCACTTTCTCGGATACCGCGCTTTGAATGCCGAGCCCCACAACATGAAAGCCAAGGTTACCGCGTGTCTGGTCGAGCTGATTGTGCCAGTTCTGCTTGCAGACCGACTCGCCTTCCTAGCCCAACCCCTCCGATTCCGTTCCCTCGTGCAACCCCGCTCAAGCGGGCACATCAAGAATTTCTCGAACGTACGTAAGACTTCGTCGCGCTGAACGTAACTTATCTGTGAGCCAGACCTCGGATTACCTCAGTATGGCGGATTTGCAGACATGCCTCTTATCCTGGAAGAACCGCCGAGACCGATTGATGCAGAGGCAAAAACGAGCGGTCGAACAGGGCACATCCCAATCCGATGTATTGGTGTGTCGGGAGATTCTAACCGAAGGGAGGAGGAATGACGCCAACGCGGTTCTCATCAATATTTGGTCCATCTGCTATATTATCAAGTTGAGACCCATGGATCCATGTGGATCCCGGGTCCAGGGGACCTTAAGCTACATGTGGATATAATTTTCCTAAATTTTCGTGGAGAAATGAGGTCGGGATCCACGTTTGCAACGGGATCACATCTGGGAGGGGAAATATACATAAGCCGACGGTTAAGATGTTCCAGTCCCTACGGTGACATACAACCCGTCACACCTAGTCACCGTGGACTGGATTCGAGTCTAGTGCGATCCGCGCAAGTGAGAGTAGACTGCGGTACGGGTGATGCCGCAAAAGGCTCTGCGCAACTTGCGGTGAGCCCACGTCCGGTTCCAAGGTGCGTGGTGAACGCCTAACGTGGCGCGAGACATTGAGGACCATTGGCGGAACAGGAGGAGGTCAAGCGGACATAGGTGCAAAAAAGAAACGCATCTAAGGAGCAGGTCTCCAAGCCCTCTCCCTGCGCTCTGCCCATTCGTACACCCAACTCGTCTGCTATCGTGCGTCAAGGTTCCAGATCTTCAGCTCTCTTTGTCGGGAACCAGAATTAGATTGTTACGCATAGCTTGTCCAGGTTGCACGATCCGTGCATTCGATCGAGAGGCGCTCTGATGACTGCACAGGTCTGTGCAATGCCACAAAAACCAAGACCGCCGTGGTTCCGATTTTTGGTGACTGCAGAGTCCATTGTTGAGTCCTTCCGTTGGGAAAGTGTCCCGGGTTGCTGACCAGGATGACCGGGGAGGGCGAGACAGCGCTGAGCGCAATAGCAGGTAGCAGTAGAAGACTGGTATTTGGGCGCTATGATGATTACATGTACACTAGGAGCGCCCTCGCGGGCAAGAACGCCTGCGTCGAGCAAGGGGGCGGGGGTGAGGTGTGTGCGTCCGCTAGGGTTGGCTCGGCATCTGGGGCTGGGTCAGCGGGCGTGGTGAGCACTCACCTGTAGTCCCCTCTTGTTGAGTGTAACCGTCCCCCATTTGCCCTGGATCCCTGCTGCCCAAGCCCTAGTCCGAGTTCCCCGGCCCATCCACCCCACACTCGTTCATTGGCGGCCGTGGTGGCCTGGTCGGATGTGTGAGTAGGGCGATGAGTACCCCGCAGTTTCGTTGTAGTCACACTGTCACGCTTCTGGTGGCCCGGCCTGCATTTCATCTTTTTGAGGATCCATGCGGACAGCAGAGGATCCGCCCAAAACGAGTCGCCCAATGCATCTGTGGTATTAGGGCCTGTCATACTTTCGAGTTTTTGTGTGAAAATCTCTATCTCCAGCCTATGGATCCTCGACTTGAGAGGCCAGCAGGTTTGATCACTTTGATGGCTGCCTGTCAACTTTCACCATGCTCCCATTTCTCGCTCCCTATTCCCCCACAATGGGTTCTGGCTAGTTTCGTCATGCGATATTCATATTAGGGACTTTTCCGAACATTTTGTCTCAATTGACCAAAAAAATCCAGGCACTCCGTGCCCCGGGATCCCCAATGCAGTACCCATCACAAAATTTGATGCGGCAGAGTGAAGATGGCTCCCTTCCGCACCAACCCCTGGCTCTAAAAATACAAAACTTGGGATTCGAGACCTTGAATACAATGTGCCTAGTCCCAGCAAAAAAAAAATGAAGATGTTGTGTAAGTAGGCTTTGGGATCCCCAGTTCATCAAAATCGGCCTGGTGAGATGATGCAAAAAAAGTGATCTGATTGTTGGGGGCTGCTACGTAGCCCCCGCCCCCCAACCCTGGGATCCAAGTGAAAAATGGATGAAGGGCCTCTAGGGCTTTCATACAAGCCAGGTTTCAAGAAATTTGGTTGAGAATTGAGCTTGGGATCCCCGATTGCAATGAGATCATTTATTTCAGGGCCAATACCACTAGCGCTCAGAGATGTCCTCTTTGTTCCCGACACGGCCGATAAAGCACGGTTGATTGAATGGGGAAAGAAACAAACCCCGCCGCTCGACTGGGAGACCATGCGACGAACGAAATGGCGCTGGCTTTCTCAGCGCTGCAAGCGGATCATTGGTCCCCCTGAGGAGATATATCCACTAGCTGCCGATGTGTTGAAGACTTACGGACCTCTGAAAGATGCGAAAACGGGTTTACCGCTTCTCAACTCAGCGGGTTGGGCAACAGGAAACAATGTTCTAGGTCTCATCCAACGCGGATTTGTCTCTGACCCACCCGGCATCTCGCTTTACTCTGAACTTCGTCGGGACAAGGACGATCTTCCCGTCTATCGATGCTTTCGCGGAACGAACATGACTGAGGATGGTGTGCATACCCATCTTCGCCCGAATCTCCCGACCTCGGGCGCGTCTGTTCGTCATCTGAATGCGAGACTGCGCGACTTTATCTTGAAGCACAATCTTTTGGTAAGAGGTGTTTCTAAATGACGACATGATTCACGCTAAATGTAAACTTTGCCAAGGTCGGAACGTTCAACACCTCAGGCCGAGCCTATACGGGACACTACAGTATATGGCTGACAAACGAGATTCAAGGACTGCTCATGTACCTCGAAGATCGCATCGAGAACGCCTCCTCGCTTCTACTTCCCAATTGGGTCAACGGAAACTTGTACGAAAGAGCAACAGAAGTCACAGGTGTTCTCCCGATCCCTGAGGATGTCCGCACCAGTGCAGGAATGGCTCCATATGAAGCAGCCCTCGATGCAAAACGTCTCCATCACCACCTCGCGTCGCTTCAAGGCACTCGCAAAGCTGTCACTCCAATTCACAACGACATCGAGAAGACACTCTTTCGTGATCTGATGGCTGCTTTCCCCGAGACGTTTGGCAATCTTTCGTCTGATAACCAGGCAGCGAAGGCAGCCAAGATTTGGAACGGGCGCGCTGAAACTGAGAAGGATGTGTTTTACAAGGCACGTCTGATGTTCGATGCCGATACTGATGCTGACAGTCTCGCGTAGCTTCCGGAACATCTCAAGGTGTATTATAACGGCCCCTGGAAGACCAATAGCAACATCATCCAGACTAAGGCGGTATCAGCCGCTGTGCGGAAACCCCTTCTCGAAACGATCCACGACGAGGAAAGAATGCGCATGGCACCAACAGTCCCTCAAACAACCCTCAAACCGCATTCCGTTCTCGATGGTCTCCTCTCCTTCGACCCGGAAACCCAAGACCCTGCAGCGGTGACGTCCGAGTCACAGCCGCTGCCAACAACTTCGTCCGCGGTACAACCTGACATGTCGAGTGGAAACCAGTCGATGTCGACCGGAAACGAGTCGATGTCGCATCCTCCAGCTTCGGAGACCCCGAATCCGCCGACTCCCATCGCCGGCCCATCCCAAACTCATGACGAACGGATCCGAGGTGTTGCCAAGCGCCGCGTAGAAGACGCGTTGTCAGAGAGAGAGCCGCCGGTCAAGAAAGCGCGGCGGGGACGGACGTGTTGTAAATGCGGTATCTCCGAATGTCCGGGGAAGGGGAGTCGAGGTGTGAAGTCGTGTCGCAACAAATGCCGGGATTGTGGGAACGTCGAGTGCGCTGGTAGGGATACACAGAGTCGTGCGAAAACTTGTTCATCGATGCTGTCGAGGGACGAGTAGTATATGGAAAAGATGTAGCTACTGTAAGATACAATGAGACTGCTTGTTCGCAAAAGACTGTGGGCTAAACGCACCAGTATTCCCAAACCAAGATCTAACGCCCTGCACTTGTGTAAACTTCCCTCGATAGCGCGTCGATGTGTCACCCAGTGGTTGGGTGACAGTTCATGGTGATTTCCGGGACTGTAGTGGTGTGGGAGGAGAGAGGAGCTGAATGTGCGAGAGAGCGGTAAGCAGCAAGAGAGTCGGACACAGCGGAGATCATGCACGTGAAAGACATCTGACGTGCAATGAATCTCCGCTCAGTATTGTCAACTCCGCTCACTATCGCAAGTCGCGTTTTGCATGCCCCACAATCCGAAAAAAAATGAGAATCTCATTTCTCAGTACATACTGATTGCTCTCGGAAATAATTCCGGAGTTTTGGGCTTTGCGCTGGGGACGCGCAGGGCAATCTGCGATTGGACGGATGTGGCTGGGCTGATGCGACGATCCTGTCAACGGCGTCCGCAAAAGTGAAGGATTCCGAGATATTCCGAGATGTTCCTATTTTCCCCCTCCTTCCTCTTTCGAATTATTGATTTATTTTTAGATTTTCACGCACCTCTATCAGTATCGAGCCGTATTTACGACGATACGACAAAGTGCGTGTATATGCAACAGCGAAAATTACACACAAATATAAGGGGTATGATGAATAGCGAGGGTATCCGAGTCTAATACACAGCGTTGGAATATGAAGGGCGACATTTGATGGATTCGTGTGTCGTACTGTCGTTCGTCATATTAGATTGAACGTTAGAAGTCTGATCAATACATAAGCCCATGAACTGATCAGCGACTACTCGCACTCACCATTAAGCAGCACCGTACTGCCAACCGAAGTTCGCACACTCATGTTCTCGCTCTCGAGCGCACCCATCCCCATATGGATCGTACCACCAGCTTTGTCACTCTTTTCCAGCAACGCATCCCACCGATCAGCCTTCTCGCGTTCAGTCAAAACGGCCGCAGTATTTTCTGCGCGGAACATCACGGGCTCTATCCGTGTTTTGGGTAATCGCGAGACCGCAGGCAGCGGACGACGTTTTATTGTGCCATCGACTGATTTGCGAGCTGGGAATGAATTGAACGCGTCCACTGTCGAGAACTGGGGGATGCTCGGTGTATCGCTGACCCGGTTTGCCAGCGGTGCGGTTGTCGGCTTTGGTAGCCTTCTCGGTGGCAAGGGCAACGACTGGGATTCGGGACGTGCCTTGATATCAGGTGGGGGCGACGGTGTCTCCTCAGCCGCGGAGGACTCCACCTCGAGCCTGTACAACTCCTGTGGTGGAACGATATGCTGGCCAACAATCGAGTTTGGCATCGGCGGCGCATCGTTCGGGATCTCATACGAAGAGGTAGACGACCTGCCCGATTGCTGTGAAAAGAACTTGGAGTCTTGTGAAGATGACCGCGTCGTAGTACTGGTTCTCGGGGGCGTCGGCAACGTCCGAGATGTCCGAGGAATACCTGTCGTCGGTAAAGGAGGCAATGGCGGAACTGGAGGGAGTGTCCGTGGCTCTGCGTATTGCTCCTTCAAGGCCCCCGTGCTGATTCGTTTCATCAGCTTCCAGATCTTGTTGCCTCCACTCAGCGCAGGTTCTGAACGCCGTGACCGAGGTTCGTTGTGTATCGGAGTGTAGCTAGGCACGGCCCCTTCCGTCTCTCCATGACTGGGGCGCCGCTTTGCGTAAAGGCGCTCGGTTGTGTTGCTGGTTCTTCCGCTTTCGCTGCTTTTCCTCGATAGTATCCGGTTTGACTTCTTTACAGCCTCTACGCGCGACGACACGCCGAATCCGCTTTCCCAGTCCTCTTTCGAGCCAACCGCCACAATGCGCCCGGAAGTTGAGCCAAACACAGTGTAGTACGGGGTTGGATCCCTCTCATCACCATCGGGACTGGGCGTCGCTCTGTCTTTATAAGCCTGCGCAACCGCACCAGCTGGGGTCAGCGGCTCAGGAGATAGCGCAATCGGGACGGTGGCCGGAAGTTCGATGGCGAGAGTTGGAGGATTGTCGTGTACTGATGCTGCTGTCATCGACGTCACTCCACTGGGTTTGCGCTTGAGCACGTTTCTTGGCCGCTTTTCCGATCCACTCGAGCTCCGCAGCGGACCCAGCATCGCCAGTGCGACATCATGCTCCGTTGTCCGTGCACTCGATGTGGCATCCGAATCCGTGCCACTGTGTGATGGCAAATCCTCTACTTTGCGACCCACAGCAAGCCTGCTGGGACCGTACTTCTTTCTTCGCATCATCATCCCCTCACCGCTAGATCGCGTAGCCACGCTTTCCCCATCCGAAGAGACTGTCCTGGACCGTGGATTCCCGGACAGAGCCGTCGTGTCCGGAGCGCGGTTTATGCGCTGGGTAGATGGAGAATGAGGATGGGCAGTCGACAAATTGGGTCCAGTCGGTCGAGCGACTGGCAACGTCTTTGTCTGCAGTGCGAGAGGGACGACATCTTCTTGCGACTGTCGTGAACGCAGGTTTGATGAGTCCGTGGGCATGACCAGCGTCTTGGGGGCTCTGAGCTCAGACCGGATAGGCAGCTTCGCATCGTCACTAATCGCCGGGGGCTTTCTAGACAACGGCATCGAAGATGAACGAGAGATGGTTGCACTATCGCTGGATTGCGATCTCGACGATTCAGTGCCGCTTCTTGTCAGCTTCGGCTTAGGGAGAAGACCTAGAAAGAGGTATTGAGCAACAGGGGAGAGCGACATGACTAGAAACAGAGAGGAAAGGAGAGTTGCTTCGGTATGCTAATCGGTGTCATTCGACCATCAGGCAAACGGGTATAAGTGACAAGCTGAAACAACATCGAGGCAACAACGTGTCGGCCCCACGTGGTGGAGATCTAGCGCACAGCAAACAACAAGGGAACGCACCGACAGATTCCTGCATTCTAGACTGCGAATGCTCAATTGCCTCGTTTGGTATGAGCGTGCGAGCCCTGGACGGCGACTTGGGCGGTCTGGGAGGTGTATTCGGTGTGCCAAGAGCTATGGTGATTGAGGAAGATGATATGCTAGGCACTGATAATCAGGCCCACCTGCGTCTCTGCTCCTATCGTGGCTACGACTGCGCTTTGGGGAGTAATATGGGTCAAGAGAGGGAGAGGGAACTACAACAGTCTCAGAACGGAGATGCGAACAGGTGCGGTGACTGACCGGCGCCACGATCAGGCCAGGACAACTGGGCACTCGGTGTTGGTGTATCCAGCCATCCACTCTGATACACAAGAGCTGGATCCCGGTCCCCCTCGTTTGCAGTCTCCCTGCTCGCTTTGTTGGATCCCGAAGACGACGCCTGGAGTGCCCTGCTATTGAAACCAAAGCCAGTGCGGATAGAACCTCCAACGGCGCTCAATGGTACGCCCATAGGGCTGGCCGGACTTGTTGTGTCTGAGTCCGTCGGTGTGGTGGTTTTTAGCGTGTTGCGACCCCTGTCAGATTCCGCCGGCGACTGAGCCGGCATATCGGACACCCCAAATGCAGAAAGCGGAACGTCTGAGTGTGGTGTCGGTGTCTTCGGCGTCCCTGTGCCCTGGGGAGCAGCAATCAGATCACCGAATGCTGGAAGCCCTGCGTCCGCAGAGCTTTCGAATGAGTCGCCAGGTCTTAGAGCACCCATCGGCGAACCACTTGTACCATTATGTTCTCGACCACGTTGGATGACAGCACGAGCTGTGGCGAAAGTGGCAGACTGTGCTGGGGAAATCGGGCCCGGAATCGGCCGCATCTCAGACCGAGAGACCGAGGCTTGCAACGAGGTGGATGTATTGATGGCAGGAACCCGGCTTCGACTGGAGTATGAAGATGATGAAGCAGTGAGAGTCGTGTGCTTCGTCGTTTGCGGTAGCGTGCTCAGAGACATGTGCCTGTGGCCGATTGATGACCCATCAGGAATACGTTGTGTTGGTGACGCAGGACTGGGTACCGATTTGTGTGAGGGGATTGTTGAGTTCGAGGGCAAGGAGGCCGGGGGCGAGTGGTGGGGAGGATGTCTGCGTAAAAGATATTTCGTCAGCAACGAGATTACGCATGACTCCCTACCACTTGGGTAGTCGGAGCTGCAGTGGACGCACTTCACTACGGTATCACCAACACCTTTCCTGATGTCCCCACCCGCAGCGTCGGTCGAATTACCAGCCGTGCTTGGCCTGCGTAGCCGAGAAACTGGAGGAACGGAAGGAGGCGTGGTTGGTGCCTGCGAACGAGAGCGCGAGTTGCTACCGACCGACATTGCCCAAGCTCGGGCAGCAGCTGTCGTAGTTGATGTCGCGCTAGCCGACACTGCTCTCGCTCGCGTGCTCTCTGCGTGAGAAGATGTTTTGGTTGGGGAAGTCGGTGCCGTCGAACGGATGACATTCGATTTAGACGCAGACTGCGATCGAGATGAGTTTGAGGTGCTGCTCTCGACAGTTGAGTTCCGTACTGTGATTGAGGGCGCGCGTAAGCGTGATGGAGGTGTGCGGGCCGCCAAAGGGGACGATAGAGAAGAGGAGATTCCAGATGGCTGACCGTCCATGGGAGCGGAGAATGCAAAGGCTGAAGAGAGAGGAGTGATAGAGTGGGATGTCAAGGTCGTATTCGACACGATCGATATTCTCGTGGACGGCGAGGGTTGGGATGGGGGGGAGGCTGTGAGGCTCGCGCGCACGGAAGTAGTGGGGAACATTGAGCTGCCCGAGGGCCTATTCAATCCTGCCCGCGTGCTTGTCGCGCTTCCGCTGGATCCATGCACGGCGGTCACATTCAGACCTGTCTCTGTGGCCGCCCTCCTGATAGACTTTCTCGCGGGAAGAGACGACTGAATGGATCCTGGCGAAGGTGCGACGATAGCGCTTGGCGGTCGAAGGGAGGAACGCGGGGGCGGAGGGTCGGGCAGCATATCTAGTGCACACGGAATGACAGAAGAAAGTCAAAAGCAACGTGGAGTGGACATTAATCACGAACCTCAGGACCTGTTACCACGTGGGAGGCGATTCAGAGCTCCACCTCAGCGTACTCCGAAACAATTGATGCTCTGGGAGCGGGACTAAAGCCCGCCGGCGTGGCGACGTCGTGGACAGGGCGAGAAGGCTAAGGAGCGAGGTATAGTTTGACCAGAAAGACTCAAGGAGATGAAGAAAGAATGTCGGGTTATGATCGGGCTATTCGAAGGTTGCAGAGGTGCTGCCACAGAGGGGAAGACGCCGAGCGCACGTACAGAAAACGAGGAAAAGAGTGTGGGTTAGAATGGGTAGGCATCATGGTGATGACGGCATCGTGATTGTCAGCGCGGATCTTAAACACTTGTTTCGAAATTGTAGGTGGCTCTCCACGGCAACAGTTGCTGTTGGAATGAATGTTTTGCCACTCCCGTTCTGCAGATATCATGTTTTTCCGATCATTTCAGACTCAATCTCCCATCGACAATCCAAGACTCGGCCGCTCATGCTGCAAAAGCTGCCCTGGCGCGTCAGTTGCTTTCGCCCGGGTCATGCGGTTGGCACTTGGGAGTGGAGTGACTTCTGTAGTGACTTCTGTTAGGAGTAGCTCAGGTTCGACGTCCCAAATGGCGAGCATAAGAGTGAATAAGATACAGTGATTTGTCTCGGCTCTGGATCACGTGCAAAATCTCCGGTTTTCGTGCAGGCAAATGGCGATCATATGCGCTACGATCGAGCATCGGAGGAAAGACATGTATCGAAATCACATATACAACAGCACCAGTGCATGTGCACGGATGTTCCTAGTCAGAAATGCGTGACAACAGAGACACTGCCGCTGTGGGAAAAATCAGAGGAATCCCACCAGATCTTTGGAGACTTCAGGGAGTTGGTGCGCCGAAGGCGAATGGCGGAGAAACGCGTTGGAAAGGGCTGTATCGATTGGCTCGACCTATGTCCACACTGCTTCAGAGAGCAATCATGTGCAGGACGATAGAAGATATGAAAGAGAGGCGATGTGCATGCATGCATTGCTGATGCAAGAACGTAGACGGCGGTCGGCTTCCATGGAACGATTTGTCGTGAACGAAACGCCTTTGTAAGCCTCTTGACGGAAGAGGAGGGTTCCTAGAATGAGCAGGAGTGGGATACCCGCATCACGCATTGGGACGACCATGAATGACGTCGCAGTCGATACTATGGCCAGCGTATAAAGGAGATAGTTTCTCCATTCATCTGCACGCTTTACAGTCGGAGTCGCTCGATGTTTAAACCTCGGACCTATGTTATAAGGTTGTATAATACATCCACGAAGGAATAGTCAGTAATACATTGAGTGATAGAATGCTCAGGAAGATCATAAGCTCCAGACCGAGATGCGGGAAGCATTGAGCTCCAGAACGGTAGGTCACTACTTCTTCGAGCTACCATCTCCAGTATCCTCGTGTTTGCACGCGATGATCTTCATCTTTGGAACCGTAAAGTCCTGGGGCCCATCGACCTTAAGGGTTACATTATTGAGCCAGAACGTCCAAACGTCATCGCAGTTACGATAGGTCTTCATCTTCCCCTGTTCAGAAGTGGTCAGATATACGGCGAGGTACAGACCGAAACATGGAGGGGAAGGCCCGTATGAGATAGCACATGCACACCTTGAGAGTAGCTTTCGCCTTCTCGGGTCCAGTACCAACGGTCTTCGCTAGCTTCTCGTAGATTGCCTCGTCGAACTGGGAACAAGTATTGAGCAAAAGTGGATTGATGGAATTGAGGACAGATATTCAATGCTCACAACCTGCAACACCTTCATCGCAAGCTGAGGTGTAATCGCCCCACTGGTAATCAGCTCGTCGAGAGAGTCGGTGAGGGCCATGCCGATACTGCGGAGAGAGTGAGTTTTGATATCAAAGCAAAAGAGGATAAGGTCACCTCGACGCCCGGTACAGCTCGTAAGATTGAGCTGGCATCGTCGTGCGAGGTGGGCGTCAAGAACAAAGGTGCCGGTTACGGGTCAGCTTTTGATCGCCGCACAGACCCCTCACGTGCTCCGGAAGGCGGCCAAGGCCATTTGATTCATCCTCTGCCGGTAGCTACACCAAGCTACTGCGCAGCTCTTTAAACGCCCCATGGACCCTTTCCAGGACATGGATATACCTTGCTGATCTTGGGTTGGCTCGAGAATAAACCATTTTTCTCTGCACTACGCTTTCGCAAGCGCAAGCCCTTCGCTGTACCACAACCACAATCTACGCTCATACGGGATCCGACCTTAACTGAAGATCCATGTCCTTGCACCGCACAATGAAACCCACCGTTGATAACCACCCCTTCTGGGATGATTCGGCTTAGCATCAGGGTAGCGAGCAAGAACGCCGCGCAGTCGCCCAGGCAATCGATTTCCCTCTTCACCAGCCTGTAGAGAAGCACCCTTCAGCGACTGCAACGCCCGCAGATGCCCTTCACCCTTCGCTATCTGGGCTCTGCGGTCCACTTTGACGGGAAAGCGTTAGACACCCGGCTATCTTGTCCTGCCGGGTGTGTGGGTCTACAGTCAGAGACAAAGGCGTGGACGGTACATGCCTAACGCTGTGCTACCTCGTATGTGAGATTTCAGAGACATGTCGGCGTAAACGAGGTGAGAACCGGGCATGGGTCCCAGCTCATCGTGCTGACGTCGGCCCAGCCCATGAAGATCCTGCTCACGCGATTTTGATCAATATCATTCACACAAGATACAGATACTGTGCGACTTGCATCCAAAGCGGAGCCAGGCACGGCCAAGAGACCTTGCACATTGGGGAGGGGCACGAGACTTCATTCGTTTGACTAGGGCATCGATTGTGTAATCGAGCGGATCTTCGATGACCATTGTCGGAGGTTGGCTGCGCCAGACACGCTGCTAGTTTTCGAGTCAGCGGCGGAATCATATCAGATTCATCCGATCTGCCAGACTTCAATCGACATTACCCATTTCCTGGAAATCATCCCACTGGGCGTTTTTTGGTTAGCTTGAAGCGGAGATGGGCATTCTTACGGCCTTGAGACTTAAAAACTTCTTGAGACCCCACTGAATCGTTCAGAATTCTTTCTGCAGCTATGAAGCTGATGCTCAAGCAGCTCGGGTCGTTCTCAACAAAACTTTGATGTCGCTGGCACACTCTCAGTCACTTGCATCTCTCGCCGCGAAGTCCAGGCACTCGGTGTTGGAGGCAATTCGGCCACCGAGCTAGTCCGCCATGTCCATGATACCATCATCGAGCGAAGTTCTTCGCACGTCACGTCCAAAAGCGACTGTTTCAGACCCATAACACCTGCTTCGAACAAAGCTGACCCACGAGCGAACCATGAGTGGCTGCGGTCGGGAGGAATAGTTTCTGGCTATCAGACAGCATAGGAAGCAATCGGACGCGGCTTCTTGAGCAAGGGTAGCTGTTTCACGAATATGACTCAGATACGCTGTTTCTTGGAGGCACTCGCGACGAGGGCAAAAGGTCATAATCCACAACCAGCTAGCGCGACTTGAGAATCAGGCACATCTTATTTGACGGATTTCAATCCATCTTGAGAGGCAGCCATCTAGATTACCGAGCAAGAAATGAAGATCCTCGATGATAAGGAGCGAATCCCATGGTCGTATGGGACTAGGAAGGTGCGTCACGTGCAAAGTCTCCGGTGGATTGAAATAGATCACGAGAGAGAGAGAGGATCAAACTTGAGAGCTCTCTCCATATTTCATTAAAATACGCGAAATAACAGGTCCTGCTGAGATTGGCGAAGGTAGTTTCATATCTCCCTACATGGGTAGGTTACCCCGACATGACAGAATTTGCTTGCCGTCCACTGATCTCCACTGATTCGACATTTGACTGGTCAGCTGTCACCGCCACCAGTGATCAGCCTTGTTCCTCTTAGTCTCTGACCTTCGTTGAAGCAAAGATGCCACAGTTTTCTCAATCCGCAAGCGAGCCTCCCTCTCATTCAGACTGCCATGCCGCGAGCTAGTGTTTCCTCCTCTGCTTCGCAGCCCGCTGGAGCTCCGCCGACCAACTTCCTTTGCGACGCTTGCCAGGTGTCCATTCCGGGGACCGCACCACGGGCACACTGTCTCATCTGTCCGGATCATGATCTGTGTGCAGCGTGCACGCTCGGCGAGCGCTTCGTTGGTGCGCACACAGCGGCACACGCAATGGAGGTGTACCGCATCTGCGGCGATAGTGCAATTGGGGTGGTGAGGGGAAACTGGGTACTAGCATACACTGCCGGTGTGTATCTCCTGTATTCAAAACATCCTGTCAGCTGACAGCGTGCGGTAGCGCAGCCTTTGCACACGTCGGCCTCATCTCCGACCAGCGGTATCGGCGAGATCGATGCTGGTGGCACGATGTCTCCGGGTGCGGACACTAGTCCAGACAGTGCTTCATCCAGTGCAACAAGGATTTCTACCTCTACCGCTTCTGCTGCACCACCCACCGGTCTCAATGGATGGGGGCCATTCTTCTCGCCTGCCGACCTGAGTCATACACGAATCTATGCCGAGCTTATCATGGCAATCTTCGAGCATCTCGACACAGCACGTTCCGGTTACTTGCCGCCAGAGGGCTACTCTCGAATGATCGACGACATGCAATATCCACTTCACATCAACATCTGTACGTTCATCGCCGTTCTCTCTTAGTCCGCTGAGCATTCACGCAGGGAAGAAGAATCTGACTCAAAGTTCGTTCCTCCAGAGCCGCGAAGCTGCTGCAGATGCCGCTCTCCGCGCAGCGTACGACACCTTCGGTCTAGAATACATCACCCAGAGCCGACCACGTGCCAAGTCGTCCGGGCGCTTTTCAGGTCTTCAGTCACTGGCAAGCCCAGCCACGCCGATGCCGCTCCTCACTGCAAGAGGTCTGGGCAACGTCATTGCCATAGAGCTGCTGTCCAACCCAAACGACGCCTTTCCGCGGCTGGCCAGAGCTGTCCAAGCGTACGGACTTTATTCGAAAGAGCCATATGCGAGCTGGGGCGCGATGCCACGCAGAGTTCTACCCGCCTCGCCGGATCCGAGGATGTTGGCTCGAGTTCAACAGGCACAGATGAGTGCTGTACAGACGGCCACCATGAATGCCCAATTGACTGCTCAGGCGGATCTCGCTGCTGTCAACATCCTCAGCGACTCGCAGTGGGAGAGGAGACGTTATTGAGCGTTTGGTGGGATGACCCGTTACCTCCTCGTCTCGGCGATTACACCATGTTGCCACCGATGTGAATGCAGTTTTGAATACCCATACCATATCTCTTACTCGGTACATATCATGCATTTAGCGCAGCATCCGCCTCTGATCCAAACTAGTGCTAATGACTGACAGCAGGCAATACTCGAGATTCAAGATCCTGTATGCTGTCCTGGGGGCACCGTTCTTCTCATAGTGGGCAGAACTATCCCATCGAGTCCACGAACTCGAGTCACTCGATCAGGCGTGTCGGTGTTGACCGATTCAGTGAACAGCCAGCGTTATCGCAGCTCGCATATTACATATAATTCAGTTGCGAAGCACGGAATCGACGGTTCTGGATACATGGAACGTACATCCAACACCAATACAGATTGTGTTCATGACAGTCGCAAGCACGTTAGAACGCGAAGTAATGTACGAACTTCGCAGTGGGTCTCCTCTCCGTGGTCACTTCCCCCTCCGCAAACGGCGCCACAAAAGCTTTATCGTCAATGAGCACCTCAGCCCCGGAGCGCGGTAGCGCGTTGAGTTGATTCCACGTCTGGCGCGATCTCGGCGTTGTCGCACTTGACTCCAGGTAATTGAACCTATCAATGACGTACCACACCGGGAACTCAGCCAGGATTCCCGTAGCATTGGGGGAAATGTGCATGTATTGAGGGTGGCTGAATATCAGGTGTACGAGGTACTGCGGGGCGGTATTTGAGCTGACATGGTACAACGATTCACGAAAGAACAAGTACCCACTTCGCGACCCATGTTGGGGAACCGGTAGCTAGGATGGGTGCATGCTGGAATCTTGATCTCGCCATCCATCCGCAGGAAGTGGTCAGGCTCCTCTGTCTCCTCGAACTCTCCGCCAATCTCCTCGGTCGTCGGTGTCGGTGAAAAGGCACGCACCGCCGCAGCTTCCGATCCGCCAGCAGCGGACTCCTCGTTCGACTTCCCGTCTTCCTCAGTCGAAAAGGTGGCCATATGCTCCTCCGAAAAAGCATTGCCGTCGTTGGGACTGGCTGGAAACTCGGATTTCCTTTCTTCCTGAGCTGTAAACGTCAAGCGCTCCTCAGTGGCACCATCCGTGATTGATACCTCCTTCACGCGCTTTGACTGGGTGCCCTTGACCGTGTGAGACCCGAGGTGTGAACTTTTGAGCGATCCCGGCGCCTTTGGATCCGGCAGCTGAACCATCTTGATCTCGGGAACAAGGGCTTCGTCATCAGGTCTCCCATCTTCCGTGCGCCAGACACGACCATACCCAAGCCGTCCGAGATAGCGGTCTTTCCGCGAAGAGGTCCGGGGATGCATCACATTCCCAGCGAACATGTCCGAGCTGAGAAACGCTACTTCGACCGCGCCGGGCTGGCCGAGCGCTTCGAGTACCAGTGCGTTTTTGGACCACAGCAGGATGGAGAACTGGACCACATCGCCTGCGGTGACGACAGCTGGGAGCTGCACCCCGAGCTGTCGGTGTTTTAGCGGTGCAAAGTACATTAGAGTTGTCACGGATGTGCTCACGATGCCTTCCATCTCGACCATCTCCTCGCCGAGTCGGCCCCGTCCACCGAACGGGGTAAGCTGCCAGCTGCCGATCACTTCTCTGCGCAAAGGCCAGTCCTCTCGAGTCGGAAGGTACGGAAAGGGCGTATGCTCTTTAGCGATACGTTTCGCCAGGGGAAGGTACTGCATCGGCATGTCGAACTCTTCGTCTGGCTCTCCGACCTTGTCATAATCAATGTTGATGCCGACTGTGTATTTTATGGAACCAGAGAAGCCCGCGACCATGTGGATCGCACGGGATGCTGCGCTTCATGAACATGCATAGAGCAGAGATATGTCAAAACCCACGAGGCAAGGGAACACGGCTGAGATTCTGGGCGGTGTTAGTTTGTCTCACACAGCAAGGCAGAAACACATACGCTCTTCTTTGTGTCGTCGAAGTGTTTCACTGGGAGATCGGCGGGAAGTGCAGGAAATGCGAACGGGAAGACGAACGTTCCTTTTGGGAACTTTCCTTGCCATTTGTGCGATCCGCTCTCGGTCGTGGGCCTTGATTCTGGCTTGGGAGCTCGCGGGGCTTGAACATTTATCTTCAGTCTCTTTGGATCACCCATCGCTCGGTTCCACACGGTAGTTTTTATGGCCAGATGGGGCGGAGAAAAAAAGTCGAGAATTGAGTCTGTGTTGATGACGACCTATTCGTGCTTTCCAGCAGTAGACCCTACACACTGAAATGAACGCACCCAGACGTCGATGCTCTTGATTTGCATCTTACGCGAAACTTTCAACCGCACTTCACCCAACACTTTTGCTGCGGAACGGTGAGCTCTAGCGATGCGAGAAGAGGATGAATGTGCACACTAACCAGCGTTATGATACATCGGCATGACCGATTCGGGGCGCGCATGACTGTAAACGACCAGTCCGAGCCATGGCTGCTCCCCAACGGATCTCGCATGTAAATTTGCGGAAATTTCTCTGTTGTAGTACGCAGGAATGGTAGAGGATTCCCCCGTTCCATCCATCAGCGGAGGAGGCGGTGGGTCCGATTCATACCAGAGCGGGACTCCTGTCGGAGAAAGGGTTATTAATTGCCGAGCGGGAGGGAAGATAATCCGGCAGCGCACCGAGAGTCGAGAGTTCCGGCCTGCGTCGTTTCGGCATCCTTGTCCCACCCATGGTCATCAAACTGTAGAAGCTCATCATAGATTCCGCCAGCGACCGAATGGTGCGTCCACCCGAAGAGCGAATCGTAGATGCATAGCTTTTCATGCCTTTCTTCCCAACAGACAGTTTGCTCATGGACGTCGCGTAGCTCTTGAGGCTGCGCTTGGATGATAACGGATTGAAAGCCTTCCCTGGAGCTTCCTGGAAGGTGGCTGTTTCCGCTACGTGCACTGCTGTGACCTCCACTGCTTCAACCTCTTCCTTGACTCCGCTTTTGCCGATCTCAGACTCTTCGGTCGGCGAACATGCGGAATCCGCATGTTGCTGATTGCGCTTGAGGACGTTGCGAAGGAGAGACATGAACTGGAGTTGGTCTCCGAGACTCACCGACTGCTATTTATCCTGCACTTCCGCTCCCGTTTCTCCCGTATAGAGGTGTATGCGGATTTGATGCGAGAAGATGGCTGGAAAGATGTCTGTTATCAGCATGGTGGCTGTGCTAGAAAGTCATGGAAAGGATGCTGGTTATGACTCACATTCCGGAGTTACATGCATTGCAGACTATACTCTTCTAGCTCTGAGCCAGGACAACTTCAGAGATGTTGGGATAAAATCTGCTCTTGATCTTCAAAGTAAAATCGGCGAGATATTTTCCCAGTCGAAATCCGGCCCATCAAATCGAACAGAGCAGTCTTTCGCTATCCGAAGATACGTGCTTAGCATTCCCCCATCTGACCCAAATGCCTCCCAATCCTTCGAAAGCGGCCGAACCTCACCGTGGAGTTTCTTCAAATCCCTTGGTCACTCGCTTCAATCGATCGCCGCAAAGCGCTGGGGGCGAATGGGTGCTGATTGTCTTCAGGGACAGAGAAATGACTAGGGCAGATGCACTGGATTGGCCCGCTGATAGACTATACGAGTATGATGCAAACTGAAGGATGAGAGGACAACATAGAGCATTGATGCTGGAACCTAGTGATGGAAGTTTGGTACGTAGATGGGCGAAGATGTCAGGTATCTCAACAGCTACCGCGAGCGCTCAGTATGGTCTCATCTCCCATTGAGTTCCGCCGATGGCGTTCACAGCAGCGAGGTCCGCCTTGGCTCTGAGCTGGGCCTTGATGGCGGCAGCCTGGACAGCATTCGTCTGAGCGGACTGGACCCGAGCCAACATCCTCGGATCCGGCCCAGCGGGCAATACGGTCCGAGGCATCGCTCCCCAACCCGCATACGGCTGTCGCGCGTACAACCCGTATCCCTGGATGACCTTCGCAAGGCGCGGAAACGCGTCATTCGGGCCCGCGAGCAACTCGATGGCAATGATGTCGCCCAGGCCTCTTGCGGTGAGCAGCGGCATCGGCGTGCCTGCACCAGCGATCGACTGGAATCCCGAGAACCGCCCGGGTGCCGTTGCGCGGGGTCGTGCTTGGGTAATGTACTCGATTGCAAACATGTCGTACGCGGCACGCAGCGCGGCGTCTGCTGCCGCTTCGCGGCTCTGAAGAGGAGAGCTTTGAGTCAGGTTCTTCTTCCCTGGAGTCTCCGTTAGTGCGCCATCTGGAGAGACGCGGGGGGTACATACAGATGTTTTCATGAACCGGATACCCCATGTCGTCAAGCAAACGGGAATACCCCTCGGGGGCCAGGAAGCCAGAGCGTGTGGTATCGAGATATCCAAAGATAGTCATGATGAGTTCGGCGTAAATTTGAGTATGGCTCAGATCGGCAGGCAAGAAGAACTGCCCCCAACCGTTGGGGGCACTGGGAGATGCGGGGGCTGGTGAGGAAGTTTCTCCTGCGATGATGCCGCCGGACGTGATAACGCCCACACTAGTGCCTCCCACGCCGGTCGCGGTACCGCCGAAACTTGTCCCTCCGACACTCGTTCCTCCTGCGGCGCTGCTGCTCTCGATACTGGAAGATGCAACCGGTACAGGCGAGGGAGAAGCTATCGTACGCATCGTCAAGGTGGATACATGCCAAAACATCGAGAGAAAGACACACCCGTTCCATATCCCAGCACCCAATTTCCCTTCACCACGGCTGTCGCATTATCGCCGCTGACGCGATACACCTGCATCGCGTGCCCAGCGGCGTGCGGGCTTACGAATCGCTCTCCTAAAGTGCACGCTGCGCATAGATCGTGATCTGGACAGACGAGACAATGCGCCCGCGGCGCGGTGCCGGGGATGAGGATTTGGCATGCGTCACAAAGGAAGTTCATCGCCGGCTGCCGTTCAGTCCCAGCCGTTTGAGAAGCAGGGTAGACAACGCTGGCTTGTGGCATGGTCGTTGTGAGAAAGGAGGGACAGGTACGATTGTGGCATTGGCATGGCACGTTGTAAGAGGAGGAAAGAGATTAACTGTGATGCGTATCAGGTGGTCACCAGTCGATCATTGCTTAAATTGAGAGAGCCTACAGCATGCTCGAAAATGGAGATATGTGCATTGTCTGAGTGTTTGCCTTGTCGATTTTGTATCTAACTATGAGTGAATGGCAACAGTCGTGCCACTCAGAGTCTCAGATGATGACTCATGAGCACGCTGTCACGACTGGCTGTGACAGTGGCTGTGACCATACGCTTTGGGACCCAGGCTTCTGCGGGAGAAATCTGACATTTATGCCCTCCAGCTGCCTGTTCGTTCGGACGGTACAAAAAGATTCCAGACCCTTTTTTACATGCCCCCGGCCTCGATCTCGTCCTAGACACTGATCTGCGGGGTTGGCATCGCACCCGGGTCTTGGATTTGAACATCCGGATTGAAGACTCCCGGAAGAAGACGGTCTTCATGGGTCGGCCTCGACACGAGCCGAACCGAAGCGGTTATGCGACTGCCAAAAACTTCAGGAGGTGTTTTGAACCGGTCCGAGAGTCTCGGTCCAGACTTCTGCACAACGCAGCGCTAAGCAGGCGCCTACCATACTCTATCCATCGAGACGGGAGACCCTCTTTGGCTTTGCTGCATAATAGTCGTTTGCTTCCATTCTGTCCCAACGTAAGTTCATAAGGTGTTGAATGATCGAGGGCTCTAATTTTCTCCTGTTGGAGCGCTTGGAAGACAATCGAGTTTGAGCTCTCATTCCTAGCATGAACATGTACGTCTTCTAGCCTGGTGAAGAGAACCCGTCCCCACCGGTGTATCGTACGAGGGAACCCTTCTGATAAAACTGGCGGCAAGGAAGCAAAGAAGCTGCCAAAGATGTCCAGTGTCGTCTGGGATTCGTTCGTGGGAGGTCTAGGCCAAGACCCTAGTCTGTTCGAGAAACCTACGCCGAGTACATGACTGAATACATGACCTGAAGGAGACACGCCTTATAAAGTTAGCAGTCTTTCAGCTACTCTCTCCATCTACGACACCCGCTTTCGCAATCATCCACGCATCACTTTGGCTCTAATGTGCTCCAGCTCGTCTGTCTCGACAGTGTCTTATGTACCGTCGACCACCCGGACCGGAGATCCTCCGCGCGCGACTGCAACTACACCGAAGACCAGGGAGCGCGGTGGCCAGTGCTGTCACTGTGGCTGGCGAGGCAGTCATGACCCGTCTTGTTACTTTAACAATCCAACAACAGCCGCTCGGAGGTACAATCATATTTATATGACTGCCATCGTCATCCAAGCTCTGACTTTCGCACTTTCAGTTGACCTTCCTCGAACTACTCGAGCAAGATCATCTGTTAATCTACCTCCAACCCATCAAAGTATGACGTCGTTCTATTTAGACGAGGATTCCGGGCTGATTTACAGACTAGAATCTCCAAATGCCTCAGTCCAGATTTCTAGATCACGTATATCCTTGTAAAATGTAAACACCAATCGTTCGTATTCATATGCTGTACGGGTTCATCTTATCCTTTTTCTATTTTCTAAAACATAGATCACTTTTGGAGTGTAGTCTTTATGTCTAAAACTGCTCGTGACTATATCGAAGCAATGGTTTGAATTATTCAGTCGTATATGGGCATGATATTCAATACTGCATGATAGCTCATCCAACCCTAGAATGAATTACTGCGCAGCTCGCTTTATAACACGAACAAAAACAGCGCGTCCCTGTTGAATGAGACGCACGAGCAAAGTGCCCAATGTCGGAACCCCTGGATGAACGGGGGTGGGTCAAGGGTATCTTGGACCTTGATCAAAGCCTAGTCGGAATGAGACAACGGAGAGCAGATATCGAAGGAAACAAAAACGAACGCCGTGACACCAACGGTCTCGATCGGCAGACCAAGCATCAGCAGACCCGTGGCAATAAAGATGGCTGCACTCGCGTAGACAGGTCTGTGGAGGCAGATTAGAGTCGGCTTTGGAATGCGCAAGATATTTTCGTTTACCCATTTGGAGTCTTTCCGGCCTGGCTGTAAACAGCGATCACTGAGGAGACGAGAAGTTCAAAGGAGAAACACAACAGACGCAAATGACAAACCAGGAGCCATGAGACCGGTGACACGACTCGATGCGGCAGCCAGCGCATCACCAGTGCCTCGTCGAGGAGTCGGAAATACTTCGGGAGCATATCCATATAGAACCTCGTAATCATGAGTAAACCGCATCATGCGAAAGACCAGATCGCTCACCCCATAGAACGCATTCTCCCAGAAACTGGCAATGGAAACGAGCGCATTGACCTGAACTGAGGTTCTCGCCGCCGTCAGAGCGAACAGGAAAACACCGGACATAATGGTGAAGAAAGCCATGGAGAATTTGCGTCCGGCGCGTGACCACTGGACCATGAGCGCGGCGAGAAACGAGCCGGCAACTCCGCACGCAGCCTGATAAGTGTATGCAGCTGGTCTTACAATCAGTTCATCACCGATTCGAATCACAACAAAAACGTACAGTAGGTCGCGTCGATACCCGTGTTACCGGTGCTCTTCTCGCGAGACGAAAGATAACCTCCGCTACATGAGAGTCAGCATCGCGGAAATATACAGGATATCGCCAGTTTCACAGGAAAGCGTTGAAAAGGGGGTAGGCGAGACCAAGAGAACCATCTGGAAGAGAATCAGTTGGTGTGGCGAGGACTTTCACGCCCGCCCCCAACTCACAAATGAAAATGATCAGACCAGACGAGTACGCCAGACGCGGTGTCGCAAAGAGACCCTTGATGTTTTCGCCGCTCAGGTGCTCCCAGCTGTTTTTGATGAGACCCCAAGTGGAAAACTTGACGGGCGGAATTTCTTCGCCAGGCTCAATCCAAGGACTAGCCGCATCGTGCAGATCCTGCACAGTGAGCTTGCATTGGACCTTATTCTTCTTGGCAATGCGGTGCACAACATCGACCGCATCCTGATCGCGACCGATGCCTGCAGAGGTTTTAAAACGACATCATAATGGGATACCGCACGCACTCAGCAGGAACTTGGGCGACTCATCCATGGGAAACACAAATATGCGGACGATGCCGAGGAAGAGCATCATCGCGCCAAGAGTGTAGTATGAGTCTGGTGATCATGAGCGAGAGCACGACTGGAGTGACAAGCGCCTCACATCGCCAGCCATTGTTGTTAGTGTTGTCGCACTGGTAAATGCTGCCATTCGCGAGTACCGTACCGACAAGAGTGGTGTCGCACGAGAATCTAAACGCGAGTAAGTAAGGGATCGAGAGTAGAACAGTTAGGACGCACTTGGCGAGGAAAACCCATGAAATCAGCGAGCCAACGACCTGACCGATGGCCCACCAGACGGACAAGAACGTAAGCAGATACTGGTACGGACCCGGCAAAAACTCGAGGAAGAGCGCGCCGTCGACAGGCAAATTACCTCCCACACCGAATCCTGACGTAGTTTGGACGTGTTTGATGAGCGTTTGACGGTATGATCGACATACCGATGCAAGCCAGCATAGCTACATATCGACATAAGCGACGTGTCTTACAGAAGGAATTGATGAAGAAACGTACCTCCGAGAGTCACAAAATTGGGAGAAGCCCCTGCCCTGTTTCGTGCGTGAGAACAGCGATCGAAGACAGGGAAACACGCACGCAATGCCGAATATTCCAGAGAGGAATAGAGACGCATTCCATGCGGTCCGACGTCCGATCACATCGCAGGTCATGCCCCAGAAGATGGCCTATGACGATTGAATAGGAAGTGACAGTCGTAGCAGCAGCTGACGCACGCCGACGATAAGACCAACGTAAAGAGCAAAGGTAGCCATCCGGATGTTACTTGAGTAGTTCGGGAAGTTGTGCTGTCGGCAATTAGGCGGTGCGCGAGCGGAAATAGAGTGTCCTGTCCGCACCTGATTCGCAATGGCGGGCATCAGGATAGCAATACCCTGCAACCAGATGTCTAAATTCAGTTATTCAGCGAAGAGTTTTGGAAGGAGAATGAGCGTGCGCACTGTCCGCGAACCATCTGAGCACAAATCCCCATGATGAGCGCGAAATTCAACTAGAATGAAACTTACCCAAAACCTGGTCCCCGTCAGTCGAATAAGGGATGAGGACAGTCGTTCACGCACCAGCCGTGAAGAACAATTCGTACTGGTGAAGGAAGGTCAGCACGAGAGCGTGAGAGAAGGCAGAGCAAGTGGTGACCAGAGGAGAGCCTCTGCTCCAATGCTCCAAGACGCACCTGGTAACTAGTGGAGCATTAGTCTCGATATCGGCAACGAGAAGATCCACGTACCGACCGAGTCCACACTCTGAAATCGCGTCGTTGAGAACCTTGACTCTGCACGCACAACTCGTGTTAGAGCAAACTTCCAAAATTCGGTCGAAGCCCTCCTTACTTCGCAAGGAAGATCGGCTTTATGCCTTCCTGCTTGGCTTTCTCCAAGAGTGCCTCAACGCTAACGTCGTCACCGTGGGCCGTCTTCTCGTTATCGTATTTCTTCTCCGTGCCGCTCATTTCTAGATGAGTATCTTCGGGGAAGTCGGAGGGGGGAGGCGAAGAGGTGGAGGTGGAGGACAGAAGTAGTTCGGTCAAACTTTTCACCGCTCCCTATCGATCAAAAACGGTGGCATCACCGGGCATCACGCACGTTTGCTTTCCTCCTGCCCCGAGGAATTTCTTATCAGGTGAAATGTCATCATCTGTAAATATTGGACGCGCGGTATGCCAAACCGCCCATCAACACCGATCAGGCGAATGATCATTGATTGATTGACCAAGTGATCGTACCCGCCAGCGTTCAAGGTCTGGGGGATCGTGCCATTCAGACCTTCCTACTGCGCTTTCCATTGATTCGTCCAAAATCCCCTGGTGGAATATCGTTTGTAATCCAGGAGCCTATTGTAAATGTGCAATACTTCCTCTACTCCCTTGAGATCTTATCTGGTGGATCTTGACTGGATTTGGTCCTAAAGCCGGATCCTTGAAGTCCTCGATGGTGCAGTACCCTGTATAATTCCTGGAATTATGCATGTAGCGGAAGTTTCTGGCAACTATCTGGTGTGACTATGCATCGTGCAAATTCTGGTCACGGAGCATCAACAAAGATAAGATAAGATTGCATCCGCTCCCGTGGCGCTAGGACTCGCAACTCTTTGATAGATCGTCAAGTCAACTCGCTAGCAATTGCTCTCGTACATAAGTTCCACAGGCATGATGAAAATAATGCGACCAAACCCCTCGGGCCCGAGGCTCTCATCGACAGGACCAGAATGACAATTTGAATTAGAGACATCGGATCGTCTTCAAGAAGAAACCGCTCGACCGCAATAGTTTATAACTACATGTAAACATGGTGGTCAGACTTTTCTCCCTGTGCTGTCCTACAGGAACGTGATGCACAGAAAGCTACGAGTGTCATGATTGGTTCCCATTCTGAATGACGAAGCGCCGTACAGGGCACGATCTAGTCCAGCCATGGCAATGCAGTAAAAGGCACCAGTCGTTCTAGACGACGTCATTTGCTAAATACGCACTAGGCTACAGCATTTCTGGAATGTATGTATGATGTATTTGCATTCCTGAGCGGACACTAGGCCCACTATCGCACGCGCCAGACCCCAGAGGCCAGGCGCAGCAGGTAACATAGATAGAGATGGGCACTAGGCCCACTCGAAACTCGTTCGAGCACATGAGACAGAGCAAGACAAATAGAGCATAACAAAGCAAGTAATGGCGTGAGGAAGGATGTGATGGATCGTGTCTGGATGTGGTTGTTGGGATGGGGGTCATGTAGATCATGTGGTGATTTGGTCGTGCTCAGAACGAGCGGGGCACAGCGCCTGCATGCATGTGCCTGGCGCGCGAACGACGAACTTCGTTACGAACGAAGTCGCGATCGATGCGGGCATCGCGACGACGCGAAGCGTGCTTCGCCTTGCACGTCTTGGCAGTCGTCGTCGACGTCGGAGTACTCGCAGGTGCGACAACCGTAGTCGTGTGGTGCGGCGCCGTCGTCGACTTTGCAGTGGGAGCGCTCGAATGGTGCACGGTGGTGCTGTGAGTAGCCGTCTCAGTCGACACTGATGAGGCGCTTTCGGATGGCTGCGGTGAGTTGGAGGGAGGAGCGGCCGCGCTGGATCCAGAAACGAAGGAGGCGACAACAGGGCCGGGAAATCGGTAAGCCGCCTTCATGTCATACACCTGTCCCAACGTATCAGTGCAAGTCTAAAAAGGCGACCAAGAGGAGCACACGCACGTCAATGAGGACACCAGGGTCGTTCGTCCCGTAGGCTCCAGGGAACTGGACCAGCTCGCTGGCCTTCGGCACCGCGGAGCCTGTGCCGGTCACACTAAGCTGCGAGCAACTCGGGTAGAACTCGGCACCGCCGGGGGACTGTGCGGTGTGCAGTGCAACGACTTCCGTCCGGAGTAGGTAGTTTCCCGCTTTAAGGTTCGCCGGTATGGTGACATTGATCGGGGACCCATTGTCTATCAGGTAGAAAGATGAGTGGTGATAGAGCGAGGATGGCAAGCGAAGCACGCTACACACCGAGATTAGCCTGGAACCACGTCCCGGTGGACGGATCCAAACCCGCTTCGTAGATCTTGAACCATTTCGCACCCGTCGCGTCAAAGTCCTTGCAGGATGTGCTGCCGCAGCTCGCCATGTACGCCATGATAGGCCCCACATCGTGGAACCAGTTCCCGGAGAGCGTGAGCAGAGTAACCTGCATCGCACTCCCTGCGGCGACGGTGGCGACCTGCGACGCCTTGGTAGCGCTGTTGCCGCATATGAGGTCCGTCGAGGAGAGATCCTTCACGGGCGATACGGTCGAGATCTGGCGAACGATGCTTGGGTTGGGCGTGGGTTGCTGTTCGGCGGGTTCGTTGCCGAGGAACGACTTTCCGCCTACGACGACTTTGCTTGTCCAGCCGTGTGCAGAAGCGGGGACGACGAGTGTAGCGGCAGAGAGGAAGATGGCAAAAGAGACGGTGAATTGCATGATTGTGCGTGTGCGTGTCGACAAAAAGAAAGACGAAGGAAAGGAAACCGAGCCGCGGGAGGAAGGAGGAGGGGACGGGTGAGGACACAAGGAATCAAAAAGCGGTGCTCGCGATTATGAACAAAACGTTATTTGGCCTTGATCGCACCTCTATTTGGTCATCTCTCTTATTCTTTTACCCCATCCGACGGCATGATGTACAAAAGCGGAGTTCTCATCGTCGCCTCGCTACCCGCCATCTCTGCGCCTGCTTCTCACCGGTCTCTCTCGGTCACCAAATGAGAAGCGAGCGTCTGACCGCAATTGCGTCAATGCCTCAGAAGCTTAAACGGAAGATCGGGTTTCAAACCCAATCCAGATGTATTACTGAGTGTATATCTAGGTCTACCGGCCCAGAATCAATCTTCCGCACCTAGAACTGAGATATTTCAGACCCAGCCGAAGTAAATACTAAACCCTGCCAACATGAAAAAGAATTCAGAATCCAGAAGATCCGCTCGAGGCTCCGTCTCTTCGACTAAGTTTCCCTCAACCTCCTCGGGTCTTCATTCGTTGCGCTTCACTCAACAAATTGAAATAGGGAATTCTGGGTCCGAGGCCGTCGTAGCGATAGAGACGGACGCATCCGCATTCCCCGTTCTATGACAACAAGGCCCCTGGCGAATATTAATGGTCCCTAAGAACGACTCAGAGCGACTCAGAGCGACTCAGGCGCTGCACTTGCTCGGGAGCAAATGGGCCATTCCGTGTTCTACGTCTGTTGCGCTTCTCTCATGAGAGAATCTCGAATGCCCCATCTTGCATCGTCGCAGCTACCGATTGGACAACAATGCCTCGCTCCAGAAGTGTTTGTTGGGGTCGCTGTTCTGGTTCCTGCTACTCTGCCGCATGTTACTATTCGGGCCAAACAGCCCCGTTTGTTCACCACATTTTTTTAAGTGCTGTTGAGTCCGTGTTCGCCCGTTTCGAGAGGTCAGGAGCACATGCGCTTAGAGTTGTTTTTGGCGCCGCTCCCGGATGCTGCGTATAAGATCATCTTCGGTGTATACGGCGTGGCTTTGCGATTGTAAGCGAAGCTCCACTACACGTCGTCCGAATGGCTTGCAATCCCAATGCCGCCGGTAGCACCCTAGTCACAGCTATTTCAGAGCCCCAACTTGGTCTCTAGTCCACCGCCTTCAGTCATTCACCTTCCGACGTTTCTCCGAACAGTGTATTTGTTTCGTGCAGCTTGGCTAGCGATATGAATTGCGGCTTCCTGGCCTTCATTTCGTGCCCGAAGCATGTACGATACTAAAATCCGCTCGTTTGATGCGATAACATGTCCATGACTCACCTCGGCATCCGTGCTTTCAGTATAAAAGTATATTTACTCAAATCATTACTCCATTAATGTCGATTGGGTTTGCGGGTGTGGTGTAAATTGATCCAAAAATGCCCAAGCATAGATCAGATTCAAGCAAACTTTGCCAGCGCTGGCCTCGATTATCGAGCCACTCCCGTTTCAAACAACCGTGTTGGATCTGGATTTCCTCCAGTACAGATACACCTCGTGCAGTCAGCTCACCACAGGTCCATAGATTAGTAGATATCAGATCGAGACATTCTGAAGCGCCTGTTCAAACATCCTCATTCTTTCTGATGGCTCTTTTCTTTGATTCAGGTTGCCCGGTAGTCGACCCTCTCTTTCGCCCCCAATTGCATCACCGCGATGATGCGTTCTAAGGCGGGCTAATATAGATCTCACACGACATGGAAAATCTTTTGGTTCAAGCGCTGCATTTCTGAGTGATTTGTGGCCACCTCGGCCACTCGAATGTATGTATGGAGCTCCGTTGATTGACGCGTCGTAGTGAATTCGATTGTCCACGGTCACAAACACCGACTCGAACGTGGACAACGCTTTCGACGGCTCGCTAGCAGTCACTAGCATAATGCGAATACTCTGGCGAGAAACATACGCAAAAGTACAGAAATTTGCTCCGTTGTCTTCCAAGTGATCGAAAGAATAAGAAAGCTCATGCAGAACATCAGGATCCATTGTCTTTCATCAGATTCAACAGAATATGGATACTGTACACTCATACATGAACTTGTTTTATGTGGTCCACCAGATACCCAGCCAACCTAAGAGCCGAAACCGACAAAAACCGAAAATCTTTCTCTCAGGCCACGACACACCCGAAATTATGAGCCTTGCCCGGATGGGCTTCCTCCGTGAGTGGCTGCCGCCCAGGAACAATCTCAGGATCAACCTTCTGTTGCGATTGCGAGTGCTGCTGCGAGCTCGATTTGTCTTGCTGTTGCCCATTCCCTTGCTGTCCGTCTTGATGATCGGCACGCGCCTGTGGATGGGGCGCATGAGACATGGTTCGGCTCAAGAATATAAAGTAAACCAGCCTCGAAGGGAGACAAATCCAGCGGGACGAATACATCACGGCCTTCGGGGGAGTCGGTTTCCTGGCGCGACGGTACGTCAGTCGTGGTTTCCAGTGTGTATCATCCCACGCACCTCGCTGCGTTCATTGTTGATCACCGGGATCGAGTCTTCTTGACGCGCGATGACGGGTGAAACAGAGATCTGTGTCATCGTCATACAAAGCATCAGGTGACGGCTCAGCACGCACACCCTGATGAGCTGGGAGCGGGACTGGCGCAGCGGACACGCTAAGGACGGCGGCAAGAACGAACGAGAGAAAGAGGGTGCGTTGCATTGTGACTTTGCCGATCGAAAGAAAAAGAGAAACACGAAAGAAAGTGTTCGAAGAAAAGAAGGTAAATGGGAGGGAATGAAGCAGCGAAAGAGTGAGAGCAGTTGATTCCGGAACAATGGGGAAGACTAGCTCCCACTGGATGAGGTCGAAGAACTCAGACGAAGAGAAAAAGAAAGAATGAAGGAAGAACGTCGCACGCACGTATCTCCCATCTTATATCATCGACTCATCATCATCACAGGCGGCGAAACACGTCGTCAGTCACTGCCCCCATCCATCTATCCGCGAAGACGGCGACGACGACAGCTAATGGCTTCCTGAGCCCGTATCGGAGGGGTGGGCGCGTTGAAACCGGGGCGATGTGCAGTACAGTTTGTACTGGGGTTTGAGATGGCCGCAGGTAAGAACTCGGTCCTTCGCAGTAATGCGGATCAGTCGTTCTGGAACTTTCATCAACGGCTAATCGCGCTGATTCGGATCTCTCACCTCTATATCCTCCGTAGATGCACTCAGACTCGGCATCATGACACCAAAGGTATAGCTTAGAATTCCATGCCTGAATGCGGGAACTGTGCGAGCAAGTGGAATGTCAAGTCCCAGTGTCGAGATCAATCGAACAAGAAAGTTCACGATGGTCTGGGATAGGAAAGCTCGGTGCAAGCACCGCTTCGGTAGCAAAGCTCTGAGCGTACAATTCATTTGTGAGGGGCAGTTCGTTCTCTCCAGTGCAGCAACACAGGTGATGAGATGCAGCCAATGGCGCAAACGCATCACTTCACTGAACCTGTCCATGCAAAGGGTCCGCAACGGCGTCAAAGATTGATCGTATCTAGGCGCCACGTGAGATTCTTGCGAATCTTAAGGATTTCCGGAACCAACGTAAGATACTGGTTCAGATTCAGCATAAGTGTTCATCTGATTCAGGGCCACCATGAAACAAGAAGTTGAATCTAAATGTGAATATCATCTAATCAATTTGCGTAGCTCCTGCCAGATACCACACCAACTGCGGACGAGCATTAAGAAGCAGGTAGTATGAAAGCTGTCTAGACAAAGGTCGTCATGGTACCAAGCAGATGGTCAAAAGAAATTGAGAAATACGAAATGAGGACGAGTCATGGGTCACCGTCGGTTCGATGGTGTAGTTGGTTATCACTTCTGTCTAACATCCTTCATTCTTGGAGACATGTTCACAGGCGGTCCTCAGTTCGAACCTGGGTCGAATCATGTTTTGCAGTGCTCCCAATCTGCACTGATTTGCCACTGATATCCTCTGGGAACGAACCCTCGTTGGAAAAAAAAAACTTTTTCCTCCCTGCGCATACACGGAGTCTCGTGCACTGTGGACCAATCTGAGCTCTGTGTAACTGACCATTGTAACCTAGCTTCTCATGTGCACTCGGCCGGAGACTAACATCCTTCCAGCCTGACAAGTAGATTCACGTTTTCGGAGTAAGTGTTCGGAGCGACCTGTCTTACGGGAGACCAAGGCAGGACCCCCGAGGCAATCACAGTGTGGTCAGCCTAGGCTTCGGCATGATAGTATAGTCTGACGAAACAAGGAATACAAACGGAATCAGGGAGACGTGCAGTTAAGGCTAGGGATACACAGGCTAGTTGTACAGAGTAGGACTCGCATGGACGTTGCTTGTCGGATATGAGATGAATGTGGGTAGTTGATACAAGACAAGGAAGGACGGCCGTCAGACTGTTCGAAGAGAGATTGCCGCACGACGAGACCTGTTGTTTGGCCTCTCAGCAGATATCCGAGTAAGATTGGAAGGATAGCGAGGGCTTGATGGAGTCGCCAATTTCTCTCCAGATTGACGAGGTAGCGACAGCAAAATCTGCATCGGCACACAGTCCTTATCTTCGTCTGCGCCTTCATCGACTTGCATCTCGTTTGAGAGGGGGCTGCGGACCTTCGGTGCGTACGTGTTTTGCTGCGGGACGGCCGGAGGGTAATACAATCTCGAACGAGTAATCGGCGGACCGTCGGGACCCCGTGCTGGAAACACCCAGGTGCACGTCTGCACGTCTTTCGCTTTCAAATGCAGCTCCATCCCGGAAACGTCCATATGCACATTCTTGCCATCTGAGAAGGCGTTCATCCGCTGTTCCCATCGGATACCCGCGATGCCGCACGCATAATGAAGTGCATGGGGTGGGGATTGGGCAGCGGATAGTTTGAGAGTAAAATGCATGGGTGGTGGTGCAGTAGTCAGGGGGTCAAGATGAAATGAAGGGCGGCCTGCGCCTGTATAATGGTGATGGGACGATGAGTCTCCGCGAGAGGGCACGTGAAGGAGCGCACGAGTGTGTCAGGTACGGAGGATCGGGAGGGGAAGAGGGGTGCGCCGTCAATAGTGGTCGTCGATAGCTTGTGAAAAGAGGAAAGGCGAAGAGGTGGTTCCTGAATCATAACATGAGCCTGTGATAGAGAGCATGAGTAGACGAATGACACGGACCCCAGGGAAAGATATGATACGAGATGAGCCGTACCAAGAAACGGGGTAGGTTTGTACGGCGTGCACAAAGCCTGTGCGCCTATATAACTGTACGAGCTGACAATGTAGACCGGGACTGCTTACAGTTCCCACATTGTCTCGTTTGCGGACTCAAAAACCTCGAGGACGTGTACAAAGCCATGTCAACAACGTGGCGATCCTGGACGTGGATTGTCCTGACATGGTATACTATGTCCACCCGGAGACCACATTGCACGGAAACAGATGCACAGCAGAACGACTGCTCAAATGATCAAATGTACGGAAGCATTACTGCAACATCTACCCAGAGGCCCATCACGACTCAGCGCCAGAGCGCTTTCGATACCACCACACTGGCTCTCCTTTCCATCGCTGTCTGTACCCGCTTCATGTCACTCGAGATCGTGCCAGCAGCAGACAGATCCCTTGGCGGACGCTTCTTCGGCCCGACCCAAACTTGCTCGAGCTCTTCTAGCAGCTCCCGCGATACGACACCAGGCTCATCTTGCGTGCCCGTGCAAGGATGAAGTGAAGAGAGCAGACCCAGACTGGAGAAGGGCGAGTTGTCCACCTTGACGAGGCCGAGACCAGTTACGTGTCGGATCGTCGGTGAGGTTATACTTGAATGTGGTGATGACGAAGATTGGGAGTTGAAGTTGCCAGAAGTGGGGAGATCGGAGAGTGCGAGCAGTGCCTCGACTTCGAGACAAAATTTTACTGAAGACGAGGTGGTGTCGCTACCTAGCGAGAGTTCGTACGACACGTCGAGATTGCAAGAGTCCAGAGAATCTTCCTGAATGTTGACAGTGAAGTCGTGCTGGTGCTCTTGCGGCAGCGATGAACAAGCCGTAAGTGAGTCCAAACGGAATGAGCCAGCCAGCGCCAAGTGAGAGGAAGGAGTCGCTGAAAGAGACAGATTTGCGTCTAGGGCATCGTTAGGATTGGGGGGACAGGAAAGAGGGCAGGAAAGATCCGGGGAGGTGCGAGTGAGTCCGACTCCAGCGTCCATCTTGGCCCATGCGTATCAGTCACACGCAACGACTACGGAGCACCGTCACCCACACACCTTCAGATTTCTATCCAGTTCATCGCCAGTGCTCCTTCGCCTTAGACAATGACCCGCACTCGGGCCGCCCCAGCTCCAGTAGTTGCCTTCGACAGCACTAGCGCTGCTCGCCCGTGCACGCCTCACGCGGCTACCCTCGCTTGAGCGTGACTCTGATGAAGTATCCACTGGAGCTTGCGTCGAATAGCAATCCGACTCTCCTTCCTCCGCTTGACGATAGCGATGGCCAGCGTCCGCGTCTGCGTCCAGGTGGTCTAAGCACGCCGTATCGTTTGAGATATCACCGGGCGAGAGCAAAAATAGGCGTGAAAGAGAGTTGTAAAAAGTTTTCGCGATCTTCTCCATGGTAAATTGTGTTGAACGATTGACAGTAGCCTGGGGGTGTGCGTGGTAGTATGAAGGAGGAATGAAGGAGTGGCGGTGCTCATCGATCAATCCAATTTTTTTTGTCGCTCGACCATGGCCACGCCTCGTTCTACCCGGACTACCGACTTCTGCGACCCGGATCGGGGAGCAGGGCTCATCTTCAAGCATGAGATCATATTTCTGTTCCCTTCGCCAAAATCGAAAGACACCCGTCTGGAGGGAGGAGGATGACACACCTGGTCTCGGCAAACCACTGAAGGCAATTATCTCGGTCTCTGCTCGGCTGAGTCACTGAGTACCCGGGGTCGAAAATGAATGCCTTGCGTATATGCGAAGCTTGCAGGTATGGTCAGCGTTGCTCTCTCGGTGGCACTGATGATGCCGAACAGCATTTGAACAGCCTCAACCTGTGTGCGCGCATCGGTGTAGGCTTTTCGGATATTGCCAAGAAGGGTAAGACAGTAAAGAGAAATGACCAAACGCCCCCGACACACCAATCGCTGCGATTGACTCTTTCGCCGCACGATCCATTCCCTCTAGTCAGGTAGGCGGTGCTCCTACCTTCATTCGTGTGCAAGTCTGAAATCCAAAAAAAACTGTAGAATCTGGATTTACTACTCGCAGAATCGAGCGCTTGGTTTCCAGCGAAAGTGAACCCCCAGATACCTGCATTGGCCAGAGACCCATAGCTTTCCGTTCCCCTATAATGCTCTGGAAGCAATATCAGAGCCGTATCCGCCACCCGTGCTCTTCTTGATACTTCACATGCTGCGGCGATTACAATGTCAATACTCTGCCCATTGATCTCGAAGAGGGTGTTACCACCCACTCTGTCTCTCCCACTTCCGACAGTAAAAAACGGTCCAGTATGTAACTCCCTGAGTTTATTAGATCTTTGAGCTCCTTCAAGAGGGAGCCATAGCCCTAGGATTTAGTCAAATCCGTTTGGCTGTAGCCATAGAAATTGCATTCAAATCTATGGCTGTAGCCATAGGGCGTGGCGGTGCTGATGTGAACAACGATCATTATGATCGACAACCTGTGATTGTGATTGACACCCAACAGCTAGGCAGTGGTTTCAGTGAGGATTGAACGGCTGACCTTCTAAAAATGTAAGTTAAACCAATGCATTATCATACTGAGCTAAACTGCTGTTAAACATCTGGCAATTTCCCTCAAGTTAGGGTAACCCGCAAGCGGCTTACCCTAAGTGGAGGGAAAGCTTTATCCTAGTACTGGTTGTACCAACCCCTTATCACCCAATAAACATATTTCTTGCCCCAACCAACCCTAATAGAGCCTCTAACAGGATTTTTTTTTGCTCCCTTGCCCCAACCCTAACTGACAATAAATATATTTCTTACCCTAACCAACCCTTACAGAGCCTGTAATAGGCTTTTTTTTTGCTACCTTGCCCCAGCCATAACTGAGAAAAAATGACGTCTCTGGGGACTAACCTTTAACCCAAACCCAAACCCTAGCCTGAACCACTAACCTCCGCGCCCAGAGGGGCGCGGCTTGTTGAAGACAGTAAGGCTGATCAACACTTTATGTTGAGGGATCATGGTGGTGCTGATGGCAATGATGATCTTGCACATGCCATGGTGATGCCGAGAAAAGCAACAGGACCAAAGGCCTGCCACGCTATGGCTGTAGCATAGCAGTATTAGTCAAAGCTATGACTGTATCCATGCTATGGCTACAGCCATAGATTTGAATGCAATTTTTATGGCTACAGCCATAGATTTGACTAAATCCTAGCACTATGGGTGCAAGAGTCCGATGGGTTAGTCAGAAACTCGTCCTACGACGCAATCGCCGAATATCACGTGTCCGTTTAGATGGTCATCTTCCAATAAAGAACGCCCAACTACGGTGTCACTCTGTTGCTAACTGGACGTCGTCTGATGTTCGTCCACAAAACCTGAACATAGATTGCAATATTTAAGGATTCGAAACGGTGCTATCACTCTTGAACGCGAATTTTTCTCGTCTCATGATAAACCCAGGAGCACCTGCTGATCCAGACGATCGAGCCTTCTGCATCAACATGAGAACTACAAGGCTTGATCACATATCACACTGCAAAACTGAACTTGATCCGATAATTAAATTTTTAAAAAAGTACTTCGTCAACTTAGCAGCGCACGGATCATGCACACGAAAAGCACATTTCCTGGATGGGCCACTGCATCAGTTTTTACAATTGACTTTTCCAAAAAAAGCCAATTACAAGGGTCGTGGCGCACTCCGAATCTCTATTGAGCATTCAGTGCAGAGGATCAGTGGTACTACGTAGTATCCAACTATAGAACTTTTGTTTACTTCATGGCAATGGCTTAATGCAGCCACCAGTCAAATTTCTCAGGATTTTGGACCGAAAGGCTGGCGCCCTCGCGGACAAGGACCTTCGTAGGGCAACTGCCGACTGCCGACCTAGGTCAGTTGTCCAATATGTCGTTGCCATGTTCATGATGACATGCATGCGACGTCTCGGCAGGCGCTCGGCAGCCAACGTTCTGAACGCGATATCGACCTTTCCAGGCGATCATCCGTAGGCCGGATACTCAGGCCCTGATCCTTTGAATTTTTTAAATCTGAGCGTTTCGTTCTGCCGCTAGCTTTGTCAGGAATAATCAGAGATCCTCCCCGTTCCTGTCGTGAGTTGATTGCCGAACGGCGAATTCCGTGATGGTGTTGAATTCCTAGAAACCTAGGTACAGGTAAACCATCCTTCTTCCAAGATCTTTACTGCAGTCATTGGCCACCGGTCATGGGTTCGGTGCGATTACGTGTCATTTCACTCCTCGTTCGTTCTCATTCCCTAAATAGACCTACAGCGCGCCTAAGAAGCATGCCCATGTGCATCGCACTAACCTAGGATTGTTGCCATCGCACGTTCTTTGCGATTTCCGCACCACGCATGACATCTCGCGCGTTCTTCCTGGCTATTAGCACCCATCTAAAGACGACACCCGTTTTGCCTGCGACCGCGTAGGCTTCTGGCGCTACCTTCTCGACACGCGATGCACCTCGCCTCCCTCCAGCCGCTCTTCGTCCTAGCGACCTTGACGCTCGGCGTATCGTCTATCGCTGTTCAGGCTCAGCCGCGCGCCGTGGCGTATGCCGATCCTACCGCCAATGGAGGGTCGATGCTCGACGATGGTATGTCTACCTGCTTGTCGATCTCCTTCCGGTTCACCATGCCACGTCGTTCGATAGCAAATGGCGGAATCGGCGCACCGGACCTCGGCGAGCCGCTGAACGTCATTATCTCGGGCCTGAGCTCTCCCGATGTGCTCACCGACTCTGGATTCCTCAACTACGTGCAGGCGATCGGATAGTACGTACAACTGTATTATGCACTGCGTGGGCCTTGGAAGTAATCGCCTCTTCATACAGCTCGTTCGAATGTCTCGGTCTGCACATCGGAACTCCGCAGACTGCCAATCTTGGAGACGGAAATGGATGGGTAGCGCAAACGGTGCGGAGTATCATTATTTCTCGTTTCTGGGCTGAAAAGTCATGCGTCGGTTCCAGGTCGAATATCGCCAAGACTACGGAAATTCCGACGTCGGCACGTGCCTCGAAAGTTTGATCGGCGGGGATCATTTCCGGTAAGCTGGCTTGTAGATGCGCGAGCGGGCGCTAAACCCCTCATGCAACCAGCATGTACCGGCAAAATGGATCCGCCGCAGACACTGGCGCCCTGTTCCTTGCGTGCGTTTACTTCTTGATTGTCCAGCATTGTCCAGAACTCAATCATTCACAGTGTTTCCAAAGAAGAAGTAAGACCGCGATCTCTATCTATCCTGACTACGTGCACTGACGCATCTTAGCCTGCTACTGAGAACCACAACATCATTCCCAATGGATATGACATCGGTGCGATCTTACGTTGCACTGATGGTTCATTCTAGGCTAATTCTTGAAGGCCGGGATCTGTTCTCCGCTGCAGCCATTGGAACGAACAGTCACGGCGGAGTGACATACACCACTACCGGAACCAACGTGACTGGACTGCTCGCGGCCGGGTCGAACGGGTAAGTCTGGAGACTTGAAGCGTGCAAATTCTTTGATGACCGATCATTTTGTGACAGGGTCAATCACGGTAAGTGCTTTCAACGCACGCATGGGTCCTTCCGATATCGACACTTGTCGTTTAGGCATTGCGACGGATGGAATCACGACCTTGCTTACAGTTACGATTGTCTGAGCCATTGGTTATTTACTGTAATCACCGGAACTGAATGTGGAAAGTGCAAGCTGTCACTGAGTTTGGACGGGTGAGCATGCGGCCGCACCACGCCACTTCATCTCATCGTTGTCCATTGAGTCTGGCTCCCACGAATGTCTGATTTCCTCCATCGTGAGAAGAGAGTCGCGGCTATAACATCCCACACTGTGCCTTGCCTCAGCAGATAACTGGATTCCCTTCGCAATGCATCCCAGTGTGCACCCGATCTTCCGAAGTGCTCTAGTCCGCGTCATCGCTGCTCGTGCCCTCATTCTCGCACTCGTCCTACATATCTTGGCGATGGAAACCTGGATTACATGGGATTTCTGGGGCACAGATCGTTCTGTCTTCAATAACTTTGGACTTTCGGATGATGCTTTTTGGACCGGGGGGATGGTGCTCATGGTTTTTCACCAGGGGTTCAGGTTTGATCATGCCCGCGAGCAGACTGGAATCTGCGTCATGACTTTTCTAGGCTGTTTCCGTTTAGATATTATCTTTGGGTGATCGACTTCCTGGTCATGGCGCTTGAAATCGCATGTGCGTTTGATCATCGACGACATCGTTACAGTAAGTGGACAAAATGATTGACTGATCAGTTCTCTTTGATTGAAAATGGGCTTTCCAGGCTCTTAGAGCTCATATCATCCTATGGTCTCTAAGAACAAAATGTAGCCTTGGGCCTATAGAATACTCCACTGAACCCCTGAAGTTGTTGCAAAATTATTTGTAGAGATATACTACCAATTATCAATGACTGGTTTTACAATAAAGACAACATTTTGCTTTTGTGGCCAGCCTTGAGTCCTGATTTCAATGTCATCTAGTACATGTAGGACTCTCTCAAACACATAGTGAAAGGTCAGCACCCACTGCCATCAGGCCAGGAGGATCCCAGGCAGGGGTGGGCACATTTGAACACGGACAAGATTTTCATTTAGTACACTGTAATCTGGAGATCTAGATATTCTACACATGGAAACTAATACTCTTGAGGTGCATTTCATTCCAATTGACCCTTGGGCAATATCAGCTCTGTGAGCCAGGACAATCAAAAAACTGATCAGTCAATCATTTTGTCCACATAGTGTAAATACTAGTTAACTCGGACTCGAACAGACTTGGAGCTGCTCTTTGTCGATTATTGGTCCTGGAGCGACCTGGTGCAACAAAAGCTTCCCAATGTCTCTCCAATGATAACCCTCAACGCGATCTTTCTGCCTCTCATGTATCTCCAGATCCAGTCCATAGTCTCGGCGTCATCTTTGTCTCTTAGAACTGCGATGTGGCAGCCCTTCGACTTCATGCTCGCTTCGTCGCCGACATCTCCAGCTTATACCCCGTCACGGATATTGCTCACGAGATCACTGGGTTCGGCTCTCATCAGGTGCGTGCTCGAGCATTTGTTTCGAACTTCTATGAATAGAGGCCATCCACGCAGAGGAGAGAGCCGTCTCATCATCTTCACACGCAGCCTGTTGCTCTCGATCTTCACGTTTGCAGCCCCGTGCTTACTCATCTCGTATACGATAATTGCGCCGTTGGAGAGTGCAACGCTGACCTACACCATCGCGAGTCAGACAAAGACTGCCGATATCACAAAGGAGCATATTGTCATCGAGGGGAATGCGACTATCATGATAGTGAGGGGCCCCGCGAACATACAACCTGAATTCTGATAGAGACCCCCTCACAGCATCGAAACCATATCTTGCCCGTGATCAATGTCCAAGTCAGCGTAGTGGACTCAAATCAGTCCTGCCCCTTTGATAAATATGTTGTCGCGACTGCCGAGGAATCGGAGAAGAAGTACGCGGTGTTTGAGTGCAAGTCATGTCCCTCATCCTGGTAAAGATAATCTGATTTTCAGAGCAGGTCCGAACATATCCTGGAGCAACTCGAGCACCGGGGTTCAGGTCCAATTCTCTAACTGGTCTTCGGAGACGAGTGCATTCAGCTTCCTTGAAGTTTATGCGCTTCGCGCCAACGATGAGCGGCTCATACAACCGACGAAACCGGTGGCGGTTTTTCCTGGATGGAACACGATCGCTGCCATAACGTGGACATCACACAAGATATTCAACGGCCCGCAATTATTTCGTGGAACCTTCGGTGTGGGTACCTAATCACTGACATTTCTACTGCGTCGAACGTATGTTCTCATCTATGTACACCACAGTCCAAGCTAGAGCTCCTAATTACCGAAATCGCCTCCCTCCTTCCTGCACACTCGGGAAATCGATCGATATCTTCTATCACATTCGTGCAGCAGAACTCACATCCGATATTGCATTTGGAGGACCACATCGATAGATCCTTCATCAACGGAGTCTCCACTTTGGGTGGCCTCTGGTCCTCAATCAACGGCTTCTTCTCGGTTCTTTTCGGCGCCTCTATCTCCTTCTTCCTCTTTCGTCTGTTTTTCTTCTCCCAATTCTCAACAGTACCTCGAAACTCATTCAGACACAGGCTCTCGGATGTTTCCACCCCTCGGTCTCGTGCATGTGGCACAGAGAAATGATCTATTGCAATCAGTGCACAAAGACCATCCGCAGCTTCTCGTGGAAGGCGGCCTGCCGGGATCCGCCGACGCCGGTGCACTCACACTATTACGAACATATCTGATTGATCAGGACGGTTTGAGAGTCGCTGATCGCGTGGGTAGAGGAGAAACTGAGGATCTCGAGATGCAATATAGAAGGCTACCAGAGCTCGATGGAACGCAGCAGGATGGAAATCCGGTGCACGCGGACATCCTCTCCGCGTGAGGACGTATGTACGAGTACATTACCCAGCAGCATTTCCTGGGACATAGGGCGTCTTGTTTTTCTGGGCACGGTTCACCCAACCGTGATATTTACGGCACAGCCGATTTGAAAACACGGCTGGTCTCCGAAATTGCATGGAGCGTGGCTGAAATCATATTTCTGATGAAACCTGGAGCTAATATCAGATCAGTGGAGGAAGAGACTGCTGCGATCTCCCGAAGCATAATTTGGTGATATTTGGTAATTGGATTCGACAGTACTCCGACTGAGCCTCTCCTCTGAGGACTAAGTACGGGAAAGACATCAGAGACACTTCGGTTGAAAAATCTGCAATACTGATACGGTGAGTCCTCCCAATCCTCTCTCGTAACTCGTATATGGTCCTATATTTATAGCCTGGTCTCAAATTTCCCGGAATTCGCTCACTACAGATGCTGGAATCAATGTTGAAATGGATATGACACTTGTGCCGTGCATGTGATCTTTGTGATGATAAGATCGATCATCATTTGATCAACGCCAGCCACACGTGCCATATCCTGTGACTCATCATCACATAGCCCTGTGAGTGACGTGATACGCGGCTTCGTCTACGATCCTCGAACAAGCATTGTTTTTGCTTGGTTCGAAGAAGTTGTCCTTGCTGGAGCTCCATGAAGCCAACAAATTCTTTTGCAGCGACTTCCAAGTGGCAGAAGTCAGCACGGCCGTGATCAGACGAGAGAATCTCATCAAGCATTGGCGGGCCATAATCAAGGATGATTATCATCCATCAGCCGCCCTGGTGCGCTGTATCAGCATCTTGCCCATGACCCTCAGCTACGAGCTCGACACGCAGCCTCGGGCAGACGAGGACGAAGCAGCCGGTGCCAAGCTATGGACCGTTTATGTCTCCGAAGCGCAGAAGTACGACCGTGCGCTGGTCGAGAGCTGGCGCAGCGACATGGACGGAATGCTCATTTTCGTGCGCCCCTTTTCTGTCGATCTGGCAGCACTGCCTTACGAACCACGGACAGGCGGGTCTGTTCTCGGCCATTCTGACGGCGTTCCTCATCGATAGCTACAAGAATCTCTCACCCAATTCCGCGGATACAACTGCCGCGGTGCTTCAGCAGATTTCGATCCAGCTCGCTGGATTGGCCAACGGGACGACGGGGATCGGAGCCGTGCAGGACACGTCTCTGACATTCTCCCCACCGGTATCTTCCGTGGTGTGCAACGCGCTCTGGTTCATCAGCCTCGGACTCAGTCTCTGCTGTGCGCTGATTGCGACGCTGATCGAGCAGTGGGCGCGCGAGTATCTGCACAAAGTGGACATGTATTCGACCCCGCTCGTGCACGCGCGTGTGTTCTCGTTCCTGTACTACGGGCTGCGTCGCTTTAACATGCATGCGGTGGTGGAAGTCATCCCGCTGCTGTTGCACGCATCGCTTTTGTTCTTTCTCAGCGGTCTCGTCGCATTTCTGATCCCCGTGCACACGGGAATTATGATACTCTCCGCTGGCATGCTCGGGCTAGTGACCCTGGTATATGCCGGATTCACCCTTCTTCCCGTGGCCTTCCTCAACTGTCCATTCCGCACACCGCTCTCGAACGCCTTGTGGTCCCTCGCGCGGCTGGTTCTGCGTTTCTTCAACTCTACCGCATATATCAAGCCGCCCTTTGGTCCAGGAAGAACTATCATCGACAGCATCCGACACTCTGCATTGGCTAAGACAGGCGACCGCGATCAGAGAGACCAGCGCGCGCTGTCATGGACGGTTCGCTCGCTCTCGGACGATGCAGAGCTCGAGCCTTTCATCGAGGGGATCCCTGACGCGCTGTGGAATCAGAGCACTCATCAAGGACGGAGAATATACCAGGCGCCCTTTCGCTCCCTGTTGCAGGACCACCGAGTTGGTCTGGTGCAACGCATCGAGCATTTTCTCCGCGGTTCACAGAGCGTGTGGGTTCCCAACGACGTCCGACTCCGGAAGACAGTATCCGTTCTCAAAGCGCTGTGGACGCTTGCTACCATTCCCTCTGGCCCTCGAGCATCTCCAGACTCAACGCCTCTGGTGTTCCATCCCCTCGAGAACATCAAATGGGACATACTGGATCTTTCGCTCCAGAGCGATATAGTCGCGCATCATCTGGTCTCCGCCCGCACGGTGTGCTATCTGAACGCGCTCCTCGACGTATCGAATCATTTGCGCTTCGAGCTGGAGCATGTGGGCATGAATCAAACGCCGCGCATGTATTGGGGTGTGTTCTCCCGTGTCAGCGGTCTTCCACAGCATATGCAGACATCCGCCGTGAAAACTGCGCGGCGCGATCTCCTCGAGATGCAGATTGGGGGATGGGACGCCGTAATTGCCACGGATGCGCTTGAGCAACTCTTGGCAGCGGTGACGGACGCTGAATACGAGCTGTTCGCTAACTTCATGATCGACTCCGCCGCTCTGCCCGAAAGCCCGTACGAGTTCGAGGCAACCAGCCGCTTCTTCACTTTCGACCGAGCGGCCGTGCCGCTCGACAAAATCGACACATTCACGATTGCCTTCAACTCCATTGTGAGTGTCCAGTCGACGCGAGAGATGTATTCGATGCACGCGGACGACATCCTCGCGACTTTGCTCGGCATCTGCCAGTCCTCGGTCGCTGAAGCAGAGCCAGACTTTGTCATGCCCTACCTTGCCCTCTATCTTACAACCCATCACGATCGCGCCCAGTCCTCCGTTCTCCGGCGCGGCGACAAGGTTTGGATTTCGCGGTGTCTCTGCTCTCAGGCTGTCCAGGCTGCAGAGTCGGGTCTCCAAGGAAACATAGCGGGAAGTTTCGTGCCAGCCATGAAAGCTTTGTGGAGCGTTTCGCAAGCCATCGCCATCGAATATATATCCGCTTGGTCACACAAATCCGGGGGAAACGACGCTAGGGGCTTGCTTGAGGCTATCAGATCAACGAGGGAAACTGTTCCTGACGACCCTATATCCCAATCCGTGACATTTCTGCTCCAAAACAACATGCTCAACTCGTACGGCCCGATGCCGCAGTACTCATGGGTCCAGGCAGCAAACCTACTCGTCGACAGCTATCCAGTACTCGGCTCATCGGATGCCCTGGTTTCTTCACACCCGACCCTGACGCTCTTGACACTGCGGCTGATCATACTCACGCAGTTCCTGGACCAGTGTGTCTACGCACTGAAGGAGTCACAAGACGCTGCTACGGCCCGACCTCTACCGTACCTTGCGAGCGAAACACTCGAAATCCTCGCACACGTCACACCCAACGAGCCCGGCATCCCTACGAAGTTCCAGATCCAGTTCACACAGACGTTCGCTGCGCTTATCGAGATCGCCCAGCCCGAAGCAGATTCGCTGATCCTCCAGCTCCTGCAGAGCAAGTTGTTCGAAGTTTACCACAGTTTTGGAGACGCGTTTCTGGATGATGTCGAGCTCCAGACTCTTAATTGGTTGGACGAGCCCGAGGCGGGCCGAGTTTTGAACCAGGCAGCGAGTATGTTGCTGGCGCGGCTGTCACCGGTTGACTCGCCCTGCGCCAAAGCGCTCGAGGCGGTGTGCTCAGGCCACCAGAGGATGAATGAGTATGAGGAGATTGGTCATAAATACGCTACGTAGATAGCTATTATGTACATGAAAATGGAATCGGAGGGCGAGTTGAACTTATGGGTGGCGGTGCCACAGCGTTCCCATTCTAGTCAATTCCCATTTCCGTATTTCCACTCAGAACTCGACCGCGTCGGATGCGTTCGCAGACCTAGCATCTTCGCCAATCCTTTCGAAACACCTGGGTCCACGATACCAGGCGTGGGTGGGTCTCTGAACCCGAACTTGCCGCAGTCATCCTCGTCCGCGTCCACTTCTGAGTTCTGCTGCTGCTGCTGTGACGCACGGTCGGTGTCCGGCGTGTGAGCAGTGAGCAGTACATTCGACTGCGCGTTCTGCATGTCCACCTGCAAGTCTGGCGGCCGCTGCCTGGAGGCCGCTTCATTTCGGGGTATCTCGGGATGCGGGGTTTGGAGCAGACTTGGATGTATGTCCGGCCGCGGCCGCATCGCCGCCTCGTGCGCGCGGACATGCGCAAGGTACGCTCCCTGGGCCGGTACCTCGATTAAATCCTGCTCGCGCGTTCCGATGGGGACGAACACCGCGTTGTATGACGTGAAACCAACGGGAAGCGGCAGGACTTTGACATCGTCTGAGATGTGCTGGCGCTCAGCTGGGGGTGCGGTGGGCGTGCGACCGGCCCACATCGGATTCGTCTGGTGCTCAGCGATGCTCTGCTCGTGGTCGAGATCGATGGGGCTACGGTCAGACGTTGAGCAGCCCACGGATGGGAAGGAGGAGGATGACGCGGTGGGCATTGAAACAGTTCGCGGGTGGCACCGGGATGTGTGTGCGGCTCAGTATCCTGGGGGTGTGGGGTGGCAAGGCTGAGACCTGCGGATAGTGGCACTGAATCGTGAAGCAAAGAAATGGATGAGCTGATTTATGTGAAACAGCGCGGAGATGGACCACCTCGATCGGCGACAGAAGGCCCTGGCTAGGAAGGTACGGAAGACACAAGGCAAGACAATAGTCATCAAACCATCGAGACAAACGGAGGGCCTGCATATACAATGTAGCATACGATTGTGTCAACGCAACAATGGAAAACGTAAAGTCTGACAGCTTGTCGGATGCACGTGCACCGGAATTAAACGGTGATGTGGTAGAACGTTACACGGTCACTATCTCAGATGCCCGGTATCGTCCGTGCAGGCCCCATCAGTTTATATAAGTATCATCAACAGTGCGGAAACAAGTTTTGTCTACTGACTTGAAACGGTTGCCGCGAGTCGGGGGCGGAGACGTTGAAAACAACTTTCACCCCTCTAATGTCTCACAATATCCGCTACTGCTTATAAACAGTACTGCGCGACAAGAACACGATGATATCCTTTTCAACCCTAGTCCACTATGAGCTCCCCCGATGTATCCAGCTGCAAACCTTCGATGCTGTGGAACTGGTACATATTCTCTTTCACTCCTTGCACTGCTCACGCTCCACCAGGAACACCGTGGATGCGTGCTTCGTCGCCGACTCTTGGCACGTCCACACTACCCGTGCGACTTCTGCCCTCGGGCCCGTGTCTCTTCTCTGATTCAACACAGGCCAATATGCGCTCTCCCTGCTCGGATTCTTCGTCTTCACTCTCCTCCTCGAAGCTTTCTGCCGCACAGGCCGCGCATACGACCGCCTCACGCTGCGTCTCTACCAGAACGCGCTCGCCGGCGACAACCTCACCCAGAACCGCTCCGGCGTCGGCGCTCTCACGCGATCCGACCGGCCGTACCGCCCCACTTTCCTGCAGCAGCTCGCGCGCAGCCTATTCTTCGTCGTCCAGCTTGCCGCGGGGTACTTCCTGATGTTGGCTGTGATGTCATACAATGGGGGTGTGATCTTCTCGATCCTGGTCCGTGAAGCTATAAGCATGCGCTTTCGGTGTTGAAGCTTAATGGTCATCTAGGCTGGAGGCTTTGTTGGACATCTTATCTTCGCTGTACGCTGCCCCTGCTTTCTTGATCTGTTAATCGATTCTGATTGCTATCCCAGCGGGACACCGTCCCGGGTGCCACTGCAATTGAGACGGCAGATTATGGTGTGTTCTTGGAACAGGTCACATTCGGTGGGGGAAAGCAAGGCATGCACTCGGAGTCGAAGATAAGCTTGTGATGTGCGAAGGAATTTCCTCTCTGTTTAGATCTCCTGTTCTTACTCTTCGCTTTCTCGCAAAACACCGTGATTGAAACTCTCGTCGAATTGAACTAGTCTCACTACAATCATGGCTGACACAACCTTGCAAATCAGCAATGCCACGTGAACTAATCAAAGAGAGCATTTAGTGATGGGCAATGGACGAATGCAAAAGCTGAACTCACGTCCCGCTTGGCAGGTTGGCCAATGGACTGATACTCCATGCCTTTCATGCCGAGACATTCGGGGACAGTGACGAAGGTAAAGCCTTGGTCGTTACCCACGTCGATGATGTACTGCAACAATTGCTTCCTATACGGGGGTTCAGGATGAAACAGAACCATCCAGTCAGATCAACACCACGCACGCAGTGAATTCTAGTGACGCGTTGAGTGCCGTGAGAATGTCAGAACCAAAAAAGTACCCACCATAGGTCTCGTGCATCAACCACAAAGCCATGCCCTGGTCGAACCCGCTGTTGGCCATGTCGTCCACGACCGCTTTGCTGTTTGCGTACGTCGCACCCTCTTTCGAGTCTTCGGTGCTGGAGCCGGGTCCCATCAGCGACGCTCACTGCGGCCCGACGAGGAGGAGATATGTACGTACTCCTCGTCCCAGCCAACCGCGGTCAGATTGAATGCGGCCAGTGCTTTCAAGACGTCCGCGTTCTGTGCGCCGTACGGGGGCCGGAAGAACGCCGGCAGGTACCCTGTCACCTTTTTGATCCCAGCTGCGTAGAACGGGTAAATGTGCGTGGAAGGGAGGCGCAGACAAATGAATATGACGCACTCAGGCAATTTCCGATCTCCGCGTTCCCTGATGCAAATCGATGAGCTGTTCCGGAGGAAAACACGTGGACACCTACTTTGCGTGTCGTTGAGGGTGGTCAGGTCGAGGTGCCGCTCGCCGTGGCATCCGACGACGTGGTTGGCGGCAATGACCGCGCGCACTTGCTCGAGGAGGGTTTCGTTATAGATGCAGCCGTCTATCCCATCCATCAGTCCTTCACTTTGATCCGACTCTCTAGATCACCGCGGACGCACAGTTGTTCGTGTCTGATCACAAAGTCAGCCGTAGATTCAGGCCGAAGCGCTCGTCATAAGGTCAGTACGCACTGAGGAAGAATGTCGCCGTGATATTCGCCTGCTTGAGGACGTCGAGGATGTAAGGCCTGCGTTCGGAGCGGGTGAGCTAACTGGGTTATAAACTTGATGTAAAACCGACTCGTAGATCCACGGCCCATCGTCCTACGCATCCATTCGTGAGCCCTTGAGAGACGACAGCCAAACAAATGGACTCACAAAAGCGATCGCCATTTGCCCCTCCTCCACACACTGGGTGTAGTACTTGGGCGCGCCGTCCCGTGGATCGACGAAGTGCAGCGCGGACGACGCGGCAATTCCGATGAAGACAGCGAGCTGAAGAAAGATGGAAGCGTGCATTGCGTTTTGCAGTGGGTTGTGAGTATGCAGACGATCGAACTCTACAGACAATGCAACACCGCAGCCCTGCCTCTGTACTTATACTGCTCTTCCAACATTCTCGAATAGCATTCCATCGGCGGAATCCTGCACGCCCCCGTCGGACTCCTTCTTGACCCGCGACTTCTATGACCAACAGAAGCGCACGCAAGGTACGGGCCCCCCTGCTCCTGTCGAGCTAAGTAAGGGAAGACAGCGAGTGCTGTTACATACCTTCGCTTCTCGCTCCGAGTGGCGCTCGGGGAAGGACACTGGATCACTTGCAGCTGGCGAAATCAAGCATTGCATTGACTTCATTGCCTCAGTTCTGTGAAAATTCGCTGCCGCGGCCTAGTGAGATCCGTCCCGTCAGAGCGGCAAAGTGGTCCAAGGGTACAAGCTATGTGGCATAGATTAGTACGTGTAATCAGGGGTTGAAGCGGAGAAGTTACGGGGGAGTGCTTGCCCCGACCGTGCTTGCTCGTGGAGGTCAAGAAGAGAAGGCGGCCAGCTTGAAGCTTCCGATCTCTCGGCTCAGCTGACCGGTTTAGACACGTGATGAAGGTACAGCCGCCCGACGTCACGTGTGCGTCTCCTGCCTAGTTTCAGTTTAACTGCTTTCTGATCTTTGCTGAATGGAACGACTGATCAAGAATCGCGCTGGGCAGATATTGTGCCCCAGGAAGTCTTCATTGAGCTTGTCGGATGCTGCGATCTGCTTGTTTCTCAGTCATTGCAAAGAGTGCACCTTCCGGCGGCTACCGGCTGCCAGCGGGAGCAGGTAAAGCCCGCATAGACCCGCGTGGAACAAACTAGAATCTGGATCTGTATCGACCTATTCCCATCCCGAGTCGAGCACAAGCTGGGCTTTTCTTGGCAGGTATTGATCCTCGTGTGTTGTTCTGATCAAATATGGACTTCACATGCAAGTGGGCCACAGTCAATGAGGGGTTCTGGACATGAAAGCATGGCACACCTCTCTGGTGGATGTAAATACAACGGCGGTCAGACTTCTTGTGCACGATGCAGATGAAACTGAGAAGCATGTCTCTAGATATGCCAGAGCTTCACGAATCGGACACCGACGTGGCTATCAATACGTCAATCGATGTGCGTGGTGCAATAGCGAAATGAATGATGACACGTGACAGCGGGAGCGAATGGTCAAAGCGGTGATGAGACAACCGTCCACACCTGTCGTGAGATAGGCAACGGGTCGACAAGTGACATGTATAATCAACTTGGACTTACAACTTGAAGGATATCCAAGCGCAGCCTGAAATTCAAGAAATAGCTCAACTGACCTGGATTACATGCTTCTGCAGAACGAGCTGACTCGGATCGGGGGTGTGCACCCTGAGACTTCCGTATGACTGTTCATGAATCATCTCATCGGTTCCAATTATGACTGGCGTGACAAGGCTATCTGGAAGCCTACTCCCTTCTGTCTTCTGAGACTTTCCATAAGTTCAATCTTATAAGGATCGTAGGCTGTGTCGTAACGTCTCGTCAGAAACTGTACTGACGCGCCTACGGCGCTCCTGGGCTCAGGACTAGGTGGGAGGGACGGCGTAGATACCGCCGATGAGCTGCTGATCACCCGGGACGGTGGCCGTAGAGATAGCGGTGAATTCGAGGGGTTTTGGTCGGGCTGGGTCAGACTCAGTGTGTAATATCGCAGAGGAATAGCGGCGGCTTGGGATGAAAATAATCGACGACGGGAGTGAAACGACGACGTAGGGGTGAATAGAAGACAAATCTTGGGGTGGAGGCTCCTGAAGACTCTGTGAGAAGTGGGGTAAAATCAACCTGCATTTTATGGACTGTTACATGTGTATTTATACTGTAGGTAGATGAATAGAGTCCGATTTCGGTTAGATAGAAGGAATAAAAGGAACATAAGACCTGTAATACAACGGAATGTGAAACTGGAGAAACTGTATGCTGAGGGAAATCCTGGACCGATCTCGTCCCTCTGGAACTGCCTGGGCCCTTCCAGGAATTCAGTCCTAGTCTGGGGACCATTTCTGTGGCGGTCTTGCATCGTAGCGCCACGTTTGACGAGTGTTTGAAGCCGGGATTGTGGATCGTTATGAGAGACCGAATATTGAGTATTGATGGGTGATGGGAGCATCGGCACGTGGAATGACGTGGTAAGCTGCATGAAGCACAGCTTATGATGGATGATGGGAGCATCGCCACTGATGCTGAACGGCACGTGGAATGACGTGGTAAGCTGCATGAAGCACAGCTTGTGATGTGACCTCTGTTATATCAATCAGCGCCGGTCTGGTTACACAGTCAAAGCGACCCCGAGCTCGTCATCTCCCTCCAACTTAAATCCTGACAGTCCCCTGTCAGTCCGTCGACGCCGTGTGAATATGAGGGGTTATTGCGGTGGTAAGTGACAGCTGGCTTGGGTGATGGCGCCGTCGGGCAAGGACTTTTCCCTCGGGGTCCCGTTTCGATGGCCAAGGCTTCTTCGCTCTTCTCTCCCGTTTCTTCTTCGTCTGACTCGTCCTCCGGGTCCTCCAGGATCGACTCCTCCATCTCTCTGAGCCGTTCCATCGATATATCAAGCAGGTCTTCAAGAGGGGGAAGCTCGATTGTTTCCCTTGCGAAATATGGGATCACACGGAACGCTGCGATGGGTCGGTGAAAAACAGCGCCATCTAGCTCACAGAGGATGTAGGCGCCTCCTCTGTTCCTCGCAATGACGATTAATGGCCCCAGGTACTGCTTACGCATCTTGCGACTGAGTGACTTTTCGATTGCTGTGTTCCTCATCAAGACTAAATCCCCTCGCTGGAAATCATAGTCGCGGATGGTGTATGCGTGGTCTCGTTCGAACCGGATCGCCGCTTGTACTCTGGCCTCGAAGACCTCGGAATGGAGTAGGGCCAGCTGGTCTCGTCGTTTCTGCAGTGCGATGGCCCGCTGCGCAATGAGCTCGGTGGTGGAGAGGACTTTTTCGGGAGGGGGAAGCAGATAAGTGGCCTCCGAGATGTCGAGTGGTAGTAACGGGTGTGCGCCAGTGACCGCGAAGAACGGGGAACATCCCATGCGCCGTCGGACGGTAACACGATCGGCCCAAAAGACGGAGTGCGCCACGGTGTGCCATTTCGACTGATTTCCATCTGCTGCCTTATACAAGGCTTCTCGTACATCGAAGTGCGGTCGCTCGGACAGGTTTGCTTGTGAGTTGTATCCTGATATCCGAATGTGCCGTATCTTGTATTGTTTCTCCAGGTGTGTGAGTGCCTTCACGAACGGGGTACCGTTATCTGTGACGATTTCTAGCAGGGTCCCCCACCTACACAAGATGTCTTGGAAGATCCAGTTCGCCAGGGCCGACGCGTTTTCTCGACGGAGCATCCTCCATTCTGGGTAGTGCGTCAGCGAGCATCGACCCTGGACAATGTACTTGAAGCCGCCGCTCGTGGGGAGATGCATCGTATCCATGTACATCTTGGCGAAAATGGGCGCTGGTACCGCGACCGTCGGAGGTATGTGAATCTTCCGCACTTGTCGTTGCTGACACAAGTCGCAGGTCCGGACAAACCACGCAATATCGTCAGCCATGTGAGGCCACCAAAACCGTTCGGTGAGCAGGGCCCGTGTCGCATAGAACCCTTTGTGACCAACACCGTCGTGCGCCGACTTCAGGACAGACCATCGCTGCTCCGGTGTCACTACCACCTTGTGACGCCCATGTGAGTCCTTTTTCCATAGTACAGTGCCACGCATGAAGAATTCCATGCAATACCGGACAAACGGCTGGTATTCTGTCTCCGTCATATCGCGAGGTCGCTCCAGTGTTCCATGCCAAATCCGGACTTGGTCCACCCGGTAGTCTGCTTGTAACGCCGTTGCCGATCTTGGTATCTCTGGCGACGCTTCACTTGCTTCTTCTTCGTCCAAGGTTCCGGCCATGAATACGGAGGAAGTCCACGGCACGTAGCAAGTAACGTATGGTGAGTGATTGATCATATGCGTGAATCCGTGCACCTGATCTATCCAATCTTCAAAGTCGTCGTCCTCTTCTGCTTTGTCTTCGGGCTGTCTTGGTCGTCGAGATAATCCGTCCGGTCGATGGCTTACTCCTCGCACATGTACAAGGTCGAAGTGAAAGGTGAGTATTGCTAGAATCCATCTGTTCATTGCTGCTGATGGTGCCAGGTCGGGGTTTGATAGCATCCCCTTGATCGAACTTGCATCGACTTCAACCACGAGGTTGCGCAGTCCTATCAGGTGGATCTTCCAGGCACAAAGGGTGCGAAAGAGCCCGTAAAGCTCCAGTTTCGGTTGTGAGAACCGCGCTTCCCGCTCGTTCAATGTGATTGACCCAAATCTTGCGTAGAATCGTCTCGTCAAGTTGTCCGGATCGCACTGGGCTAGAGTGGCCCCTACTGCAATGTAAGACGTATCCACAGAGAGGATGACGGGAGATGTGGACATGTAGTCGAGTGGGCGAAGCGCCGGTGAGTTCAGTAGGGCCTGTTTCAAGTCTTCTTGGGCGCTGACTTGCTCTGGTCCGAAGGTGAACGGGACACCTTTCCGTGTGAGACCGATCAGGGGGCTGGCGCGTTGGGCAAAGTTTCGGATGAACATGCGCACTACGCCGATGGTTCCTAGAAAGGCGCGTACTTCCGACAGGTTCTGACATAGACCCCAGTTAACAATCTTTTCCACGCGCTTCTCGTCAGGGATTCGTCCTTCATATGTGCACATGTGACCAAGGACGGGGAATCTTGATGCGCAGAGTATGGCCTTGGGTCCTGAAAAGGTGCCGCCGCAGTACTTCATCCTTTGTACAATGCGATTGAGCGTCTGAAAATGTTCCCAGACAAACCGGCGGATCCCATCGTTCTTCGGAATGGTCTCATACCCTCCTCCGGCCAGCTCGTAACGCGTCTTTGGTCCTCGGACTGGCGCATCGTCAATGTACGGTATCGTGAACTGGGGAATCTCGGGCTGCAAGATGAAGGTGACGTCGTCGTGAAAGATTGGTACCGAGTTTGACCAGCCCATTGGCAGGGTAACCAGTCGAAGGGCGCCAAATGGGGACTGAAAGGTGGTGTAATCCCGGGAGGCCTCGGCGAGAACTCTCTCATCATACCCCACGTAGAGGTCTAACATTCCTCCACAGGATCGTCCGGCGAAATGCTCTGCTACTTGCTCGGTGAAAGGTGGCACTCCCGAGTGCTGGATCGTGACCGCGTTTAGTGGTTCCAGGCTGTGCACCAAACGTAGGCTCGTTCCGTCTTTCTTCACCACGCAAAACCATCGAGAACGGTATGCTGAATTTGACGGTTCGTAGACACCTGCTGCAAGCTTACGACGTATAAGCTTGCAAACTTCGTCACGAATTCCCGGTGGAATAGGGATGTTTCGTTGCACCCATGGTACGTGTGGGATTACGGGGATGGTGACCGGTTTGAAGAAGTCGGTTCTAAACTTCCCTCTTTCTAGGTCAGTCCATGCGAAGCCGTCCTCGTGAAGCATCATGAAGTGGTGCATGAGCTGCCGTTCTTCTGGCCATAGGAAATCTTCCTCGTGAAGCTTGTCGATTATGTCGCGTCTTTCGGTGGTGTATCGTCCAGATGGGGTAAAAGGCGGGGGATTCGGATCAAGACGTGGTAGTGTAGCCAATGGGTCCCCGTGGATCTCGCGTATAAGCCGGAATTCCTCGGGTAAGGTACCGAGAACTGGTCGTATTTTTCGTGAAACCGGTTTGTATAGTTTCTTGGCGAGGACGTCAACACGCGGAGAATAAGGGTTTGAGAGAGATGTCGATTGGACGTAGACTGGTATTGTAGAATTGTATCGAGGGGAAAAAGGGTAGTTTTCAAAACCAAAGGGGCGAGTTGAATCGCCCCTATCTTGCGCGACAAACGCCGGTTGAACGACTGCATGTGCGAACTGGACTGTATCAGAATACGAGCCCAGGTTTGTGCAACCTGTCAAATAGAAATATTGGAGTTCAGCGCTTGAATAGGACGAGGGGAGCGAGGCATAGGAATAAATAGAGAATTTGTTACGGTCATTTGGCTCTGACTCGATGAGCAATGCAACCTCTCCTTGATCAGAAATCAATTCCTCGAGGGTTGAAAACCCTGCGCTCTTGGACGCGATCCCCGAGCTACAGTGGGGACTGTGGCAATTTTGCCCGAATTGGGATCACGGATTGTGATCGTCTGATTCTCGTTTGCGAAGTTATGGATTATGCTCTCTGTGAGAACATCAAAGGGTCTTCCCAGAAGCACGTCGTATGGTGGGTTCCGGACGACGTGGACCTGTAGGTACAAGGTTATGTCGTCGAAAGCGAAGGGAACGTTTCGGGCTAGACCCAAGGACGGTGTCACTGATCCATTTGCTGATTGCATCTGCAGAACGATGGTGGGATCATAGGAGAGACCAATTTCGTGACAAATCGCTTCCGACATAGCGATAATTTGGGAGCCTCCATCAACGATGCACTCCACCCGGAGACGGCTGTCTATTACGGGGAGGACGGAACGGATGGCTGATGACTCCATGGAGACCAATAAATCATTTCCTTGAGCGCCGCTGTTGATCAGGGTTTCGAAATGATCGGGGATAACAGTGGCGTTGGCCGGTAACGTCGCCTGACCAAAGGATGTGGGCATCGAATCGAAAAACGCTTCCCGCCGTCTATCGCCATCTCGCTGCTCTTCTATCGTCTCGATATACGCCTCCTGGGGCGCCAGGTCAAACGAAAACTGTTAAGATAGGGTCCATCAATGTTTGTACATTTGTTTGTATATTGATTGGGGAGTTTTCTCCCTGTCTCTGACCGTCATCCGGGTGCGACGCGGGCTCGACATCAACAGATTCGCAGTCAGACTTGCGGGATTCACCCGCTCTGACATCGTCGCGGCCCGCTCGCGAACACAGGCCCGGCGTTGGGCAGGACGACTCCCTGTCAATATCACCCTAATCCACCACATCTTGCCTTTCAAAAATCCCCCACTCCATTTCCCGAATACAGGCACTCGCTGCAGGCACAAGATATCGATTCCCCCCCTCCCTCCCTCCCACACATACAACTCCTCACCCAATGTCGACAGATGTCACCCAGAGACGCAACGGTCGTCTGGGTGAGGGGGACTATAGGGGTGACGAGGGACCAGGGCGGGCCCGAGGATGTGCGGACGGTGCGAGAGTTGGACGTAGCATTGGAGATGCTCCCGATGTGAATCGTCACGCAGGAGCAGGGGGAGGGAGCAGACACATGAGATGTGGAGAGTCACAGAGTGCGACAGGTACGGCGGGCGGCTGGATCACAGAGCCGAACGCAGGGCGCTGCAACACGGGTCGGACCAAGCTCAGCCGGACGAAGGCGATTCGGAGAGCTATCAGGGGGACTCGACGGAGCGGCAAGGCGGAATCACGCATGTGGGAGTGGGCACTCAAAAAGGGAAACCGTCATGGCTTACGGGCGGCTGGCGCGATATGGATACGCGAAAGGCCAAGGCCTGGAATTCAAGTGACGAAATTTCAGATTTGTGCGTCGTGCTCAGACGCAGCGGTCATTCGCACGAGGGGGACTGTTAAGATAGGGTCCATCAATGTTTGTACATTTGTTTGTATATTGATTGGGGAGTTTTCTCCCTGTCTCTGACCGTCATCCGGGTGCGACGCGGGCTCGACATCAACAAAAACTGCTCTGTGGGCTTGCTGGCGGCTACTGGCGACTTTTCGGTCCCTGGGACGACTCGGCGGCTACTGGTGACGTCCCTGGTCATGGTGCGGAGCTCTGGGGATAGCGAAAGGAGTTCCCGCTCGCTGACTTCGATTTTCGACTCCAGGAGACGTCCAAACACGGTGTTGGCGATTTTATCGTCGAAAATAGGTGCTGTGGTTCGATAGGCGCCCTCGGCTTTCTTTGGTGGAGCAGGGATGCGTGCCCCCACGTTCCGGTCGCGTGGTGGGGCGTACCCCGCGTCTTTGGCTTTTGAAAATGGGTGTTCCGCTGCGGGATGCACTGGTGGGTCCTTCTGGCGCGTTGCTGTGGGTCCCGGTGCGTTTTTATCGATTCCCGGGGCGCTCGTTGCTGACTGATTCGGGCGGACGGTCTGTTCGGGCTCCTCGACTGGTTCGGACAAACGCCCCGCACCTAGGGCTGCGCGCGCTTGTGCCCTGGTACGTACGGCCATCATTTCGCGTTCGAGGTACTGAAGGCGTTCTGTATCTGATAGCGTGAAGCTCGACGCGATTTTCGGTCCGGAATTGGAGCTGAGGAAATGCGTGGAGATTTCAGCTGTATTCTGCGACGCCGCCATTTGTCCTGGGTTCTGGCGATGCCATTCTTCGATCCGTGCACGCAGATTGGTGCCCATGACACGCCGGGGAACGTACGAGCCGCTGGGCAGGACCACCTGGCCCTCGACGTTTCGTTTGCACTTTCCCGCCTGTGTATCTTCGTCAACACGCGGGCAACGGATGATAAAATGCCCCGATTCGCCGCAATAGCTGCAGTTTAGGTCTCGTGGCGTATTCTGGATTGAAGATGGCGCTCCCGTGCTCACTGGCCGGCTCTGCTGGGCGGCGACTGCTTGCGCCGTGACTGCTGCTTGTGCGGCAAGTACCTTCATTAGCCCGTTCATTGACTCGATTAACTGGGCTATATTTGAATCAGGTTCTTGTTTGACTGCCACGGGTTTCGGCGATGCCGTGTTTGAGATGGCTGATCCATGCGAGGAGTCTGCGAGGACAAACTCCATGGCTTCGTTCATGTCTGTGAGGTCGTAGGGGTCGTCTGGGTGCACGTCAGGCTTCTTGATTTGTAGTCGCTGGTGGACTCGGCTCCAAAGGCTCGGCGGCGAGATTGCTCGACGAAAGGCTCGAGATTGTTCTGCGGTGGATAGTCGGGCCTTGTCCACGAGGAATTTGGTAATGACCAAAAACTTCCGATAGAATTCGCTGTAGTCGGAACGAGACAAGATCCCGACACTTGCGTATTCCCCAATAAGGGTGTGTAGATCTGAAAGCGTGTACCGGCGATCGGCATCCGTGCCTGGGTAAAGTTTCAAGACGTCAGCTTTGAACGATGCGTAGGAGTGGGGCGCAAGGAAAGAGTCCAGCGACTCCCAAATCTCCTGGTCGTCCACTGAAAGGTAGCGTGTCGCGTGAGTCTTCTTTTCTTGTTCTGCCGTGACGCCTGCCAGAGAGAAATGAAACTCCAGGTCGGTGAAGAAACGCAGCAGCTGTCGTGGCTGCTTAGCGTCGAACTCGGGGGCGCCTCGGGCGCCCCGTGCTGGCATATTGGTGTTGGTAGCCATTGGTGCGTTTATCAGAGGCGGTGTGACGGGTCGGAGACGAAACGGATCAGGGCTCGATGAGGTCGATGGTGTAGACTGAGGCGAATGGGATGATCTCGAAGAGAACGATGGCGTGATGCGAAATCGGGCAAGCGTCGGTGAATCTGGATCAACTAGATCCAGGTGGTGATGATGCGAAAGGTGATGAGGTACCGGGACCAGTAGATCGTCTGAAGACGAATCGCTGTGTCTCGAGGTGTCGGTGAGATCAAGAGGATTCTGCGCAAGGGCACGGAACTCGAGTCGAAGATTCCGGCGAGCGTTAGGTCGAAGTCTGCGAGGTGAGTCTGACGCAATGATGGACAGAAAAACCCCCTCGCGGTGGGCTCCAAAATGACGCGCCTACGGCGCTCCTGGGCTCAGGACTAGGTGGGAGGGACGGCGTAGATACCGCCGATGAGCTGCTGATCACCCGGGACGGTGGCCGTAGAGATAGCGGTGAATTCGAGGGGTTTTGGTCGGGCTGGGTCAGACTCAGTGTGTAATATCGCAGAGGAATAGCGGCGGCTTGGGATGAAAATAATCGACGACGGGAGTGAAACGACGACGTAGGGGTGAATAGAAGACAAATCTTGGGGTGGAGGCTCCTGAAGACTCTGTGAGAAGTGGGGTAAAATCAACCTGCATTTTATGGACTGTTACATGTGTATTTATACTGTAGGTAGATGAATAGAGTCCGATTTCGGTTAGATAGAAGGAATAAAAGGAACATAAGACCTGTAATACAACGGAATGTGAAACTGGAGAAACTGTATGCTGAGGGAAATCCTGGACCGATCTCGTCCCTCTGGAACTGCCTGGGCCCTTCCAGGAATTCAGTCCTAGTCTGGGGACCATTTCTGTGGCGGTCTTGCATCGTAGCGCCACGTTTGACGAGTGTTTGAAGCCGGGATTGTGGATCGTTATGAGAGACCGAATATTGAGTATTGATGGGTGATGGGAGCATCGGCACGTGGAATGACGTGGTAAGCTGCATGAAGCACAGCTTATGATGGATGATGGGAGCATCGCCACTGATGCTGAACGGCACGTGGAATGACGTGGTAAGCTGCATGAAGCACAGCTTGTGATGTGACCTCTGTTATATCAATCAGCGCCGGTCTGGTTACACAGTCAAAGCGACCCCGAGCTCGTCAGTACTTACTGATCTGTGTCCTGGAAAATTGCGAAACATCCTATTTGCAGCCGTCTTCATAACTCAGACGTATAATTGGGGCAAAATATTGCTAACTGGTAAGAAGTGCTTTCAGTTGATCCAACTTCCAACCTACAGGGACAACTGTTGTGACACACATAGTCATTAAGGGGGAAACTTCAGGTATTTCCTTTTTATGGCAGAATATAATCAATCTCTTTGCCATTTCAAACGTAAAAAAAACAATCCTTCAACTAGTACGACGAGAAGCTACATTCTTTGAGTCATTTCTCCTGGGTCAGAAGAATGGGGTCCCTGACGTGTAGGAATCTCCAGTTGAGTATTGAACGTCTGATATACAAGAGCTTCTAGTCCGCCATATCGATCATTTGGGATGCTTACACCAAGTAACTAGGTTACTTAGCGTTAATCTTGCGATTTAGATGACTGTGAAATACCTTGGAAGAAAGAAGGGAATGGTAAGTGTGTTATATGATACAACAGCAGATAAACCTAATAGACAGATTTCTGACTTATCGCTGCCAAGTAATCCACTTCTGTTGTCTAAAAGTCATGCAGCTCCAGGAAACTAGTATCGAACGCCCTTGTGAATTGCACGAAGCGAAGGCCTTCCACGCGTAGCTGGATCCGCGAATTGACGATGGAACACATGAACCAGGACACACTATCTGAGGTAAAGCACATTGTACATCCTCATGCCTGGCAGGACGTACAGGAGCGCAGGGAAGAATGAAGTGTTCTGGGTTGAGTTGATGAGCGTCAGATGACTCTTGGAGCGAGTAAGACGCACGTCGCCAACGATAGATATTATCAAACTGGTCAGACGTAGCACTAGATGGATGGGTAGGTCAACAAAACGGTTGCAATCTTCAGTACGTTTGGCGCACGGAATAGACACTGAGCGGCCGAGTCAGATCGGCCTGTGATATATCCGATGTCTAACTCACCACGAACATACGCGCCCCGTCATTTTGCAGTGCCGTCATTACATCCGCCTGGTGTCTATGCGGACGGTCCAAGGCGTTAAAGATCGTCATCACGATGATAAACAAGTCAAAAGCGGTCTTTATATTTCATCTTCACTGAGCCAGGCAAAGGAGTCGAAGACTGAAAGGACGTACCAAGGCAGCAAGACAGAACTTGAGGGACTCCGGCTTTGTGGAGATCGTGCACATATCCAGCGCCGGGGTGAACGTCATAGTGCCTGGAGCTCGGTCATCCATGGAATAAACAGACACAGGAACACGACGGACGGTCAAGCTGCCGGAGGGATAGCACAGCGAAGGCCGCGGCGACGGACATCGCAGTCGTGAATGCGACGATGAGAATCCATTTGATCTCCTTGCGGCGATCCCAAAGGCGGTACACCCGCATCACGATCACGACTTGGATGACAGCCTTTGTCAACTATCTCTTCAGCCTAGCTCATGGAGGCTACTCACAATGTGCGAAGCTGTTGAAGACGGTCGAGGCCATGCCGAAGATCCAAATCGAGGCGAAGCATCTTATCAAGAGCGTCCACGTCCGTCGTCAGCACCGGGATCGCGCACGATACTGAGTTGGATCACTTCTGCAGCATGAATCAGTCAGACGAAGAATGCTAAATAAGACCTTCGAGTCACCGCTTACCTCGTCTGTATTTCCAAACCCGGCCCCGCTGTACACTACGCCATGGTCGGAACCTGTCAATTTGGGCCAGGCAGAGCAATAGGAGAAGGCCACGCACACGACGCGACGTAAATCCCAATCGCCTCCGTCAAGTACCGATTCACAAAGAATCCAAACCGGTCGAGGAGCGGAACTGCCTTGTTGAGCCAGATGAACTCTATCTCGTCGTCTGCCGTGAGGAGGTGGTCGTAGAAAACCGCTGCCGTACATATCGCTGCCCAATTTCAGTCCGTGTATTTACGTCTGTGTGCGCGCGTCCTGGCCAGGGAAAGATGGCTCACCAGAGACGTATCGGACAGCAAAAATTCCCGCTATTGGGATCGACATCACAGGGAGGAGGAGTGTGGGGAAGTAGAGAGACAGAGCAAGGCGTGTGTTCTCGCTTTTACAGTAAAGCCACAGTATCAAGTTCATGAGAAGGCAAACTTCACTTCTCTGCAATCTTCAATTCAGCTTGTTCGGACTACAGATCATTGCGGCCGCCCGCGATCAGGTGTGAGGCCAGAAATCGTCATCAGCGTCCATGTCAGGTATGGATCGGGTCTCCGGCGGTCGCTTGTTTCGTTTTCGCGCACATCCTCCCGATTAAGACTGGTTATTTTGGTGGCGCGCTCCCTCGGAGATCTGCAGAGCGCAGCATGCGTGCTGCTGTTGGGTATCTGGGTGATTTTGTTTGTGTCAGTCAGAAGGCTGATGGCTCCGGAAGCGAGCTGGCTCTGTTCTCCCGCCGATTATCTGCTACCTGCGCGACGTCTGATCTACAGCTCCATGAACTGCACGGTTGACACGCGCAGGGGGGGACGGGCGGACGGACACAATGGACGACGACCTCGGAGGGGAGATGCCGGATAATTAAAGCCGCTTCCGTGAGCCTGTCATCGGCTGTGACATGGGTCTATCACGCTGGTCCATCACGTTTTCACATGGCCTGAGCAGTTTCTATATGGGGATGAATTGTCTCGGCTGCTGAATTTGCCACTTCTCACGCACATGCCCATGCGCTATCTCGGCAAGGAAGTAGCTCTTCTGCTAGTGCCCAGGACGATCCATCATCGTGTACCTAAGTACCCAACATCGTTAGGCGGCTCGAGCGATCAATGTTCTTCGACGTCAGTCTTAAGTATGTCGCGGAGGCCGGTCGTCACTGCGCTGCTCTTCCCTCCAAACAGGCTACATGGCCCTCTCCTCGCCCGTGCTCAGCCTCGCATTCGCATTCGTCTCGCTCGGCGGGTCCCCGGCGACGACGACGGCGACGACCAGCCCTGGCGGATGGGCAGCAGCTCTGATCCGCAGCGCGGACCAGCCGGCCGTCCACACAACAACGCTTCTCCCGCACATCCTGCTCCTGCTATCGCTGGGAACTTGCATATGCGCAGTCGTGATCCGCTGGACACAGCGTCACGAGCACACTCGGGCCCGGTCGTTCAACGCTGTACTCGCGCCTCTCGTGTCGGATTCGTCGGTCGCTGGGCTCGGAATCGTGCGCCGCATTGCGAGGACGTTCCACCAGGGGCATTTTGTCAACAGTGCGTGTCGTACTGTCCACACCACCACATCCGTGGCAGCTGATGACTGTAACACTACTTTCCTTCCACGGCAGGTGTGAATCTGCAACAGTGGACCGCTGACCACGGACCCATCTTTAATATCCGGATGATGTATCAGAATCGTGTGCGCCTGACCCCTTTCCTCTGGGCGTATTCAGAAGCAGATGCCTTACCACTCCCTTGTAGATCTTTACGACCGAGCCCTCGCATATCAAGGCTAGTGCTCCCCTGTGTGCATGTGTGGTTGGAGTGAGGCTGACGATGATGCTACAGAGTATGCTCACGACGAATTTCACCTCGTTCGAAAAAGGTTCGTCAATCTGATCGTCCCATCACAGGATGGCGCTGAATATATTCCAGGAGACGAGTTCAAATCCCAATTTCGCTCTCTCATGGGAGACGGAATATTCAACACTGATGGTGCGCATCGCCTCATCTGCTCGTCCTTGGGGCTCACGCAGATCTACAGGTGCCATGTGGAAGTAAGCCTTCTCACCAGAAACGAGACTCACCATTCAACCTAATTCGCAGATTTCACCGCACGATATCACGACAATACTTCAGCAAGGACCGCATCCTCAATTTCCGCCAGGACTACCTCTACAATGCCGATCGCGCGATCGCGCTCCTGGCTGACAGCGTCAAGGCCGGAGAGGCGGTCGATATCCAGGTAACAGCTCTCTTCTCATTCCAGTTCAACTGAGCTGACGGATGCGTGACTCCAGGATCTTGCTGCACGGTACACACTCGACTGCACTTCCGAGTTTCTTTTCGGGCGCAGCGTGCAATCGCTTTCCGCATCCCCCTCCTGCGCCTCGAGTTCCTTCCTGCACAGTTTCGCCGCGGCACAGTTTGAGGCTGCCGACCTTAGCCGATATGGTCCGTTCTGGCGTGTCGCAAACCTCATCCTCGGCGACAAGGTCCAGAAGCATATGGGCGTCGTGAAGCAGTTTGTCGACCCGCTGATCGAGGAGAGTTTGTCGGGGGATAGGACAGGGGCGCCGGAGGACGTGAGGCTCACGTTATTGGACTTTCTTACGCAGAGAACGAAAGGTAGCCGGCTTCAGTTTTTACCGCTCGCATAAATCGCTGACGAGTTGCAGACGTCGACATCATTCGGGACGAGGTGGTGAACATGCTCATTGGCGGCCGAGATGCGGTGCGTTCCGGAGTTCAATATCCTTATCCGATTCCTGTTTCTGATCGGCTGTCTCCCTCCAATCTTCCTTCCTTCCTTCTTTGGCAGATTACGCTCCTGCTCACATCGACGATCTACGCCTTGGCAGACAACCCCCCTGTTCTGCAGCGGCTCCAGGACGAGGTCTTCAGCGCGTTCGGCACCGATGGGGTGCCGACGCTGCAGGATTTGCGCTCGCTCAAGTACATCCGGGCGGTGCTCAACGAATCGCTCCGCCTGTGGCCGGTCATGTATGTGATTGCCTAATTGTCTCATGTCCGGCCATGAACAGTCTCGTTTCTCCCACAGTCCAGTGAACAGCCGGAAGTCGACAAAAGATGCGTTTTGGCCGGGCCTCGAGCCGGAGGACGAGCCGTATTACATCCCCGCCGGGACTAGGTGCGTTTCTCCTCTCTGGCCTTTCCCAGGGACGTACGTTTGAGATGGTTTCGCGACAGATGTTCCTTTTCTACGTTTATACTGCATCGGAGACCGGATTTGTGGGGCCCGGATGGTGTGTGATTTCCGCCCCTGATGTTTTCTCCGCTGCGGTGGCTGATGATGTGCTCCCATGTAGCGGATGTATACGATCCCGATCGGTTCTTGGACGAGCGGTACCAGAAATACGTCGCCCCGAATCCGTACATCTTCCTCCCATTCAGCGCTGGGCCGAGGATATGCATGGGATCGCAGGTCAGCATTCTCCATCTCCCATGTCGCGTTACATGCACCAATTAACCGACCGACGTGCTTCTAGGTTGCGTACGACGAGGCAGGCTTCTTCCTCGTCCGCCTGCTCCAGCGGTTCCAGGGCGGCATCTCGCTCGCGCTGGATTGTCAGCCCGCCGAGTCTGTCATGCCACCGAGCAGCCGCGAGAAAGTGCGGTTCACTAGTCATATGAGCATGCATTGCCAGGTACGTGGCGTCCCCACCCACTATTTTGAGCGAGCTCCACGTTGATTTGCTGTTGCCAGGGGGGTCTTTGGGTTAGACTCGACTCGGAGCCGTAGATGTACTACTACCTAGTAGATGGATGGATGGACAGGGGAGGCGATCGACACTAACACTAACACTAACACTACACGGTCTGTTGTATAATCCACGTGTTGTAGCATTATCTGTACACTTTGTATACTAGCGTTGAAACATTGAAACCGAAATGTACGGCAAATTTTGTTATTTTTATCATTGGTTGGAATCGATCTGAAAGTCATGTAAATGCCTAGTGGTAACGGTACCTTGCCTGTATCAGATCACTGATACGCCAAGATGCAGGATCTAGTTTCGAAGCTGCAGAACTGAGATGGGACGAGAGAGAAAATCACACTAGTCGTACAGAGCTCCGCAGTCTGCGTCGTTGATCGGTCGAGGATCCCTCCAGATTCGGCTAACGAGCATTGGTCGTGAGGTTACCTCAGTCAAGTGGGATCTGATTACGTCAGGGTGGCATCAAATGGGACCAAATTTTCTTCTTCCTTCAGTCCGCTGGCATGAGGATCAACCCCTCGGCTTCGGGGGTAGGGGCTAGGCAGAGGGCATGGGCCGGTGGGTCAGACTCGGATGCATGTCGACATGGCATCAACACGGTCCCCTGCCTAGCCTTGCCTTCCCCACACGAACCATGACGACGACCACGAGCGCAACTGCGGAGCTTGCGACTCCACGGGATGAAAACTCGACTATGAACGCGACCGCGACGACCGCCAAGGGGGATGAGACGTCGTCGTCCGGTTTGGACGCGTCCGCCGTGCTACCGCCGCCCAGACCGACGCGTGGGCTGGGTTTCTGGATGATCTTCCTCTCGCTGTGTGTGTGCGGGTTTCTCACCGCCATAGAGATGGTGTGTACCCTTCTTCCCATCCGCACCTCGATTCTCCTCCCCAAACATCTCCCTGACGCACTCTCCGGCCGCCGTTGACACTGACAACTGACGCGACATGCACCAGGGCTCCGTCTCCCCGGCCCTCCCGACGATCATCGAAGATCTTCACGGGACCCAGTTCATCTGGGTCGGCTCGGCTTACGCGCTCGGCGCGACGGCTTTGATCCCGCTGAGCGGGGGGCTCGCGCAGGCGCGTCGTCTCCTTCCTGTGCCTCTTCTCCTTGCGATCCTGACGCCACACCAGGTCTTCGGCCGGCGCCCTGTCGTTCTTACCTCGATCGCCTTATTTGCGGTGGGTAGTGCGGTGTGCGGTGCAGCACAAAACATGGGGATGATGATCGCTGGCCGGGGAACGTGTTTTATCTTCGCTAGGACTACTCGGTGGCGCTGACGTGATGTGCAGCGGTACAAGGTTTAGGCGGAGGGGGAATCGTGTCGGTCACGCAGATTATCGTGGGGGATCTGGTGCCGCTGCGTGAGCGGGGGATGTTCAACGGGATCATTTCGATGTGCGTCGGACACAAAAACTCATGTATGGATGACTGGATGAATGGTTCGGGACAGGGCGTATGCGTTTGGTGTTGGAGTCGGACCGGTCACAGGGGGAGGGTTGGCGTCGCTGGGGCAGTGGCGGTGGTTGTTCTGTACGTCTCTCCCTCGCTCCACTTGTTCCATGACTGTGGATCTCATGTATCAAGACCTCAATCTCCCTGTCGCTGGAATCGCCGGAATTCTTGCGCTCGTGTTCGTCCGGCTCAAGACTCCCTCCGGGACTCTGCGAGAGAAGCTCGGTCGGATCGATTATGCGTGCGTCCTCGTGTTTTGTGTTTTGGTTTATCCCCTCACACACGCGGACACAGTGGGAATGTGCTCGTGGTTGGTGCCACCACTTCGGCGGTTCTTGCCTTGACGTGGGGCGGGATCCAATTCGGATGGGGCTCGGCGCAGGTTCTCGCCCCACTTATCCTGGGTTTGGTTGGTCTTGTTGCGTTCATGGTGTACGAGACATTCGTCGCATCTAATCCGCTGGTGCGTGTTCAACTCCCAGCGATGATCTCATGTCTCACGTGTACTTGTGTTTGTGTATGTGTGTAGGTCCCATTCGACGTGGTATCCACTATGACCGGGTTCAGCGGCCACACGCAGAATTTTTTGACGTGGCTCGTTCTGATGACCCTGACATGTGCGCTTGCCCCTTCTGATGTAAGAATGTTCGCTGACGTCCCTGCCATCCTCAGATTACACCCAAGTTTACTACCAAGCATGCTACGACGTCTCCCCCATTGCAGCCGGCGTGAACGGCCTTCCGCTCGCCATCGTCCCTGCGCCGATGGGCCTCATCGCAGGCGTCATCACCCAGAAGCGCGGCTCGTTCCGCCTGCCAATTTGGATCGGCTGGGTGCTCATCGTCATCGGGACCGCCATGATGGCCACGCTCGACGAGGCGTCCGCCCGGGCCAAAGCGATCGGATTCACAGTCATCCCAGGGACGGGGATCGGCATTCTGATCTTGATGGCGTATTTCCCCGTGTTAGCCCCGATCAAGGTCGAGAAGAACGCGCAGGCCGTCGCGTTTTTCGTATTTTTGAGGAATTTCTCGCTGGTGCGTCCTCTCTTCCCAGGTGCGATGACGTGCTTAGTTCATACATCGCCAGGTTTGGGGCGTCACTGTCGGAGGCAGCATTCTGCAGAACCAGCTCCAGCGACACCTCCCCGCGGCCTTCCTAGCACAGTTCCCTCCAGGCTCGGAAATCGCATATTCAATCATCCCTGTCATCAAGACCCTCCCGGAGCCGCTACAGACCGAGGTCCGCGCTGCATTCGCAAGATCGCTGCAGACAGTGTGGTGGGCGACGACGGGGATTGCGGGGCTCGGGCTCTTGTTCAGCCTATTGATGAAGCCGTATCCGCTGCATACGGCTGTGGATCGGGATTGGGGGATGGAGGGTACACAGAGCGGAAGAGATGTGGAGAAGGATGCTACTGCGCCTGTTGCAGAATGATAATGACGATTACGTATATCGAAAGAACGATTCACGCTGTCAGTGTAATGCTATCGATTTGTTTTCTTGTTGTATCATCACAGAAACGAGAGACCGGCTGTTTAGACCGACTGCTTCTGGGGCGAGCTGTTCTTGGCTCATTGTAAGTTGGTGTCCCATCTAGCACATACAAGTTCGGCCAAAGCTACCCCTGACACTCCGATTTGAGCACGTTTGCGCGGTACCGTGACGTCACGCGTATCCCCTTCCCTCCTGTCTACTTAGTATGCGTCTGATCCTGCCTGCGATGCGCCCTTTGGCCCGACAGATTTATCTCCTTCCCCGCCATATCCCAATAAGCGTCCACACACTCTTTCCACTTCTTCATCTCCTCCTGACATACCTCCTCGTCCAAAACCACCTCGACGCGCGCTTCGACGCCGCTACACGCTGGGCACCCGCGTTCCCCGCCGCCCGTGTGCGTTTCATCACTAGTCTCATTGCACTCGGCCTGTGGGGTATGCTGCTTCCGGTCTGGGTACCGGTATACGTCGTTTTCGGGCGGGCATGCGGTTGTGGTTCGGCTAACCGAGCGGGGTACCATCGCGTTGGAGCCAGTGAAAATGAAGCCGATTTGGAGCGTTCAAGCAAGGAGCTGTCCGTTCAGAAGCACCGTCGCCGCGCGCTATCAGCTGCGATACGCTGGCTCCCCGAGTCTCGGTTCTTGCTCGTCCTCATCGTATCCGCATACATCTCATTCCTCATCTTCGCCTACACGGCGATGTGGTCTTACGCGGAGAATCCGGCTGACTCCCGCTTCCGGCACGCAGTAACACAGGCCAACCGAGAACCAAGGAGGGAAGGGTATGGAACGGGGGGTGAGTGTCTCCCCCTCAGCTCGACCGACCTTCGGCTCAGTGTATGCCAGAGAAGATCTTTCTCGCTGCCATGTTCTATAATAACGCCGAAGTGGTGCCTTACTGGACTGCAGAGGTCATCAAGGCGATCAATTATTTCGGACCGGTACGTCTGCTCGTCGCGTCAAGGGCCTTCATATCATGACCTACAGGACAACGTATTTGTATCCATCGTCGAATCGCACAGCGGGGACAACACTGCCGACCTGCTCGAATCCTTCGACGTGACCCTCACCTCGCTCGACATCCCACACCGAGTTCTCACGCGCGACACCTCCATCGAACGGCCACCGGGACCCGTCATGTGGGAGTCGAAGCCGGGCCGCATCGAGTACATAGCGGCCGTGCGCAATTTGGCGATGCAGCCCTTGTTGGAGATGAGCGGGTACACGCGTGTAGTGTTCAGCAACGACGTGTTCATCGAGGCGGAGTCGATCGTCGAGTTGGTGCACACAAGAGAGGGCGATTATAATATGGTCTGTGGGATGGATTTCGGTCCCTGGGGGTACGTCCTAATGATCTTCTCTTCTACGTCCTTCTCGATTTCAGCAGACTATATGACCAATGGGTCGCGCGGGACCGTTTGGGCAACTTCGTCTCGAGCGTGTGGCCATATCTCATGGAGCAGACTGGATATCAGGCGGTCAAATCCGACGAACCAGCGCCGGTGTTCGCGTGTTGGAACGGAATTGCTGCATTTCACGCTGATCCCTTCCTCCCAATTCCTCTTCGCTCAGGAAAGCAGCTCTCGGCGACACCACTCTCTGCACCTCTTCCCCAGACTCATCCGGAACTCAACTCGACAACGCGAGGAACGAGTCCGGCTTTGACCTCGCCTCTTCGATTCCGTGCCTCAGCCCCCGGCGAGTGTTTCAGCGCCGAGTGCTTCCTGCTGCCGTATGATTTCCAGCGCCAGTTTGGGCTGACGAAAATCTACATGAACCCGCGAGTGATCAATGCATATCAGTGGGACTGGTATGTGTGGTTCAAGTACGTCTCGCGGCACTGGCTTGTGATGTGGTGGATTCGCACGTTTGAGGATGGGGCTGGGATGTACCAGGCGCGTGTCATGTTGGGTGACCCGGCCAAGGCTGAAGTCTGGGATGGGGGAGATTGTATGCCGGTGAGCGCTGTTTGGTGGATGTCTTGTCTAATTGGGTGACTGATCAATTCCGCAGTGGGGATGACGAACTTTGCATTACGAGATTGGAGACTCGGCACTGGTGACAAACTTAGCACTGTAGCAGGAACTTGTATCAAGATAGGGCGACTTGAATTGAGAATTCTCAATCAAACGAGAGAATACGCCTCAACGTGTCTCTCTTGACCCAATGTGAGTGGGCTACACAGTCAATTTCGAGTCTTAGCTCAGCTGACGACACTGCCACATCTAAAACCCCTAACCCTCGATCGCTTAGCCGGACCGATCGATCCGTTCCGGCTACCCCAGACACCGGAGCACAATTACCCTCATGACGGCGCAGCTGTTCGCTTCATCTTCAGACCAATCATGCCCCGCATTTCAGAGGCTGGAAAAGCAAAACTCGACGCCATCCTAGTGAGGAGTTGTCCACGTCTTCACTCCATCCCTCCTCTGACAACTCTCACGAGACGGATGCCTTCACCAGTAAATCTCTACCAGCGATGTTCCTGGGCGTCGCGGACGTGGAGGGACCGATCTACATGAACGCAGTGGGGACGCGGTGGTTCGAAGATCCGAGCAGTGGTGACATCGACGTCGATACCGTCTTCACGATATTCAGCCAGACGAAGCTCATCACGACGGTGGGCGCAGCATGCCGCGTAGCTCTGCCTGGCACTCACGCCGGGTGCAGATCGCGTTGCTGCAACAGATCGAGCAGGGGAAGATCAGCTTCGACACGGCGCTCGAGGAGATCGTGCCCCAGTACGCCAATCCGGTCATCCTCACCGGCGAGAAGGACGAGCAGGGCAAGGCGACTTGGACTCCTGCTCGAGGGAAGATCCTCATCGGGCACCTGCTGAATCACTCAAGCGGACTGGATGGGTCGATATATGCGCCGGCTGGGATCCCTGGTGAGTCCGATCGCGACCCTTCCTTGCCCCACTCACCACGTGCGAGCGCTGACTGAACGCTGATAAGTTCCGGAGGGAATGTGGCCGTCGCCGACAACGCACGATTACAAAGATGAGCCGGACCCAAAGGCCAAGTACTTCTACTTGCTGAATGGATCGGGCGAGCTCCCGGGGCCGGCGCTGCACCACGAGCCGGGAACTGACTGTGAGTACACCTCACATCGGCTCCCGCATTATCCGTTCCAAGCATCATCTAGTCTCTTACGGCATCTCCTCTGACGCTGCGGGATTCGTGGTGGAGGCCCTGTCCGGAAAAACGCTTGAGCAGTATTTGTGCGTGGTCTGTGTCTATGCAGTCGTCTAGTCCACTCACATGAAGAATTAACAGCAAGGACCACATCTTCTGTCCGCTGGGGATCACCGCACCTTCCTTCCATCGGACTCCGGAACTCGCAGCGAACTTCCTCCCCATCCATCTCCGTACGCCGGCAGGCACGTTCGTCCGGTGGACCGCTCCGCCGGTCGTGCCCTTCGATGAGGAAACCGGGGAAGGTGCGTGTGATTTCATCTAACCTCTCGCTACAGCAGATAACGTTGGAATTGAAGTCAAACTCATGCACGGAGGTGCCGGAATCTATTCTTCACAGAAGGACTACCTCAAGATCCTTCAACATATCTTGCGCATCAAAAGTACGAGCAAACTATCTTATCTGATTCCACCTGCTGATGGAACGGGTCGCAGCTCGTCGTGACACAACGGGCCTCCTTTCCCCGTCCTCCGTAGATTTGATGTTTGAGCCGACTCTCCCGCCGCTGGGTGCTAAAACGATTAGCGAGCGCATGTCCTGGAACCCGTACCTGAACCTCCCTGCAGGCTCAGCACAATACAGCCACGGCCTAGTCCTCTTTACAGAGGATCTCCCGGGTAAGCGGCGCAAGGGCACTGGTGCATGTAAGCGCACTCCGTTGTGGAGAGTTGAATATGCGAAAACTAAGCGTGTTGCAGGGGGTGGATTGGCCATGACCAGCTACTTCATGGATCCTACAACGGGCATTGCCGTGATCTTTGGCACGCAGATCCTGCCACCGAGAGACAAAGTGTATGAGAAAGTTTACGGTGAGATTGAACGCACGATTTACGATGCTATCGAGGGATGAAACTGTTTTGTAATTGCTCTGTGTCTATGCATTGAATTCATCGGTCACGGACCGAAGCTATAACTGCGACAAAACCCTGTGTTCCTTGAAGCGTTGATTACCCTATATAACCTCCCAAATGCCCTGTTGCCCTAGAAAAGATAGAATGGCGTTGAAGATACAACAATGGAAAATATTCCTTCTTCCAGTCTTGTTCAAGCCACTCACACCGCCCAGGAACTTCCTGTCGTTCTGGAGTCTGGACATAAGGTGCAGTGATTGGTCTCACAAGTCAAACCTCTGTCAAACTGAACTCAAATTGTGCAGCAGATACTTAAATGAGTAATATTCTCCAGATATGGAAAACTCAAAAGTTAACGGAATACAATCACTCATAGGCAGGGGGTGGGTTCATGCCTCCGTCAGCCGCACTCTCGATGATCCTGAACCGGGCCTCCATATCCGCAAGACGGACTTGCAGCTCTGCCGTGATCTCGGAGACAGCATTACTGATCGGCGGGGGAGCTGCGGCTTCACTATGGGCGCTGACAGTTACTACGCCTCCAGTGGCACCCAAACTATGCTGTGAGTTGGCCGCATTGTCCTGTATCAGAGATGCGGGAATCTCTCCCGCGCGGGGCTTTTCTCTCGGACCGGCACGCTGAACGCGCTCTGTGTAAGGAAACGGAGTGACGGTGCCAAATTCCAGTGGCGTTTCGGGGTCGATATCGGATGGGCGTGTCCCCTCTGGCCCGGTGTTAGTAATCTCTCCGCAAGACACAGGAGTTGTGAGGCGATCCACGACCACGGCTCTGGAGACTCCTTCGATCGGGGGAGGTGCGCTGCCGTCGGAGGGCAGCTCCAAATCTCTCGCCGGCACTGACGACGTGCCGCGTGCCCGCGTTGGTGCATCATCGCCTCTTGCACACGGTCCAGTCGCTTGTACCGGCGCTGGTGGCCGGATCTCAGAGTGGACGGGTGCTGTTCGAAGTCGCGGTGCCTGCTCGTGATCAAAGTTGGACAGCCGTTTGGCAGAGTATGTTGCCTGATAGATCTTCCTATGCCAAAGGACGAATACGGGGACGGCGAGGCAGACGGTGAGGACTCCGAGGAGAGGGGCGAGGACCGTCGACGGGACAGCGGAGCCCGAACGGATCTGCAATATGCTCTCGTCTTCGACGCTGAGCTCCTGGACCTCGCGCCTGGATGGAGATAGACAATTGCACATGATCAGCTATATTTCCACCGATTACTCAAACGTACTGGTTCAGGGTCCTACCCTGATCAATCACGATGTTGGGTACTGCAGTGATAAGTGATGAAGCGGGAGTGCTGGTTTCATGTTCCAGTGAACGGTATTCGGCTGTGCCCACTGCCCTCGTGTGCGCGTTAACCAGACTCCGATCGTGCATGATGTTGTGTCTAACGTCGTTTGGGTTCATGAGAAGGAGTCTAGACGTCCTTAGTACATCTGCGAGAGCATCAGGCGGCTGAGGTCAAGAGAACCGCAAGTCGTGCACAAACGAACAGACCAATGAAAGGGTCCGCCAATGTCCCGCGCTCTACTCTCTTGGTTCCGCTCCTGAGCCGGGACCAATGAGGTCCCACAAAGGAAGAAGACCTATCATGTGTAAGATATGTTGCCTCCCCATCGAAGGCCATCCCTAGCAGGATGAGGAGGGAAATCATTGCGTTCATATGGAAAAAAGAATTCTGAGTACGAGAGAGATTGAGTTATGAGTATGGCGGTGTGGACACTAGAAAGGAGAGGCTGCTGAGCATCTGTTTTATAGGTGCAGTGGACAATTATCGTGGCTATATATGCCTAACCAATGACAGCGATGTGACTTCTTGCGACAGATTGAGACGGGACCTCCATCATTCACATGAAACAATCTCCCAGTTACGGAAGGGATCGATGTCCCTAGTCGGTTTCTCCAGATTCGCGATCAACTTGCAGTAAAACTGTCGTGGTAAAGCTGAATCCTCTGGTGCGACTTGTGCAATAGGCTCTATACAATATTTTAGTGGGGGCTCACTGGAATTTCCGTGCAGGGGCAGCTTTCAGAATTGTAATCCTGTTCCAGCATCAACATAACTGCGCCCATCGAGATGCTCTCAGCAAGCTGTGCCTCACTCAACAGCGGGTAACCACAGCAACATGTCCAGGATATGGAAAAATTAAGCCCGCACATGTCAGAGGAAACTGCACTCGGAGAGTGAGTGCTGACTATGATGAGGATACATGCTGGTGAGTACATGGTACAACAGATTTTGAGATATGGAGCACAAATTACTGGTACGCCGGTGGAGGCGCATGCATCGTGTCTCGCCTTTGAACCGATTGCTCGAGCGCCCGGAACCGAGCCTCGACATCAGCTAGCCTGACGGCCAAATCAGAATCACCAGTGGGGGGCGCTGGCATCGAAACCGTCGCGGTGTCGGGAGCAGCCGCGGCCACGGCCGCCCTCGCACTGGGATTCGTCAACACCGCAGTCCGCGCGGGCTTCTCCCTCGGGCCGCCAGGCTCTCTCACAGCAGTGGTGGAAGGAAGGTTGAGCGGGTAAGGGTTGAAGGCGGACGCGGGCTCTGGATCGATGTTGGATATTCGCCTGATTGGGCGGCGACGTCTGCGTCGACGGACCACGCAAACGGCGATAGCGAGGGCTGCGATTACTAGTATGCCTGCGACAGCCCCAAGGACAGGTGCGAGAATCGACCGATGTAACGGCGCTGGAGAGATGCTTTGGGTCGGAGTTGACGCTGCGGGGTTCGACGTTCGATGGGTCGGTATCTGGGACGCACTCGTCGGAGTAGCAGTGGAAGAGCTCGATGAAGCTAGTTTCTGCAGACCCTGGCTATAAACACCCTCCTCTCAGCCCAATACAAGCGTGTCTGAGAAGTACCACGCACGTGAACACGATCCCATCGAAGTTGATCAGGCTGTCCAACCCCGCCGAGACGAGCGTTAGCGTGTGTTGCCCACCAGTCGTGAGCACCTGCTGATACCCCAACACGCTCCGTGCCGCAGTGCTCGCATTCCCCGTGTACGTGCCCACTTGGTTGCCGTCGATTAGGATGTTGCACGAGACCGCATCTTGGTTTCCAAAGTACACGTACACCGCGCCGCCTGGAGGTTGTCAAAGGTTATCACGGTTGCAGACGCAGGCGCACCGACGAAAGGCACCGTGATCTTCCCATCTATTACCTTCATCGTCCCGTTTATAAGCTGCGACCAGTCGTACCCCGTCGCCGTCGTGAATCCGCCCTGACCAGCAGTATGGCATACAGAGCCCGTATTATCTTCCGACGGACATAAAACGTCCAGGCCAGAGCGGTCGCCCGCGAGTTGGTTGTCGTAAACGACTACCGGGTCGGCGTCGTCAATCGTGTGGTTCGTCGGTACGGCATGAGTCGTCGGGACAAGAGATGCAAGAAAGATGGAGAAGAAGAAGAAGATAAAGATAAAGTGAGAGCCGAGGGAAAGAAACGGCCAGCGAAAGAGAGAAGAGAAAACCAAGAACATGAGCGGAGAGGAAGAGTGGCAGTGCAGATATTAATCAGGAACATCTCAGCCTATCTCAGCGCGCTGGTTCGATCCCATGGGAACGTGATCCGCACGTGTGGCGTGAAGTGTGATACTTAGTTCGTTTCAGGCGGACTGGAAGCTGGGGAGGCGGATCCGTAGAAAAAGGATGATTCGTCGCAGTCACGTTGAAGCGAAAGTATGGCGCTGATCGGACATCACCTGAGACCGGCCATCAGTGTCAATCACCTTTTGTCATCTGATCTCTCTACGGACGTGAGTACTACTTACGACTACCAAGTATATCGCAGCTTACTCACAAGTACGATTCAGGACGCAGACATGAAATGCTTCTCCTCTGTTCGTTCACTTCACTCGATCTTCTTACGTTCTGTTTGCCCTTCCAAGAGCACTCGCAACGACGTCCCAAAGTGTACATGTGACGTGCGAATTGCGCCATGCCAATTTGAAGCTTCTTTAGCGCCGTTATAAGACTGCTTCGCTCTCACCCTCACCCCACCCGCGCAACCCATGGTCCTGAAGCTGTACTCGGGCACGCCCACCGTCGGCGGCGCGTCGCTCGTCGCGATCACCCTCATCGAGAAACAAGTCCCGTTCGAACACGTGCTCGTCGACCTGACCCTGAAGCAGCAAAAGCTCCCGGAGCACATCGCGCGGCATCCCTTTGGCCAGGTGCCCGTCATCGTGCGTCCTTGGCCCGCCCCCTCTGCATCCTCTGTATCTTCGCTAGGACGACGACGGATTCATCTTGTACGAGGGCCGCGCGATCTGCCGCTACCTGGCGGACAAGTACGCGGCACAGGGCACGCCAGGGCTCATCCCGCCTGCGTCGGACTTTCAGGCGCGCGGGCGGTTCGAGGCGGGCGCGTCCTTTGAGGTGTTCAATTTCTATCCGCATATGAAGGCTATTTGGGCGGAGATCATCCCGAAGCAGTCAGTGCCTGGATCCCCAGCGTCGTATTCGTCCCACTAATCAACTGCCATCTTATCTCTCCAGCAATGAAGGTCTGCCAATCGATCAAGCAGGACTCGATGCTGCGCGTGCTGCCCTGAATGCGCGACTGGATGTGTATGAGGTTATACTGGGGAAGCAGAGATACATCGCCGGTGATGTGCGTCTCATCCATCGCGCCATCTGTTCTCGTCCTAACCAGTCTGACCAGACATTCACCGTCGCTGATATCCTCCACCTGATGCATGCACCGATGCTTTTGAAGCGAACTGGCATAGATGTGGTCACGAGTGAGGAGCGGCCGAATGTAACGCGGTGGTGGAGAGACATCACAGGACGGCCGTCGGTGCGGGAGGTGATAGATAACGGCGTCATCAAAAGCAGACTGAGCATTCCGTAGAATTTGGATCAGGAAATTAGGCACTTCGAGTGCTCAGCCCACCATATCGCACCATATCAGACTATAGACATGAGTTTCACTCTTGTACAACGCAAATAGATCTTTCAAAACCCAGGCGCTTCTCTTTCATCCAACCCGGGGCGTGATCGAACACTCAAACGGCTTCAGTCCCCTGCGCACCAATCAGCATCAGCACCCTCTATCAAAGGCCGCACACTCACGCCAGCACTCCAAGATCATACTCCAACACGGGTTCGACGACCTGCCCATCCGGCGCGACCTTCTTCGCGACATCGAACGTGGCAAGCATGCACGCGGTCGCGAGCCACACGGACGTCTCGGCGAGGTGTCGGCCCGGACACACACGTCGGCCGAATCCAAAGGGCAGACCAGCGGGGTCGTCCATGGCCGGGTTCAGGCGCGTGCCGTCAGGGGTGAGCCAGCGTTCGGGTTTGTACGCGTCGGGGTTGGGGTAATCATTCTATCCAGATCGGTCGAGGTTCATTGAGTATGGATGGTGAGTTTTGGGGTCTTACTGGATCGTGCAGAATTGCCCTTGATTTAACCCGTCGTTAACGAGTCGCCTGCGGAGAAGGAGGAACACGAGACGGACCAGATGTTGCTAACGATGATGGCCCCCGCGGGGATTCTATACCCGCCGTACTCGTCGTCCTCCGGGCCCAAAGCATGCGGCATACCTAAGCACAAAATGCATGATGAGTGATCCACTGCGGGGCGTTGGCTGGGTCATGTACCCATCGGGGCCGGCGGCCTCCACCGCAGAATCTCCCTCACACAAGCCGACACCCACGGCAGGTCCGCCTGATCGCCGAGCGTGGGCAGCCGCGCGGTCCCAACCACGGCATCCAGTTCCGCCTGCGCACGTTTCTGGATTTCCGGATGCAGCACCATCGCCGCGATGACCCACGACAGCGCCACGACGGTCGTGTCGGAGCCCGCGATGTACATCGTCGCACAGGTACCCCGTGCGATGCCTTCGAGGTACTGAGCCTGCTCACCGGCGGTGGTGGACTCGGCGATCCGGGACAGCGCCGACGCCAAGAGGTTGGCTGAGTATCCCGCCGTGCCGGAATCCTGTGTATATGACGTCATATGAACCCAATGTATCTGCATGTAGCACACACCATGCGGCGCTTTGCCTCGTCGAACGGCTTGTCTGTCAGGATCGGGAGGTGCTCGTGCCATTCTTGTGCCCGGCGTTTGAATCGCGCACCAGGCATCCATGCTGGGATGTACCGTAGGATCGGCAGGGTATCCTGCACGATGTTTTACGTAAACGGAAGCCAGATGGGCACGGGAACTCCACGTACCACAAGGTAAGCGCCGGGCACCGAGGCACGGGTGAGGATCTGCACACCGCGCTGGGCGTCCAGGACATACGGGTCGCTTTCCGGCTGGATATCGATGCCATACGTCACATTCATGATAATCTGCCCCGCCATGCTGTACATTCAATCAGATTGCAGCAGTCTGAGCAGATGCAGTGCGCGGGCTGACTGGCGCAGATGTTTCATGAAATCTTCCGGCTTTTCCCGGATGCGTGAGAGCAGGGCGTGTACTGCGGTATCGAGATGCGGCGTGAACTGGGCCAGAGATTGGGCATGGAAGGTGTCGTTTGAAAACCGCCGGTGGATGCGCCTAAGAACGTGTGAAGGCTGATCAGCTTGGGAGAATGAAGGAGCTCACCAAGCATCGCCTGTTCAGGAAAATGTCAGATCGAGCTTCAACAACCAGGGACTCACGCACCGTAGTCGATTGCAGCTGCACGCATTGAGTACCACTTCAACAAACGAACTCGTGCTCACCAAAAAAGAAGTTCCACCCCATCACCTCAAGGATCATCGGGAACCTTGGTCTGGGAGTGGGAAGCATCTCTCTATCAAGTTCGAGCCCACTCTCAACACACGGCACCCACCTGTGGGAATACTTCGCAGAGCGCTTCTCTAGCAGCTCCACCGCAGCCCGGCGGGAGCTAACCAGGATGGTCGACTGCCCAAACGTCTTGAGGTGCACGATGTCCGACTCTGCTGCCATTATGGGTCGCCACAGAAGAGTAAGAACACAACGCACCGAATCGCTCCGCCAGCTGGGTCATACCCACCCACAAGAAATCCGGCGAAAGGTCGAACAGATTCCCCAGCAGCGGGAGTGGTTTGGGGCCGGGCGGGAGCGGAAGACGCCTCGAGCGCTGACAAGGGTAGGCGTAGTAACAGTACGACAGGTAGAGCGCGGCACCGCCCAATGCTAAGGCTAGGGCAGTCGTGGCCGCGGGAAGATGGTCAAGTAAGCGTTCCATGGATGGGGGTGTGCTAGGAGACCCGCTGGGTTAAACTTGATATATGCTTGACCTCTGTGAGAAACTTATTGTGTCAGATGGTCCGAAAGTGATTTCGAGTGGTCATCGATTATGGCAGGCCCCCGGTGGGTAAAAAGATGAACGCTGGAAGCTCCCTGACCATGTAACGAATCAGTACATGCTCGTACGATTCCAGAGCTTCGATGATTCCCGTGCAAAGGTAGCAAGTGACCGTCCGGATTCGGATAAATGCTTGGGGATGGGATGAATCTTCGAAAGAGGGAAGAACGAACTTTAGACGTCCCACATCTATTTATGAAACGAGGACAGTCACGAGAATTTGACAGAAAGTCACATGTTAAGCAAGCAAGAGGCCCACAGGGCCGAACACATCCGGCGGTATCAATTAGTTGTGAGTTCCCGAAACGAACACTTTTTTTTTGAATCCGCATTTGTGTTCGGCAAGAAAGTACTATCTGCTAAGATGCGGTGCCTGAGGGCAGCATGTAGTTGAGTGTGAATCGTGCTTCTTCGACCGTTGTGGGTGGGACGATCCGTATCGAAGACACAGGCCATAACACTCACTCATGTGATCATGGATTTTGTGGCAATGCATGCGTGCCGAAAACGCGGAGGGTGGCTCTACGCGGAATGATATTACATTGACTTGGCATCATCCTGAAAACAATTCGCATGCCCCGAGTAGCGAAAGAGCCTGGTAGAAAGAGTACAGAGCACTATAAAACAGCCAATGGGATGGAGAACGATTATATCCACTCAAGTGCCCCCGGTTTTGTTGTCCGCATAGAGCTGCGGAGTGGATCCCGTAGACGCATAGCTGTACGCCGGCGGCCTGGTGTCGTATCCAGTCGCAGAGCCACCTAACCCTAGTTCGTCAACTAACCATACCGACAACACAATGCAGACGCACTGGCACCATTCTGGCCCGGCGCTGCGTCACCGCTCCCGCCCCACCCGAGCTGCCGGAAGGCATCGTTCACCATCGCCTGTCCGTTGCGCGCGACGTCGTGGTGCTTCTGCTCGCCTTTGTTCTCCCAGTCGTCGATCGCGCCGAGGATCGCGCCGCGGAACGAGTCCCCGTAGCCTTCAGACAACGTTCGGGGGTCAGCATCGGGAGCCATTCGATAAGAGGCCTGAGGCACCTTGAGCGAGTTGGAAGACGCTCCTGGAAGTAGAGTTTCAAGCTGTACGATGGTGTAGGGATACAGTGGAGGGGCGCACCTGACGGTGTCCATGGTGTTACCGACACCTGAGCTGGAAGTTCCGGAGTCAGGCGTCGGACGCGTTGACGTGTTCACTCGTGGAGGACGGTTTCCCGCGATGAGCTTGCTGTTCTCGTTCATGGTAAATGCGAGAAGTAGTGATAGAGATGGTTGTGCAGGGCTGTGCAGTGTGTTGTGCATGACGTAAGGCCTGTGGTGCTCCAATCACGTGCCGTGTCAAGTCCCAATTAGCAGTTGAGGTTGTGTCCCTGAGCCTGCGAGCTGGAAATACAATGTTTTTTTGGTTTACAGAAACTCATTACGATACATTACTAGCAAGTTCTGCTCGGCTAATGCTTTTTCTGGATCACATTCCCGGCTTCCACGAGCAGAAGTAAAACAGGCAAGTCTTGGCTGTGAATTGATGAGATGTGAGGAGATTCATATCACGCGACTGAAGAAAAGAAAATGTGGGTCCAGTCGGCGTCAACTCAATTCGCAAGTTATCTGTGAAATAGCGACACTGGTCAAAATCGAGCGGGCCGCATACTCCGGTGGCTGTGTCTTCCTCCGGCCGAGCTCGGCAAAAAGAAAACCGACGGGGGAGTCAGAAGTGACGTCGCGGACGTCCAGCATCTTCGTTGTCTCTCCCTCCTCTCCCCACCCTTCCACTGCATGGGCACATCGACGGTCTCCTCTCAGACCGATGCCCCACCCGCCGAACGCCCCCTCTGGCGCTCCGTGTTGCTCGTGGGCGTCTGCACGCTCGCCATGATCACGAATGTGCGGGGCGGGTTTTACGTCGATTAAGCTTCCCATTGACTACCGCGCTTCTGCAGCTCGCGTCCTCGACGGCGGTGTCGGTGTTCATACCCGTGATAGCAAGGGATCTACAGATCGCGGAGAGCCAGCTACAGTGGCTCGTGTCGGCGTTCTCGCTCTCGTCGGTACGTGGTAAACCTTCATCTCTGGTCTCCTCCTTCCTCTGCGGACGCCGCCTCTTCTGCTTCTTCCCTTCCCTTCTCTTCTCCTTCCTTCCTTTCATTCCTTCCCTGATACTCACTTACCTCGACTCTCCAGGGCTGCTTCCTCCTCCTGCTAGGCCGCATCGCCGACCTCTACGGCCGCAAGAAGCTCTATGTCGCGGGCACGCTCTACCTTGGCCTTCTCTCGCTCGGGTGCGGATTTGGGAAGTCGGCGACGGTGCTGTACGTCCTACGCGGACTCCAGGGGCTCGGTCCTGCGGCGTTCGTTCCCGCCTGTGTGCGTCTCCACCCTCTCGCCTCTCAGTTTATAAATCCATTTTAATCCACGTCCTACCCAGCTGGGTATCCTGGCTCACGCGTTCCCTCCCTCGCGCGCACGCGCAATCGCATTCGCGACGTTCTCGGCCGGGGCACCGATCGGGGGTGCGCTGGGAACCCAGATTGGCGCGCTGCTCACGCAGTATACAGAGTGCGCGTTCTCTCTACTCCACACACCACAATGCTTTTAGCTAATCCCTCTGTAGAGCCTCTTGGCGTTCCCCTTTCTATCTCATCGCCGGGCTCGGAGTGCTCTGCGCCGTCGGCGGCGTGCTAATCATCGATCCAGACGTTCCCAGCACCGAGGCCGATCGGCGGGTTGATTGGCTGGGTGGGTTCCTTGTCACTGCCGGATTGGTCTTGCTCGTATTCGTGCTCGGACAAGGCTCTATCGCCACCGATGGGTGGCGGACCGGCTGTACGTGTCTGCTGCTTTTGATTTGTCCCTGATGAGGGCTGACAATAGTTTTTTTTGTGGGCCGCAGACATCATCGCGATACTGGTGGTCAGCCTCGTGCTCATTGGGTTGTTTATTGCATGGCAGCACTACCTTGAGAAGAATGCTGCGACACAGCGTCCCCCGCTGATGAAGCTCTCGATGTGGAAGCGGGCCGATGGCAAATTTGCAGCGATGCAGGTGATCGCGTTCTTCCAGTGGGCGGCATTTTTGTCTTGGTTCTTCTGGGCGCAGGTGTGTTTCATTTCCTTGCAGTAGATTCTTTTTTGATTTTCGCGGTGCCCATCGGCCAGGTCTACTACGAGGACTACATGAAACTAAGCCCCATCCTTACTGCTATCCGAATGCTGCCGATGACCATTACCGGCGCCCTGTGCAACTTGTTCGTCGTGCTGGTCATTGCCCGCATGCCGCTTGTCGTTCTCATATGTGCGTGCTCAATCCCCTGAAATTCATCTCGTCATCCAACACTTATACCCCAATAGGCACCGGTACACTAGTCACCGGCATCGCCTCGCTGTTATTCGCGCTCATAGACCCCGCTGCGCCGTACTGGGCGTTCGGTTTCCCCGCCACGATCACCGCCGTATTCGGTGCTGACTTTGTCTTCGCGGCAGGCACGATCTTTGTCGCCAAGGTATCCTTGCCACACGAACAAAGTCTCGCAGGCGGGCTGTTTCAGACTCTGACCCAGGTGCGCTCTCACCGTCTCCCGTGCTCAAGCTCCGGCGCTTAACACTCGCGGCAGCTCGGTACCGCGTTCGGTCTGGCCATCTCTACGATCGCGTTCGATGCTATTGCACCTGTGGGTGGAGGTCCTCCACCGATCAAAGCATATCGGGTGGCTCAGTGGACCGCTTTTGGCATGGCTATGCTCTGTAGGTGATCCTAGTTCGCTCGGTATCTCGTAGCTAACTGGGCACAGGCACTGTGATCGGTGCTGTCTTCCTCAGGGGCGTAGGGCCAGTGGGTGCCCCGGATCCGGTCGTAAAACAAACCGAGCCGGACGACGGTGCGCCTGTAGAGACGGAAAAAATAGAAGTTTATTCCTAATGACTTACCGAACGGCTAAACGCCTGAGCACCATGTCATCTCGAGCCGTGAGAGAATGGGCACGAGAAGCAGATTCCCGTCGCCCTGGCTATTGTGGGAGAGCGAAGTACCGGGAATAGTGACATGATCCGGCTAAATGTACTCCTCTGTATGGAGGCTCGGAAGGCCCTGCTCACAACCGAGACAGTTGACGTTGATAGGCGATGTAAGGACCCCATGCGCACGATGACATGCTCCTTTTACGTACATTTTCAAATGTTAATTCTAACGCACATCGGGTTTAAGCCCTGGATTTTTGTCCAACCCGTATGGTGCGGTCGACTTAGAGACCACTACTTGGGAAAAGACTGCCAAATCAGCCGGAGGAGATTTCTTTCTATATATCCCGTTTTCTAGCCTGAAATGATGCTGAATGTGAGAATTGAGGATAAAGGCACATAACACGTCACTCATCTGCTAACAAAAGCACAAAGCGCTGCCGCTGCTTGTGCTCGGGCAAAGCGACATCCACAGGCTCGCCAACCAGCAACAATAATTGATCACACACCGTCTCAAGATCACGAACACAGGATGATCATTGATTTGGTGGACGGACACATATCGGAAGGGATTGGAGATGCAGCTGACACAACTCGAGGTTTGGAAGTTAGTTTGCAGGTACACAAATTGCATCATCGCATCCCAGAGACCATAGTTCAGGCTTCTGACTAGTATAATATTCATAGTTGACGGGCCTGCCGGTTTCGCCCTACCTGGAAATTTCTACTCTCTCAGGGATTTATTTTGGGCTTATCCCTCTAGCCATTCTCTTCCTCTCATGAAAAGGAAGCGACTGGAAAGAGGAAAATATTCATCGTTAAAACTAGTGTACTATTACAACCCAAACCTAACTGTCGGTCATTGGTCACCAGGACCCAAAATCCGGTTTTTTGATGTGCTTAAAATTCACCTTACCTCAAAACTAAATGAACCGCGCCATACCTGACCTCCAATCAGCGAATGATTTACAAATGATTTTACACAAACTACTCTAAATCTAGTCCGGAATTGAACGAGTGTCTCGATTGGAGCACCGATCAACAAAAATTGATCTATTTGGGTAATTCGGGGTCAGACCAGACCGGACTGGGGCTAATTTTTGTAACCCTGTGACTTTTATATTGCCGAATGGAGCCGCAATTTTTGTCTAACACCCGACTCATTTGGGCTAATCCCTCCCCGCCAAAAATTGTCCAACAGGGGGCTAACATTTAGTGGGAATTTTACAGGTCCTATAATCACCCAACTGTAACTGAGAAGTCACTACGCGCATCTTCAACAGGGCCTAGCTACTTATGTACGTACACAAAGTCTGGGGTCTTAGATCACTTGCCATCAATGTCAACTGTCTCGGTTGTGAGCAGGGCCTTCCGAGCCTCCATACCTCTGGGGTTTTACGGGTAAGCACGGGCACTCTGGGATGAGCGAACGATGTGATGGAAACCATTCTCGCGCGCCGCATTGCATCCGCTGCATGCGTTCCGCTGTTGAACGCACCGAAATAGCTGTCGGACCGGTTGCACACCCACGATTGCAGCAATCACGTTCTTACGGTAGAAGACATGCTGGCCCGGCGTTGGGATCCCGCGTTCTCGCTCCAGAACAGACTATTTCCTGGCCATTCCACGCAGCTTCAAAATGAGATTTCAATGTGAAGGGTTGAATAAGGAGTCTCTGTTTGTGCTCATGATACGAAAACTCTGAAATCGGTGTGCTGTTGAGTAGGTAGGGGCCAGTCCAGGTGTTCATTTAGGCGGATCCGGACCGGCTGGGTTGAACAGTAGCAACCGGGGGCCTGTAGAACTCTTTTCAATCACCCAAGGCCAGGGTGCCACCCTTGCTCAACCACTGTCGCTTCGCCAGAGCATGTACGGATAAATGGCGCGCATGATGGAACAGCTTCGGCGACGGATGAAGGCGGAGTCTTCTTTGATATACTCCGCGCAGACCGCAGAACCCGAATACGACGCGTGCTCCCACGACTGACACAACGAGAGGACTCGTCTGAAACGGCCAGATTTTGCCGACGAGGTCCGGTTCATTCCACGAACCCACGATCTTGGTGCAGGACAAAAAAAAAGATGAGAAACACATAGGCCTTTCTTGGTCTCTCCCTGCCGGCACCCGGGATTGAAAACCAAACTCTTTGCATCTGCACAGAGCACCGGAGGCTCTGCTTCATCCGAGAGATCAACGACTCAGGCTAGTCTTACGCAGCATTGCTTAGAATGGCAGAAGGCCTCCGCCTCCGGGTCGCACAATTCTACCGAACACGAGAGGGTGTTTATTAATTCTCGGCATTCCGAACTGCCCAAATCAGTCAAGAACGGGGAAATTGGGCTCTAAATTAGCCATCACCTGTCAAGAATCTCTTTTTAGACCCCACAGTCTCTACCGCTCCATTGGACATGAACAAAACGCACATGTGGTGAAAGAACTTCGGGCTGAAGAGAAGTCGAGTCCTCAGTGTGGTTGGATCCTTCAGGATGTTCTTTCTTCAGGATATTCGCGCCGTACACCGCCGAATCCCGACGGCAAAGATGGTTCTTTCTAGGTCAAACTGACAAAGTCAAATCTGCTGAAATTCACTTGATATTTAAACAGCTTTGAAGTAATATCTGCTCCATCTTGCTTTCCCAAATGGCTGCCATCTCCCATATCTCAGAGCTGCCTGGCTCGTTCCCAGCGCTCGAGTCCATCTCTACTTTCGAAACGGCAGAAGCACTCACCGTTGCCCGATCTTTAGCTCCCACCATCACCGACATTCTCTCCAATCCGACTACGGCGGCAATCAGGGAGATTTTCCTTCCAGACGCGTTCTGGCGCGACCAAGTCTCGATTTCATGGTCCTTGCGCACCTTCTATCCAACCACGTGAGTCGTTGGGATCGCCTTCCGTGATTTCTCATTCATCGGCAGTGCAATCGCACAGAACATCGTCCCACTTCTCCAGCGCGCAGACATCGACACGTGCTCAATCAAGTTGCTGGAAGAGCAGGTGCTCCCAGTCGACCTGCCCAATGGAGTCTCCCTCGTCCGTATTCCATTCAAATTCAAGACTCGCAGGCCCGGGGCGGACGCCACTGCTGTTTTCAAAGTCGTGCGCGGGAAAACAGGCGCGATTAAAATATTCACAGTGACGACCGCGCTGCAAGCTATAGATGCGGTTCCATGGCGCACTGACTTCCCACCCTCAATGGTTCCGCCTGAGCTTCCTCAGACACTGCCGAGCACAGTGGATGTTCTCGTCATTGGTGGCGGGTGCGCCCATGTGTGCGCTGCTCTTGGTTGGAAGTCTCACATGTTGTTCAAGGCATGGTGGATTGAGCGTGTCGGCGTACTTGAAAGCCCTGGGCGCAAACTTCGCCACGATAGAGAAGCTGGGAACAATTGGGGACAGTTGGTCTAAAGTGTGTCTATTTGTTACGACGACTCCAACCTTTTGTTCTCATAACCGGACGGCCAGCGATACGAAAGGAGCCATAGCCCTAGGATTTAGTCAAATCCGTTTGGCTGTAGCCATAGAAATTGCATTCAAATCTATGGCTGTAGCCATAGGGCGTGGCGGTGCTGATGTGAACAACGATCAGTATGATCAACAACCTGTGATTGTGATTGACACCCAACAGCTAGGCGGTGGTCACTGGTTTCAGTGAGGATTGAACGGCTGACCTTCTAAAAATGTATGTTAAACCAATGCATTATCATACTGAGCTAAACCACTGTTGAACAAGTTGCAATTTCCCTCAACTTAGGGTGACCCGCGAGCGGCTTACCCTAAGTGGAGGGAAAGCTTTATCCTAGTACTGGTTATCCCAACCCCTTATCACCCAATAAACATATTTCTTGCCCCAACCAACCCTAATAGAGCCTCTAACAGGATTTTTTTTTTGCTCCCTTGCCCCAACCCTAACTGACAATAAATATATTTATTACCCTAACCAACCCTTACAGAGCCTGTAATAGGCTTTCTTTTTGCTACCTTGCCCCAGCCATAACCGAGAAAAAATGACGTCTCTGGGGACTAACCTTTAACCCAAACCCAAACCCTAGCCTGAACCACTAACCTCCGCGCCCAGAGGGGCGCGGCTTGTTCAAGACAGTAAGGCCTATCAACACTTTATGTTGGGGGATCATGGTGGTGCTGATGGCAATGATGATCTTGCACATGCCATGGTGATGCCGAGAAAAGCAACAGGACCAAAGGCCTGCCACGCTATGGCTGTAGCCATAGCAGTATTAGTCAAAGCTATGACTGTATCCATGCTATGGCTACAGCCATAGCTTTGAATGCAATTTTTATGGCTACAGCCATAGATTTGACTAAATCCTAGCACTATGGGTGACGAAAGCGCTACTCTCCACACGATCCGCCTGTATTGCGGCCTCCCTTTCGTTCCGTTTCCGGATGATTATCCTGAATACGTCCCTGCCAAGCTGATAGCGGCCTATTACGAAAAGTATGCTCGCGATCTCCAGCTTCCGGTCTTTACTTCCCGCAATTGCGTTCAAGCCGCATTTGACAATGATGATGAGCTCTGGACGGTCAAAATTGAGGGCCCGAACGGGATTGAGATGATCAGGGCGCGAAGTTTGATATTCTCCATCGGAGTCGGTGGCCGACGGCCGACGCTGCCCAACATCCCAGGTCGGGTGCGTCTTGCAGAGCCAACTGTGATGTTTCCACCTCTGATCCAGCGCTCCCCGCAGGAATCATTTGCAGGTGAGTGGATGCACTCGGCGTCATACACGGATGCGTCGGGCTGGGGCGGCATGCGCGTGGCCGTCATTGGCGCCAGCACGACTGGCTGCGACGTCTCGCACGATGCGTCTCGTGCTGGAGCCGACATCACAATGATCCAACGAAGCGCCACGCGGATATACCCTCAATCGCACATCGCCGGGGTGCTGGGTCGCTTGTGGAACAAGCAGAATGGTCCGGAGTTGGCGGATGTCCTCTCGACGGAGGATCCTATCATTCTGCAGGCGACGCTGAATCAGTTGATGCTCGGTCGGTTCCGGGATGCGCATGAGTGCGTGCTGTGTCCCTACATACGCCCCCACTTCTGACTTTTAGCCCCGCATACTACGACAACCTTCGCAAGGCGGGGTTTTTGATGAAGCTCGACGGGCCGGTCCATCAGGTTCTCCATACTTCCGCAATGTGGAAGATCCTGCTGAAATCGCCGACAGCAAATTTTCGTCCAAGGCGGCGGACATTACCCTGATGTGAGCAAGCCACGGATGCGATACAAAATTGTTCATGAATTGCAGATTGGAGCCTGTGAAGCTATCATCAACGGTGAAGTAGGTGTCCGTCCTGTCCCTCGTGAGGATGTTGAGTCACCGTCGCCAGATCAAAATCAAGTCCGACACGACCATCACCGAGGTCACATCGTCCGGGCTCGTCTTCTCAGATGGATCAAAACTTGACGTGGATGTCATTGTTTATTGCACGGGCTTCGAGAAAGATATGCGCGGGGCCATCTCCGATATCGTGCAGAAGGACTTGGTCAGCAGTCTGGAACCCGTCTGGGGTCTGGATGTATTATGCACGTCTCTTGAAAATAGACCAGATACTGATTCTCAGAGCAGGCTGAAGGTGAAGCTCGCGGAGTCTGGCGGCCGACCGGAAACGACAAGTTGTGGATTCATGGCGGAGAATTGCAGACAATGCGGTATTACGGACGAGTTAGTTTGCCGCCTCAGATTTGACCTTGCAGTGCTTACTGTTACTTTAGTTTTTAGCCCTTCAAGTCGTAGCCGAGCTGGCTGGCGTGCGACCGACTCCAGCAAGACGCGCTGAGCTCGTGTAAGAGGTATGAGAGATCATAAGATTGATGCAATATACATAGCCCCGCTCCAAATATGTTTATTTCGTAGTGAGAAGCTGAACCTCGGATTTCGAATCCAAATTCGTCGAGCCCGAGATCGACCGAGTTGTCCCAGATCGGTCACATCATGATGACGGCACGGACTTCTGCTGGGTTGCCGGCCGTTCTAGCCGATATCGGGCCGCTCCTGGCGTTCAACCCCACACGCAATATCCTGCAATATCAGGCACCGACAGAGTCGGGGACCTGGACAAGTCATGTCATTACAACTGTTCGTTGATCTAGCAACTTGTGGCATGTCTTTCCTGATTGTAATTTCTTGTTTTCGAGGCGAACTCGGGAACTTCTTAAGCTTGTCACCAGCCAGCACGTGATTGTTCACTTTCCCCTTTCCCAGACCATTCGATCTCAGCATACGGAAATGGTTAAAGAGATGTGCGGTAAATTCCAGAAAGGATCGAAAACATTTTTCTCGATGAATGGTCTCTGAGCGAGTGAACTTCAAAGTTCAACTAAATATCACGTGACCGATGTATTGTCTGGAATTACTTCTCGTCTTCATCATCCGGATAAAGCTGAAATGCAATGAAGCATCTTCGACTCGAAAATCTATATACACGCACCTTGCCAGGGTTCATGATGCCGAGCGGATCGACAGTGCGTTTAACCGCTTTCATGAGACCCACCGTCCCAGCCCCGAGCTCCTTGACCAGATACTCGCGTTTACCAACGCCAACGCCGTGCTCACCGGTACCTGATTCCGAAAAGTTAGCATTAGCAACACACTCGGTGTCGATGACTGAAGAACGCACAGGTGCCCTCCAGCTCAATCGCCCTGTCCACCATCTGATGCACAGCCTCCTCGACCTGCCGCCGCTCGGCATCATCCCGGAACAGGATCTGCGCGTGGAAGTTCCCGTCGCCGACATGCCCTACGATCGTATACGGCAGCCCGCGCGCCTCCAGATCGCGTTTCGTGTCGAGCACGAGCGCGGGCAGGTTCGACACTGGCACACTAACGCACGCACTCAACCGTCGACACACTTACAGGCACGAACAAGCACCGTACGCACCAGACATCCGTGGCCCATCCACGGGCGCCGGGGACGAGCGCCATGCCGATGTGGTGCGCGTTCTTGCGGTCCTGCCAGATATCCGCCGCCTCGGCGTCGCTGCGGGCCGCGCGGAAGCCCGTGCCGCCGTGCTTGTCGCAGATCTGGCGCACGACGCGGATCGTGTCCGGAATCGCAGACTTGGAGGAGGCCTGGAACTTGAGGAACAGGCCGTCGGAGACGGCGTATTGGAACCGGGAGGAGCCTGGCCAGGCGGTGAGTGCAAGGAGGAAGACGACGGAAGTGACTCACCATACTTGTTGGTGGCGGCCAGGAATGTGTCGTCCACCAGCTCGACGCACTCTGAGATTGGTCAGCTGTAGACAAAAAGTGAAAACACAATGCCTCACGGATGTTGGATGAAACACTCGACCGCATGATCTCAATCGACGCGTCGACAGCTGCTTTGACGTCCGGGAACTGCACACTCGCAACCGAGGTTGGAACGACCGGAGCGAGTCTCAGAGTCACTGTGAAAGTTGAGCGAACACGTCATCTCACAATTTCCTCGCCTTACCTTCTGTGATTATGCCCAATGTACCTTCCTAAACGGGACTGACGATCAGCGGATTGACGGAACCAACCAGAAACGGCGCGTACTGCGCCAATGAACAACTTGGTTGTATCCCAGCCCGCCGAGCTCTTCCTCGACCGCTGCCGCGTCTTGATCACCTCGCCGTTGGGCAAGACGACTGTCAGGTTCAAAAACCATTCCGCTTTTGCCGTACCGTATCGCACAGCGTTTGCTGTCAATCCAATCATTCCCATCTGCCGAACACGGATGGAAGAGTCACACGCACTGCCTGAGCATCCAGTACTGGCCATTCCACCAATCGTAGCGGCCGGCGCCGGGTCGATCTAGTGCACATCAACGCTGGAATCCCCAATCAAGGAAAACGTACGGGAAAGAAAAGCGGTATGCCTGTGGCAAAGATGTCAGCGTGATACTCGTACTGAACCGGATGATGACCCGCACCCTCGCTTTTGAGTGTCTCATTCAACTCCATCCACCCCACGCCGGGCTGGCACACGACATCCGCATCAGCCTCTGGTATCACGACACGTCAAGCGAGGCCAACGAGAATCTGTTAGGGCCGTCCCACGCACCGTGAATCTCAATAATCTTGTTCATCTGCGACATGTCGACCGTGATGCACCCGCCCGCGAGCTTCAGCGTGCGGATATCAGCAGTGCCGCATGGCTACGGTCGCTGGCGAGAGCACCGAAATGAAACCACGCACCCCGATGAAATGGCCCTCTAGCGCCGTCGCCCCCGAGTAAGGCTGTCTCACGCATGAGCTAGAGTTGTGCACGCCGCGAGGAGGACAAGCCGGCACACACAATAAGCGGCATCCGGTACTTATTCGCGACCTTCACAATCTCGACCACGTCCTCCGTGGACTCGGGGTACACCACGACACTCGGGGAGAAGCCTGGAAGGAGACACGTTACATGACGTACCCCATTGTGCGCGGCAGCTCACTCACCCGTGTGGTACGTGTTCGTCGACATCCCGTGGATGGCCAGATCGTCCTCGTCGAGCGACACCACACTCCGCTCGTCGCTCGGAAACACGTGCAGCAGCTCGTCGATCGCCGCGCGGAAGTCCGCGGGCGTGCCGTACACCGGTTTCGCGTGGTGCGCAGAGGCGAAGTGCGCTGGGCCGCTGGGCGAGCGCGGGGAGGAGGAGGGAGACATGGAGAAGAGCGAACCGATGACGAAGCCCGTTGCTGCGGCGCTGAGCACGAGGCCGAGTGCGAGTGGGACGCCGCTTCCCCGGCTTGCGCTCGACGTGGAGGTGGAGGTTAAACGTGCTCTCCCAGCCCATCCGTACGCCGGCGGAGGGCGCACGGCAGCGGACCGAAAACCCGAGCGGAGCTGGATGCGGCACGCACGTATCAAGGACGGTGCCATAGTGGCAGGTCGCACGTTGTGGAGGTGGGGAAATCGAAGTTGCGGGGAAAAGTCGCAAACTCCGATCGTGATAGTGATTGGATCAGGCCTCCGGAGACAGCGGGCCGTCCGAGGCACGTGAAGGTCCTTGAAACTGCATAGTGATCACTAGGTAAAGGCGCAGGATGAGATCAAGTAGATCTGCGACGGTGCTCTCTTCGAGAGCATCTCGCTTGAGGTGAAATCTGATAGAGAGAGAAAGGCCATTTTCTATTGTTCAAAAGTTCGACCGTGTCCGAAAAAATCGACACCCGAGAGAAAGGATTTTTCACTGGACGTAATAGTATTTTGATTTTTGTCATCGAAGTGTGAAGGAGTTCAGTCGTGAAAACAAACTCATCACGTTCCCATTGAGCCCCCGCGAAATCTGTACTCACTGTCGAGTCTGTGATCACGGGACACGGATCATGTCGGATCAAAGTAATCATCTCATTTCCTTTCCTCTCCGGCCTCTGATCATCTTTTCGTCTGAGGAGAGATGAAGTCCCGTCCTACGTCTATTCTTCCGCAAGAGCATTCCTTTCTCATATTTTGACTGCCATCTGTGAGCTGTCTGTGCCTGGCTAGAGGATGAGGCGCGAGAGGACGAAGCTATCACCTACTTGAGGGTTTCATCTTGTCATGGGTTGCCTCGCCAAGGCTGGGTGGCTGAACTCGAACTGGATTGATTTGACACGATTGCTCTCACCGTTGGCACACATCCTTGTCTGTTCAACGTACGCCAGGATTTCTACTCCGTGCCTTAGTCCACATAAAACCCCACATTCGGTTGCTCGACCTTGAAGCATCTCATTCACAATGCTTATCCCGACGCTCTTGATTTCTTCCCTCGTAGCCTCGATCGGACTCGTGGAGGTGCGATCTCATGGTTTCAAACGACCAGACCAGCCACCTTGACCTCCTCACAGGCATCAGACGCCGGAAAGCCTCTGTTGGGCCTTACACTCGTCGCCCGCACTTCCCTAACGACGACGACTCCTCACACAGTGACGAGCCAGACGAAGAGCACGCCGAGCGCCGCTCCGACTGGCAACGGCAGCTGCAAAATCTGCGGTCAGGAATCCCGCTCAGTCTCATTTCAGACATACTGGTACTGAACGCCGCCGCCCAGACTGCCTCGTTACACTCGTGGAAGCCGCGCTCGCTCCGGTCATATGCGTCGAGGCGGGCAGTCAGGCATTCTGCAGTGCGTTCCTTGTCATCGCATCACGCGAATCGACTCGCACGCGGCTGACTTGGATACTAACTTGCGCCTGCGCGTCTCCTCAGATCCTATCCTGGACGCCGAATGCATCGCTGCTGTACACGCTTATTCCAAAGTCTATGTACGGCCTTCCCGTTTCTTCATCTCGTTCCGCTGCTCAAAGTTCCGTTGCTAGTCGTCGTGCAAGGGCTGCTGAAGAGAAGGAACATTGTCTACGTAGGGCGCATGATGTCACAGTAGCCAGACAAGATCCACCATTCGTGTTGAGACTAGAAGTGACTCCCCCCTGGGGAACTGGGCCTCTACGAGGAATCCTCTCTTGCCCCTAGGACTGAAGGCGCCTAGCGCGGGGAATGAAACACTTTCACGAGAGCAGCCGCAAGAACGTGGCATTGTTTCAGACGTTAAGGGGGATGGCATGCTCTACTAGCTCCTGAATCATGAAACCTGCGAATGGCGAGTGAAGAGAAAAGGGTCGACATGATTCAGATGGGAACTGTCCTCAATGGCATCACGATATCCCGTTTGTCAAGTGCAAACTTAGCGGTACCTTCACCAATGCGGTTAATAGGCAGATCATTCCCTTCTCAATGTGCCTACATCGCACACTGAATGCGACCACAAAGTATCCTTCACAAGCGGTGCTGATATTCCCACACATATAAGGTGATGATCAATCAAAGACAGTGTACAAGGCCGAATCTAACGATCCAGCTCCCCATGCTCGAGCCAATCCAGCGCCATCTTCGCCTGCTCAACGACATCCCGCTCCTCCGCACCGGTGCTCCCGCCCCGTACCAGTACCGCCAACGTGCCCCGCACGCCCGCCTCCGCCAGCGCCCGGCGCGCCGCCGCACTGCCCCGCGCGAGCTCCAGGATCGCATGCACTGCGGGCCGACGGACCGCTATGCCCGCGTCGGCGAGGACGGACCGCAGAGCGCGCAGCAGGGCGGGGGAAGACAGCAGGTGCGCGTGGTACGGCGTGCCCGTGTTCGCGATGTTCGCGACGACGCACGTCGCGGGGAGGAGGCTGTCTTGGTTGTGTGTGGCCGTTGTGGGATTCGGGTTAGGCGGTGGATTCGCTGGAGCAGGTGCAACGGGCGTGGTCGTCGCCGATGAGAGGCTGAGCACCCGCACGAGGTGCGCGACGATGGGCGCCGGGCCGAGTTCGCGGAAGGCCATCTCCACGCCAGCTTCGTTCTCTGCGAGGTTGCGCAGGATGTGCCAGGCTTGCTCTTGGATACCCACGTCTGGATCCCCCAGAAGCCTGGTGGGGTTGCGCTCACGTCAGAAAGGGGGCTGGGAAGCCAATCGAAGACACGCACAAGGCCAAACGCGGCCAGCCAAGCTGAGCCATGACATCTCGTTTCGTCTCGCCGCTGCTCTTGCTGAGCAGATTCTTGACCGCCCAGAGCGCACTCAGCCTCAGTGTCGCCTCTGAACCAGCAATATGTTTCACAAGGCGCGGCATGAGGCCCTGGTCGAGATAGATCTGCTCCGAAAGTCAGGACACCGAAGGACGCATACAGATCACACGCACCGGACGCAACGGCGAGAAGCCATTGACGATGTTACATACCGCGGCAAGCGCCGCGCCAATGACGCGCTTATCCTCCTGCCGCATAAGGACGGCGAACACACCCATACCAAGCCCACTGTCGACGATATTCGTGCGGAGCACCGCCAGGCCGCGGCTGAGCGCACGCACGCACTGGCACCCCGCATACCGCACCCCAACGCGCGGGTGCGTCAGCGCGGCCAGCACCGTGGGAAGCAGAGATGGCGACGATGACGTGAGTGCGAGACGGATGTTGTTCTCGAAGAGCGCTAGCGCCGCGAGGCAGGTCAGAGCTGCCTGCGAAGCATGAGTTTCAGTATCATCGTGAGGGCTGTTCCATACCTCGCGTAGAGCGGAGACGCTCTCCGCTTCATCATCCCCATCCTCCGGCTCGGCAATATCCCGCAGGACTGCCGCCAGAAGACCCACTGACCCACGCTCGTAGGCTGTGAGTGCTAGCGCAGGGTGATCCGCGACAAGATGATCTGCAGATGACAGAAAAGTAGTCGTGAGTGAATGGGGAACTTGATCTGGAAGAACAGAAACCGCACACAATACAAAGCACGCTTTCGTCCTGGTCTCCATGCCCGGCTCCGCGATAAGATGATTGAGGACGCTCAGCACACTAAGAACCGCCCCGTCTGGCGCCGCACCAGGGAGCGCACGTAATATGTGCGTCGCGCTGCACGCCATCTCAGCAGCGAAGATGATCCCTGTATGGCAGACGCACCAGAGACACGCGGCGACCTGCACATCCACCGCCTCGACGGTTTTCGCAAGCATCAGCACACAGGCCAGAGAGGCTTCGCAGTATCATCAGCAAGTCTTGCGAACTGGCAAAGAATGTTTGGCACACACCCTCGCCCACCGCTCCCGCCACGCTCGGCTCATCCTTGGCGACCGCACCCAAGGCCCACAGCGCGGCCTCCACAAGCTTGCGGTCCCTCGCATTCGTGTTCGCGCACTGCCCCACGAGGCCGAGCAACGTCCGACACACCCACCCGCCCGCCTCCCCGTCCCCGTCTGGCGCGGGCTTCTCCCAGCCCCGATTGCGCGTCGCTGTCGGCGTTGTCGGCGTCGCTGCTGTGACGCTGGTGCCGCCGCTGGGCACCCACGCGACGACGGCGGCCCGGTGCTCCGCCCGGCGCAGCGCAAAGCCGAGCATCTGCGCGACGGATGTGGCTGTCGGTTTTGAGGACTGAGCGGGGGTAAGCAGAGGCAGGAGAACGTCCAGAGATTCGGGCTGCAAACGCAAACGCAACGCATGTCGATAAGCATCCTGCTGTAGCGAGTATAGCGTATCATATGCACCTCGAACAGCCAGTCCAGCGCCACACCCGCGAGATCGCGGACCCGTATTCTTGTTCCTCCCTCTGGGACGCCTCCTGAGCCTATTTCGGAGCCTGGCTGTTGTCCGTGCTGAGAATCCGTCTCATCTGCCTCCAAAACAACATCGGAATCCGGATCCTCACGTAGACCCCACGCCGCGGGGCCGACACAGTCCGCAAGCCGCACCGCAAGCGTTCGGAGTGCACGGGTCGCGGCTGCGCGTGGTTCGTCGGAAGACAATGACCTTATTTTTGGCTGGGCTGCCGAAGAAGAAGATGATGATGATGAGGCTGGGGGTGCCGCTGCAGACGCAATCGCGCATACGAGCGCGTGGGGTGCATTCGCGCGGAGGAGCGTCTCCAAGACGCTGTCCGGGCCTGTACGGAGATGGGTGTCAGGGTCTGCCGGTGAACGAGGAGCGGAACTGGATCAGAGAAGCAAGCGGCGTGGAAGGATGGACGGCTGATGACGAGAAGAGACGCACGCACCGTACGCTATGGACGCTATGACATGTGCCGCCTCCGTCGCGACCTCCCTCTCGTCCCCGTCCGTGACCTGCTCCCCCGTGTAATATGGGTTCAAGCTGCGAACGAGGCTTCAGACCGAAAAGCGTGATGCGTTTGAGTGCGTGACATGTGCATGGAGCGTAAGAGGACGAGGAACGTGTGACGACAGGACGGAGTGACAATCGACGTGAGAACACCGATAAAACACGGAACGGCACATACCTCCCAACGAGCTCTGCGTCCCGGCCCATTTCAGCCTTCGCACGCGCATTCCCTATGGCTCGATTCTTTAGCGCCTTGAGTTTCACCAGGGTGAGCGGTGGCGGTGTTCTCTGCGTCGCTGTCGATGAGGATGTTGTAGGCACCGACGATGTCGAGGCAAAGGTGGAGGATGGGGACGTTGGCGGCAGCGGTGGCTGTAGGGTCATCAGGGTAGACAGGAAGAGGAGGGAGATAGCCGGTGATCGGAGCCCGCACAGGTTGCTGATCCGTGCTTCCTGCATGACGATTGATGGGATCTTATCTTATCTCTACGGCTGTGAATTATGGCCCGAAGTTAGTAGACCGTCCGGGACTCCGGGTATACCAAAAGTGAGGACGAAGTTGAGAATAGTTTTTTCGTCATTGAGATGCTTACCCTATTCAGTGGGAAGTAACGCACTCCCATCGTCGGGCCTGGTTTGTCCCCTGGATGGCAGTTTGTCCCGAACCGTTACAGATTTCGCCGACATTCCATTTCACGAACAAGAATCTTGAACAAACGGACCCAAGGGATCTCTATCACATGTACCTGAAACGATCAGGGCCCAGATTTACACCCGATCGGGTTGATCTACCGGAGAATACGCTGGCCGACGGGGCCTTGATGCACATCTTCGGGAATGATATCGCCGCGCAGTGAGACCCTCGATTCAAGTTTCTAATGCTGAAAACGAATCAGACCGCGCTTAAAAATCAAATGACTGCGCAGTCAAAAAAACAAAGACTGCTGCTGCTTAACCGCTTGCCTGTGACGAGCAGAACATTCCCAAAAGCTCTAAAGAACAATTTTTGACGAGTATGTCAACAACATGTCTAAGCACACATCTACCCGTGACATAGCCGTCTCAATGCACTCGGCTGTCTCGGGCCACTCAATAGAGCACCAGTCGGCATGATGTAAAAGGTGCGAAGTCAACGGGCTGTGGCACCTCAATTTTGGGCTAGCCAGCTATAAAAGAGCCCCAAGAGGTGCTTCAGAACACCAGTCGTCCCTGTACTTCTTTCACTCATGCAGCTCACCCGCGCACTTCTCGTCTTCGCTGCCGTCGCACTCAGTGCGGTCCAAGCTGCACCTGCCCCTGCGGAGGTGTCTTCCAGCCTCACCAAGCGTTGTACGTAGCCCCTTCTCTAATTCGATCGACCACGATGTCCATTCTGCCATGCTAAAACTGAGCTAGGGTGTGGATTCGACCACAGCTGCCCGTGCAAGACTAACAAGAAGGCCGGCTGTGTTGCCAAATTCGATGAATGCTCCCAGCACTGGTTCTGGCCCGAGGAGTGCACGACATGTGCCCCCTGCCTTCCGCTCTGCCTCACCCGTGAGTGACCCTACTTTCCGCCTGATCTCTTGTCCGATCGATACTGATTCTGTTGAAAGCTACGAAATGTGTGGGCGATGCGGCGTAATGCAACAATCGTACCGTACCATTGACAAATTGTACCCACAAGCGATCGAAGTATGGAAACAGCCCTCACCTGAACTCTGAGCTCTGTGCGATCGGGACGTGTCGCTCAGTGAAGTAAAGCGGATGTCCATCTCGGCAAGGGGTGACGGATTGCCGGTGTATCCAACCACTCCGTCGGTCACAGATCACGGCTAAGTGACGAGGCGTAGCAAGAGATCAAACGGTCTAGCCGTCGTGACCTGTCACAGGTCCCTGCACAAAATGAGCGGTCAGCACAGCTGACCTGATCGGAGAGTGTGAGCGAATTTACCGCAATGGATCTTCTGTGGAAATCCGTTCACTGTAAAGCCTATTTCTGATGGCCCAAGCGAGGTTCAATACCATGAATAGGGGATGATCATCGATGCAAAGATCGTTTTGTCCACCTCCTCAGATGTGAAATGAAAGAGAGATAATACTCAAATCAGATTTAGAGGTAGCATGGGAAGAACAGGCCCCGGAAGCATTGCATTTTATGATCACAAAAAGTCCGAACGATGAATTTGTGACATTGTCACGCCACCTATTCTTCCCATTTCTCTGACAGAGCATAAATCTTACGGCAAGGAGCCCTAAGAGCTTCGAGCGGGGTCCGGGTTCTCGATTCAGGTAGGATACGTGAGAGCCGGCTACACCATCCGGCCCCCGGACTGGGATGGATAGGCTCATGACGTACACTATCAAGTACCATGCACTGTGACCGGACTTCAACGGGAGGCGGGCGAAAGACGCTCAAGACTCCATTTCTCGCATGTCTTCCAGAGCCCTCAGCTGCGTCGAGGTAACGGACCACATCGTCGCTTTCCTCGCTTCGCCTGACTGCGCCACATCGACTTCCGATGTGCGCGCCTGCTCGCTCGTCTCGTTCGCTTTCGCTGGATCCAGCCAGCGTTGGCTCTTCTATCATATCCAGCTTCCCCCTGCCTGTCAAAAATGCACGAACACCGCAATCCGCTCCCAGGCTGCGTGTTCGCGACTGCTCGCCGTACTCGACGACAGCCCGTGGCTTGGACGCTACATCCGGTTTTTGACGCTCACGATAACCCGATCTCTGCTCGATCTATTGCCTCGACTATCTGCAGCACTGCCGTGTCTCCAGCACCTCGCGATCCGCAACCTCGACACCCGAAACGAGGACGTCCGCCTCCACATCCTCCCGCCCATCGCCCAGCTCGTCGGCCGGCCAACATTGCGGACGCTGGAGCTGCTGCAGCCTGTATTCGAAGACGTGCAGGACTTGCACGCGGTCTTTTCCCTGCGCGACCCAGGGGCCGATTTAGCGCGCCTCGTGCTCGACGGCCCGCGGGTGTTCAAATTCTTGCGTGCGCGTAAGCTGGATGACGCCGTGGATGATGTGCTTCTGGAAACAGATGTGCTCCCTGGGACGATCCGCGTTCTGAAAAGTACCTCGCTCAAGCTCAACCTTTCCCGGTGGGATGGGTGGCTGGCGCATCCGCTGTGCCCATTGGATTTCTCGGGAGTGCGTGATTTGGAGCTGCACGGCGCATTTGGAGTGGGACTGAGGAACCGAATGCGGCATGCGTGGGGTGGGATAACGAGGCTCGCAGCTTCTGCGTACAGTCTAGAAGGTCTGCTCAACTTCTGTAATCTAATTGAGGCAGCAACTGACCTGACATTCATCAACGACCGATAGCCGCAATCGCCGAAGGTTTCAGTCTCAGACAACTACCGTGTCTCCATGACCTTTTCTTGCATACTGCCAACGCCCATATTTCGTGTCTGAGTGCGATCATCGGCACACTCGGCGAGGAGAACGCACACAATCTGTCCCACCTCGCACTCGAGGTAGGCACCGTCGACCAGCTCGTTTCGCCTCCGCAAATTTCCGTGCTCGTAAAGACGCTTAATGACCTTCCGTGCGACTTCAATCCCCGGATCGAGCTGGCCTTCCGACATCTGACGGTTCATTTACACGGGCCAGACGGTGTCCAGTGGTTCTCAGATGCTGTGTCTCAACTCTCTAGGTTACTTATCCCTAAATTGGGGAGGTTTACGGATATCAACATTTCGTGTGTACGGAGCGGCACTCCTGGATGCATGATTCCCAAATTCTGAAAGAACTTCCAACTGGGCAAACATCTGTCAACAAGCCTCGTTCTTGTGATCATCGGTGTAAGGTAATCCGTATGCCTGTTTCACGAGACCTTCCCTTCGCGCTCGTAGTTCACCTAGGGCTAGGTAAAACTCCTAATGGGGAGGTGATTTACATCTAGAGGGGTCGGTGCTCAGTATAAAGAGTCTGTATTTTTTTTGTGAATTATCGACGCCGGGGAGCGCCGGGGCACAAAAAAAGGCTCGGTAATTGACCGTAAATGACCGCGGTATCCTCAGTAATTTTCGTAAATTTCGTATCATCCACATTGATTCGAATCGACGATGAAATTTGTGCCAGGAATAGATGTCTCTTTCCCTCACAACTAGTCCTCCAAGTAAATTTTCTTTTTTAGGCTAGATTTCCATCACAGAAAGAAAATTAATAATATAATGATGTTTTCTTTGCAATGTCGATTCTCCAGACAAAGAATTTGAAGAAAGATCATCCTATATGAATCTCTTTGGAGTAAATATTAAAGTTGTTCTACTCCGGACTTAGAAGCAAAGGAGATGGTATTGTTCAGTATTTCGACTGTTCTCGTAGTCGTTTCAATCTGACGTCTTATTCATTCATTCGAAGTGAACACATCAAAGTATTTCTCGATCCAACCGTCAGTTCGACGAGATCATTTGGTGAGATATCTGATCCCGCTCTTAGGGCAGCTGGAGCTCTCCGGCGAGTCTGCAAAGCCATAAGTCGTCAGCGTCATTACGAGACAGAGGCGATCCTCGTCATTGCACTACGCACCGATGAGTTCAAAATCTCCGTCGATCATGCTTCCACGGAGATGGTAGTAGTACGAAACACCGCCGAGATCGCTTCCTGAGCAGTCGAAGGCCGGCGTGACCTGGATAGAACCGCACGGTTCGCGATCAACCAGTATCTATCCGCGTTCAAAGATGACACGCACCCCGGCTCCAGCCTTGATCGCGGCATTCAGACTAGCCAGCGTGTGTGTCCCACTTCCGGGGGTGATTCCAGCGTCTTTGAGCCACGTGTACGTCGGCAGAGACTGAAAACCCATCCACCACATCAACAGATGCAACCAATTCAAGACGGGAGCACGAGCACGCACCTTGAACAAGCCCACGGTGGTCTCGAAGAACGCGACGGCCTCGGCACCGCGCGGGCTGCCCGACGGGAGACACGACGGCTCGAGCGTGCTGTAGCATGTGCCGTGAGTGGCCCATTCGTGTGCCCAGAGCTCGGAGTCGGAGCCGTCATTCGGGTCGTTTTTCCAGTACTAAGAAACGTGGCATTGGAACCCATAGAGAGGGACGGAGAGATCAATCATTCGCGACCCACCTTGTTCATGTAACTGAGCGTCGAGCTGCCACCTTGGGCACTTAGGAGCTGGAGAACGGATGTCAGGCGTGATGTGTCGGGGTGGCCTCGACCGGACTTGAGCTCACGCTGCCGATGTTCGTGTAATCGCGGGACGGATCGCAGTTACTTGAGTACGAGCCGTCGCAGTGGTCCGGCCAGAGTCCTGTGGATTTGTGATGAGCGGGGTGGGATCAACCCGCATCAGGTTTCAGGAGGACTAGTTCACCGTGGATGGTCCAGCTGTCAGTCGGACCCGTCGGCGGGTTAGTGTCCCAGAACTACAGCAGCACGATGCTCAAAACCAGACCGAACAACGCAAGGGCCACCACACCTGCGTCTGGAGAATCAGTCCCTGGAATCATTCCGTCAGCCAGCTGAAGTGGTTGAGATTTCCAACGCAAACGCACACCGGGAGCCTCGTAGCAACAGGACCCCTTGGCCGAAGAGCTGCACGACAGCGCACCGCGAGTCCCACACCCAGACGAGATGGAAGGCTCCAGTCCCCGTGGAATCAACAGCGGACGAATGAGTCCGGCCGACACCGCGTGTACACCGCCTAGCGCTGCGACGATTAAAGCGAGGAGCGCCGTTCTACTGAAGCTTGCAAGCTACGCAAACGCAGTGCTCGATACCTCCCCAGCCCGCAACACCCATGTTTATATACAGAACAACGCTGGATATTAATAGTGCGCTGGCATGTGGAGGTGCAGAGGGTCCGGGCAGAGATGTCACTTCGGCAGGTGTGGCCGAAGAATCACCACGCACCGCGCGGCCTTCCTTCGAACGTGGAGGCGTGAAGTAGCCAAGATTGTAGCAAGCATGCATGCGCGCGCACCATGTGTTGTGGGGTGGAAGTTCATTTCTAACGTCTCCGGCAGAACAGTCCCAATCTCTGTAACATGCTAGTGACTTGAAACCACTAGCCAGTAGCACGTGAGCTCGTGAGGACGTCACCGTCACGTGGACGACCCACTGTTGTTGAACATCACATAACGAAACCCCTTTTCCCTTGCTCATGAAGTTCGTATGGATACTGACAGCTTTCGGCCTCGAGAGCACCTCTGGATCAATGACTTGACTTGGATTCTGCCCTTGACTCCCATGGGTCGTCGCATGGTCGCATGATAGGAAAAGGCACACACCAGACATGTTCCATCGAGCTGCGCCAGGGCTATTTCCACATGACCTGCCGCTACGGGACGCAGTTCTGCTACGTCTGCGCCACGCGATGGAAGACCTGCGCGTGCCCGCACTGGGAGGAAATGCACCTGATCACCACTGGGGATAACTGCGCGTCGTCGAGGCGCGTGGCAGCGGCTTGGGAATGACCATGATTGTATGAATGGCCATGACTGGCGTAGACGCAATGGGTGGGCACGGTGCGAGGAGTGCCACTTCGTGTTGCCCGACGATCTATTCGTGAGTGCGCTAGTCCTGGTTCGCTCACGTCTGAAGCTGAGCTCTCTTATAGCTCTGCAGATCTTGTGGAGTTGCCGTTTGTGCAATGTACGGACGAAATCATCTCTGGAAGAATTCTGTTGTGGGTATCTTGTCTCTTTGTGATATATACACTAAATGTGCCCGTCGACTCTGTCGACCATGTCGTCCTCATCGATTACTTGCACTTGAGATACTTGACCCTGCCTTCCCAATCCATCAGTGTGCTCTTGAGTGCTGGGGGGAAGAAAAATGACCAGCGTCTCGTCGAAAGTGCATTTTCTAGTCTTCCAGCCCCATGCGGGGACGCGGACAACTATATTCGTCGTCGTCCGTTACAATTTGACCAGTCATTCCCGCAAGAAATCCTGGATCACACCGGGGCGGATCTCGTCATTGATCGCTCCCAGGCCAGCTGGTCCGTAAGCCCGGGCGCTGAAACCGATGAGCAAGAATCTAAAGACCCAGAGAGTCCACCACCACTCACCCAGCGAATCAAGCTCCATGGCAGGCGACTCTAGCGACTCCCCGGTCTCCCCCTGCGACGAACTGAGGCGCCCGGACATATGTTCTCGGGCTGGATCGCGCAGGGAGAGCATCAACCGCGTGATCGCGAGGGATGAGATTCTGTGCACAGGCGAGATTGAGCTTTACCACAATCACGGGGGAGAGATGGCGCACGCACGCATTGGTCAACGTCGTTACCGTCTCGCGGCCGAAATCGCTCCCGAGCTGGGCAGAAGTTGAGTCGAAATAAGGGCGCGACGCGAATGAGGAGACGCACGATCAGGACGAGGACATTGGCAACATTCATAAGCGTCATAAATCTACACGAAACGTAGTCAGCCCCGCATGACGGCCTTCGAGCAGAACGAGTACGCACGCGAAGTAAACCGCCCCGTCTCTCAACATGACCGAGAACAGATCTGCGCCTGGCCTACGGCTGTGCTCAGGGCGCGTGAGCACGCGAGCAACGGTCATGCCGAATATCAGCGCGTCGAACGCCGTGACGCAGGACCACGCGATGGCCAGGTACACTCCGCTGTGCATGAAATCAGCGAGATCAAGGGCCCGGATCTGCAGCACGCACGCGATGTGCGGGGTGCCGAAGTTGCACCCGGAGAACAGCTGCAGTGCTGCCTGGTTCGTGTCCGGTGCCACTATCGTCGCCCACTATGTAGGAGCAGAAATTGAGATCCGTGCTTGCGCTGATCCAGGAACTGCGACACGTACGATGGCGATGGCGAGCACTGCGGCGGCGAAGATAAGCATGGCCGCGAGTGCGCGGATGGAGCGTTCGTAGAGGGCGTAAGTGCGCAGCACGAGCATGACTGCGGCGATAGGTGTCAGTACATGCGCGTATGCACCTCCGTCCCTACTGATTCACGCACTCCCGACGATGATCTGGCTCCCCACGAGGAAATACTGGTGAAACACCTCCATCGGCCCGCATCTGCACCTCATCAGAAACCCATCTACGTCTCGACGACATAACGTACGCCTGTCGCATCGATCAATCAGCTCGGGACTCAGACGAATCATCTGGGACGCACAGCAATCTTTGCGGGAGTCAGCTGCCCACCCCATACATAGTCGACCAGGATGGAGCTATTCCCGAGGAGAGTCAAGTACCGGTTCAGGTAGTAGAAGAACGTGGGCCACGAGAACGGCGTGCCCCAGTACCGCGCGACCTCCCAGTCAAGCGTGAGCAAGTAGTCGTACACGATCAGGGCTGCGTGAAGTCAGCATACAGGATTCGCGGGGGAAGGGGAGGGAGAGATGAGATCGAGGACGCACTGAACGAGAGGATGTCGAATGCGCTGGTTACACTACACGCCATGTGTGAGCGCGCAACAATGCCTCGGAAGTGAACATACAATTGGTCGTGCACGTCAGCTCCACTCGCATTCGTGCTCATCTACATCCACGGACAGAGTCAGGGAGGAGAGGGAGGCGCAGCAGCAGCAGCAGCAGCAGCAGCAGGAGAAGGGAGGGAAAGAGTTCGGTCAAGTCAGGCACCGACGAAACGCATGGTCGCAAAATCAGCGATGCCTGCCATCTTGATGTGATCTGGGTGCGTTCGTTGGTGCTCTTTGGCTGGAACGTGACTCGCGGAAGCTGGCCCTGCCTTCCAGAAAAGCCGGCCGTCTAAATAATATTTCCAACCCGCAAATGCGGGGGAGACTGTATTCGAGGCGGACTAGCGACTTCGACAGGTGCAAAGAGGGTCGGCCATCCAGTGTGACGACCCGTGTCATAGTCAGTCACGGGGATGACATCGGTTCCATAAAAGCTGCTACTGTCAGCCTGTCAGCTATTTTAACGATTAAGCTTTCGCAGACGCTGTAAAGTGCTTTCATCCTCGAGTCTCAATTCATGATTCCGTGGCACATCGGGGACAAGCGCTTGCTGGCCAGCGAAGAAAACAGCTGCCGCATTCATGCAAAGCTGGATCTTCGGGCCAGACGCCAACCGTTCCGGGATGACCCGTGCTCTGATGTGAGATCACGGACACCGGTTCCGACCCTTGTGAGACCGCAGAGCTGATCCGCGCTGCTCAGTAACTTGGGAGCATGAGGGCACACATCTCCGTCATCAATTCATTTGTCTCAAAGTACAATCCATAACCGTTATTCCGAATCACTGCGCGCTCTTCTTGGACGGGTCGATGCATTGGAAAACTGTCATCCCCTGGTCAACCACCCACCACAAAAATGATCAGAAGCGCAAAAAGCGCGAAGACTCACAATCGACACACAGCTCGGGGCACGTGCCACACCCCTGGCACTGCGGCGGCCAGTACCACTGCTGGCCGCACTTGTCGAACGTCAGCTGGCAGCCCGTCGCGGCGTCCGGCGTGCAGCCGCACTGCGCCTCGAAACCGCACCCTGACAAGCAAATAGTGAGTTGGCAGCGAGAGATTCCGGGCTTGGAGACCCACAGCGTTTGGTGAGGCTCGATTCCACAGCGGGAGCCGCGGTAACGGCGCTCATGCTCGCGAACGCGACAGCGAGGCTGACGAGGGTGGCTGTGAATTGCATCTTGTGTGGGTTGCGGTGTCAGTGAACAGTGCGCTGATTAGGCTGGAGACCTGGGACACTTACACTCCTAGCCCCCGGCTTTTATGGGATTTGCGGATTCCTTGTTGAAGCCTGGGGGTGGAGACTTATCCCCGTTTGCGCTCCGATACCAAGCCACCGACACCTCTTACGTTACTTGCGCATGAGATTCATTTTATGTGTGCCTGGTCCACTCCTCCGAGTCACCCTCGCTTACTGAATTCAACTGCATCCTACTCCGGTTCAAGGGATAGAAATCAACGCTTTCAATTGAACATTATTGGCTTGGCCTATGTCTCGGTAGTGTGCTCAAGTTGAAAGGACGACACGGGTGCGTCGGCAGTCCGCCAAGAAAAGGCATCGCCTGCTCTGGAGCTCCGTGACATTCGTAGAATTCTGAGGACTTGATATCGAGTGAGTAGACTCTGAGATTTCGATGCATAGATAGTAAGAATATATCATCGGTTAAAGGCATTACGTTTGACGAGGCTCATATTTGTGAATACAGAAACGCTCTGTTTATCCTGCTTCTCGGTAGCTTCCCTGAGAAATTTTCATAATAATCCCGAATCACTTCGGAGGGGATGGGTCGATGCAGTGAAAGACTGGCAATCACGATACACAAACTCATCAGCGGGATCGAACAATGATCAAGTAGCGGCGGCTTACACAAGACGCAATGGTCCGGGCAATCTGCCTGGCACCCCTTGCAGTGCGACGGCCAGTACCACTGTTGACCACACTTGTCGAACGTCAGCTCGCATCCGGCCGCAGGATCCGGCGTGCACCCGCACGTCGCGTCGAAGCCGCACCCTCGAAGCACGCAGCATGTGAGGATTCAACCGGGCATAGGATCTGGAGCGGAGACGACTCACAGCGCTTGGTGAGGCTGGATGTGACTCCCACAGAGGGAGCCGCCTGCGCGGTGCTCGTGAGAAGGACGGCGAGGGAGAGAAGTGCAGAGGTGAGTTGCATTGGTGAGAAGGTTGACACACTGATTAGCCCGAGCCCGGCTTTTATTGATCCAGAATCTACGTCTAGCCCTGAAGCGGTTCATGACTGATCCCCGACGGTGAAATTCAGCCATCCTGCGCTTGAATACAGCACTACACACGTGCCTGGCATGGAAGGACGGTGGATGCCATTGACTTCGCTGGTCCAAGATGTTCAGGCCAAGCGAAAGACAGTCTTTGGGCTTCTGGTTGATAAGTATCAATGAATTGCTAGGTATGAGAATGTCATTCGGCACACGATGTAGTACCCCTCCGTCTCCCGATATCGTAAAGCCTCTGCTATGAACTCGAGAAGCGACTTGGCGCTGGCCACGACAACCATCGGTACTGGATCACCGGATTGCTTGGCTGATTTAAATGCTCCGGACTCCGGAGCGGTCGGTGTAATCATTTGTTCAATTTCGTACATGTGGACTGGGCTCTACGAATGAAGACATTCGAGTCCTAAGCACCGTCACTACAACTGGTCCATGTTTTGACCGCGCGATCAAATGGGATGGACTTGTAGGACAGCGCTCGCAAATCCACTCTTTAGTCTTCAGAAGCACCTAACTACTCCCGAACAAGTCCCTCTCTCAATTCAACTCCTCAGCAAGCGCTGTTTGATGCAGCAAACGCGATCACGTGCTATCGACCACTTCACAGATCCGCACGTCTTTACGCTGGTTATCATCATTCATTCACTCATTCATATTCACAAAACACGAGAGCTCTTTCTACGCCATAACTCCCGCTTCTCAACGCGCCGACAGTCTCACGCAGTCGGCTGCGCGCACAGATCTACGCACATCTCCCCATCAGCCCAGCTCAAAGATCAAGCGACGCTGAGAAACTACTCACAGTCGACACAAAGCGCGGGGCAGTCACAAGTGTCGCACGAAAAGGGCCAGTGGTAGTTCTGCCCGCACTCGTCGAACAGGAGCTCGCAGCCGGTCGCGGCGTCTGGAGTGCAGTTGCATTCGGGGCGGAAGCCGCACCCTGTGGGAGCGCAAGGTCAGCATGTGAGCAGAGAGGAAAGTGGAGTGGAAAAGTGGCTCACAGCCGCCTCTAGTGACGTTGGCCGATACAGCGAGGCTGGGGGCCGCGCTGACCTGGACCGTGAGGGCAAGAGCGAGGGCGAAGAAGGTGCGAGTGAGTTGCATTGTGAGTTATTTCAGGGTGGTTTGGAATCGAGGTGTCGTCTTCGGTGTGTGTTTTATACTTCGTAGAGAGTCTCAGTCTGGATGAACTTCTCGTAAGGGATCCAGGTGGGTAAGAATGCCGATGAATAGGTGCCTGAAGTCTTGGCTACATTGTGACGCAGCACTTTCATTCCCCAGACGTACATGACAGATCCTTATACAACCCCCAACAGATACTCTAGCCGCATAATCCAACAGCAGCGAACTTTCCACGTCCTCGGCTACTTGAAGTCCAGCGCCCCACTTGGCGCAACAACTCACATTCTCTACAACGTTCCCGCGACAAACATCAGCGCCACATCCCTCTCTCCCTGCCACGAAAAGCGCTTGGCTTACCTCAGAGCAGCGCTTCCGTGCAAACACGAGACCGCACCCCAGTAGGAGAAGGAAGAGCGCCAGAACACCGCCGAGCAGGTCGAGCCAGAAAACCCCCTGGACCGCCGTGCCGAGTTCGCCTTGGAGGTCCGAACTACGTGCGTTGGCTCGAACACCGCACGCGCGAGCCCATCGCTTGTGATTGCTTATGGCTGGGATCTAGACCGCATGTGATAGATAACTCCAGAAAGAGAGAGAGAAAGTAGGAAACGGCACGGACGTACCGACGCCCGGTAGATGAACTCATACAACGGGACATCCCGCTTATGCCCAAACGCACGCAGCGTCCTCCACCCGTCCTCGTCCTCCGTGCCATTCCGCCACCTGAAGCGCACGAAGTCGAGGCTCTCAGGCGGCGGACCCCGACGGAGCTCGATCACGAGACTCGCTCCGAAATTGGCTGCGACGTTTTGTCTTTTGTTCAGCCGCAAGGATGCAGCAACACCAGAAGAGCACGCACGCACGGCCGCGAGTTCTGGGTACACCGCGGTCATATCCATCTGATGGAAGAGCGATATCAAGGGTTGGTACGTCGTCTCGATCGCCACGAACTTCAGCGGGTCGCGCGCTGCGGCCATGCGCTGCAGCGCGTCGGTAATGGTGGGCATCATCGTCCGGCCCGCGACTGCCGATGGCCTAGTCAGTGAATCAGTGAGCCTATAGCAACGACTGACTGTTTCCTATGCCGTCAGCGCGGGTGTCAGAGAACACAGCGTTCTCGTGCCAGTCGGCCAGCGCACGCGCTTGCGCCATGTACGTCGGAGGAAGCCGGTAGGCGAACGTCTGGTTGAACTTCAGCTGATCTTGCATGAACTCGTGTATCTGGAGGGTTTCGAGTTATCCTGGTGCAAAAAACTGATATCCTCTACAGTAGGATGTCTTACGCTGACCTGATTTGCTGTCAGATAGGGTGGAAGAAGAGGGATACTGACATAAGGGGGCGCACGATATTCTCCAGCGAGGATCCCCGCCCAAACAGATACTGCCGCACATCGTCAAGAAAGGGCCGCGCCTCGCGTGCTTTGCGCTTGAACTTCTTGGACGTTCGAAATCTCTCTACGTGTCTTTGAAACGCCTTGGAACGACTGATCAAGAGCACTGATGGGAGGGCGACAGCCAGAACACGTACCGGACACTCCCTCCACAGCTCCAGACTCCCATCGTTCCCTGGCTCAATCGTTTCGACTGAAGTCAGAAACAGATTCATTGAAACCGACCACATCCAGAACTGAAGAACTGGGATTCACGCACCAGACACATACTGATACCCACCCAACGGGCTCCTCACGACCGTCCCATTTGCCAAATCCACCCGATTCAGCTTGCTCGGCGGGAACAGTCCCTGCAGCAAGGCCATCGCGCTCTCGAATCCACTACCCCCCTGGGTCGCAAGGACCTGGAGCTCGTGCCGCGCCGCGAGCGGGTGCGACTCAAGTCCCCTGATGGTGGTGCGCGAGGACGGCGAGAAGTACCGCGCGCGGAGGTCTGCGCCGAGGTGGTGCGCGTCTGACTGCCAATGTTCGACTGAGCCATCTCGTGGTGGGGGAGGAGGAGGAAGCGGAGGACGCACAGTGCCTACCACGCTGTGGCGACGGGCAGAGGGTTCTTCCACGTCCGGGTGTGTGTGGTGGTCGCCAGCGCGCGCGATGACGAGGACTCCGAGTACGTTCGTCGACATCCCTGGATCCAGGTCGTACCGATCTGGCGGGTACGTGGGTGCGTGAGTTATGAAGTCCGTTTGCGGACCACACGATGGGTGAAGAGCCGTCCACGCGGTGGCCACGATGCGAGTGATGCTGGGTTTGCGCGGGCGCAGCATGAGCTAGATGGATCGATCTCAGATCCATTGCATGGCGTCGACAACGTAATTCGGTGCTGCAGTGGAGCAGTGGTCGCGTCGGCAAGCTTACTTATCCCCGCCATGTTCCCATCACACCGTGAACTCTGGCCAAGCAGACAACACAACAATCGCATCCTTGATTCCGTACTTACTTGTAGTGCTCTCATGAGCATGCGACGATCACTCACATCGAGCAGCAAGGAAGAAAGTTGACATTCTCTACAAATATGTCAGGAACAGTATTCCAGAGCAGGTTCAATCAAATGATGACGTAAACACTTCATCCCAGCCCACACCCTCGGAAACTCGACTACAGCGGCGGGAGGACCCACTGTCCCTTCAACACGCCCATGATCAGACTGACCTCAGCCGGCTGCTCGAACATCCCCGCCCGCGCCAGCGGATTCATCCACCACGGTACAGACAACGTGAACCACGCCGTGACCCATAAATACCCGAGATACCGCACAGCCCGGCTCCGCGGGTCGAGCCCAGCTCTACGGCCGAGGTACTTGACGAAGTCCTCCACAGTGATAGCAACGGCCTGCGCGAGGAAGAAGTGAAGCGCGCCGCCGTGCCAGGAATCCAGCGCGTACACTTCGGCAGCGTAGTGCAGCAGGCCGGAGATCAGGAAGGCCGTGTACAGCTGCGTGTAAGAGGACGCATTGGTGCCCGGTTGGAGCCCCAAAACGCGCTTGGAGAGGAATTTGCCGTGGGAGGAGACTTGCTTTGGGGACATCAGCCTGCAACCCATTCCCTAGTCCACACGCAGTACTCACCCGACGCAGGAGCTGATGCCACGCTCGTCTGCAAGGCCGGCAGTCAAAAAAAAGTGCACGACTCGATCAACCGCACCCCACTCACCCCCAGAACCTTCGCACCGAATACGCCTCCCCAGGCCCCCCAAACAGCGGCGGCCACTCCTCGGGCCTCGACAGCCCCACGCCCACCGCAAACACACTGATCGCCATCCACGCCATCGCCAGGCCCGTCCACCCCGACGCGCCGAACGTCAGCGCCATCCCCGCGCGTACGCCCCACCCGCGCGACTCCCACGGCCCACCCGCCGCGCGGAACAGCGCGTTCGCACGCGTGTACAGGTTCGCCGCGTCGTGGATGAGCAGCAGCGCGAGGCTGCGTGGGAGCTGGGTGCCGAGGAGGAAGCGCAGGCGGGAGGTGCCGAGTGCGGGCGCGGGCGCGAGGACCGATGTGGGTTCGTGCGACCACCCGACGCCCCGGGGGCTGAGCCACAGGCTGAGCGCCCACCGGAGGCGCTCGAAAACGCCCTGAGTCTCGATCGGTGGGGGCGGGGGCGAGTCCTGCTTCCTCTGTTCCAGCTTGACGAGTTCGCGCTGCGGCTCAGCGACGAGGATGTAGTCCGAGGCCTGCCAGAAGTACCCCCACCACGCGCATCCGATCGTGTAGTCGCCCAGGAACGTGCCTGTGGTCGTGCGCGCGACGTATACTGTGAGCGCGGATATGGGGAGGAAGAGGAGGCGGCGGAAGGGCGATGGCCGGAGGGTCAGCGCGAGGAGGACCGTGCCGTGAAATGCGGGCCAAAGAAGCGCAGGCTGGAACGGTGGACGGGACATGCGGATGTCGTAGCGGCGAATAGAGACCCTGGCGAAAAGTTATCGTTCGACATGGGGATGAAATCAGCGGCTGTGTCGCATCAGTGGCTGTGCAAATGCTCTGTCGATGTGACGCATGCACTTGATATGTGCGCTCTAAAACTTGCTTTCGTCGTTTGCAGAAGACTTGGCAGTCGCAGAACCAGGGCCCAGAACTCTGCATCTCCATGAATGCCGGGATATAGAGAGTGGCAAGGGCACGGATTGAGCGGAGGGAAGAAGCAAAGGCTCAAGCGCTCAAGCACCTTGCGATTGAGAGCCACGTGATTGATGACTGCCCGTGGGCATCACCGGCGACTACGCAGCCTGATCAAGATCGATCACGTGTCTCCCGGTAGCCTTGCGCAGGCCCACCCCATACCTCCGTCTGAATCATAACCATGGACACCAGGATGCTCAGAAAACGAATTAGTGCTCTGGACAGGTCGATTTCCATCCTTCAAGACCAGCTGCGCGTGCTCGAAGCAGAGAAAGCGGACCTCGCGACCCAGCTCCGTCGATCCACGTACCCGGTCGAAACCCTGCCTCCCGAGATCACAGCCCAGATCTTCGTGCACTACATCGCTGCACTGGACGAACCCACCCTATACCCCGCCTTGCTCGGGGTGTGCCGCACATGGCGACAGGTCGCATTGGGCATCCTGGATTTGTGGAATCACATCGCCGTGCCCCGGCATCACCCGCAGCCGGACGCGCTGCTGCAGCGCTGGGTGGAGCGCACGGGGCCCCAAAAACCCCTCGATCTCTCCCTCTACCTCGACACGACGCTGCGGACGATGAAGCCCATGCTGGCGTTGCTGGATGCGCACGCGTCGCGCTGGCGGCGCGTGTCGTTGCGGATAATCATGCGGTCGACGTTCAGCCTGGCACTGGGCAGCGGATCCGGATCATGGGAGGGTCTGGAGGAGCTGGACATTCTCGTTCACTCACAGGGCGCGGTGGGGCTCAGCTCTGTGACGGGGCTGTTCCTCGCGCCGCGGCTGCGCCGAGTGCGCGTGGACGTGTTCCCCGCGGCGGAGATCGTGCTGCCGTGGAATCAGATCACGTCCCTAAAGCTCAGCCTGCAGTCCCTCGCGCAGTGCCTCATGATCATCTCGCAGACGCGCCAGCTGGAGGCACTGGACGTGTCGCTGACAGACCGGGACACCCGCCACCGCCCGATCTCGCTGGTGCTGCCTGCGCTGCGGCGGCTCACGATCGAGCGAGATGTAGTGCCGTCGATCCTCGGGTACATGATCCTGCCACAGCTCACGGACCTTGACGTCGGAGGCCATGTCGATGGGGTAATCCCGCTTGTGACGCGTTCAGGGTGTACCATCACCCACCTCCGCCTGTCTGGCATGGAAATGGACGACGACCCCATTTACGCGTGCCTCGGAGCTTTGCCGGGGGTAACGCACCTCGTGGTGGCGTGGCCGTACATGGAACTCTTCTCGGAGTTCTTGCGGATCCTCGCTGCCGCTTCCTACGACACGGAAAAACCTCCAGTGATACCGCTCCCCATGCTGCAGTCCTTGGTATTGGAGAATTGTGAACCTACCCTAGACCTTCAAAGCGTCCTGCTCTTACTCGACATGCGCTGCAGACAGCGGGAGGGCTATGCGTTCCCCACGGCCCTGCTGCGAACCTTTCGTGCGACCTTCTGGGCAGAAGAATACGACGGATACAATCGCGAAGACGAGGATAAGTATATCAAGGACTCGATACTCGCCTTCAAAAAGCTGATGCGCGAGGGGCTCTCGCTCCAACTCGATATGCCTCGGTACTGGCGATCTCACGAGTTGAACTGGCATAAGGTGAGTGTCGGCCTATTCTCGCTACGAGTCTCATGTTTGCAGATTAAGGAACTGACGCAGCTGGACTAATACATTACTCAACACCCCCTACGGGTAATAGTAGCTTTTGTTTTGGGGTTCGAAAAAATGGCTTGAACAGACATGTCAACCGTGACATGGCTCGAACGAATGGGTAGTCAAATCTATCGGCGTGAAATTAGGGACATTGCAGCCAATAATACGGTACGGTTCAGAGGTTCGTTGAAAGAAGAAACAAGCAACAGTGCCAACAGCGATGGTCCCAGAAGAAGAGCGTCTGAGTACGGCATGATCAGGACCACGCCGGCGGGGATACTGTATCGAAACACAACCTCCGGCATCCACACTCATCCCTGGCGATCCACCCGCTTCCCCTCGGAGTACAACAACACAAGCAGGAAAAAAAGCCGGTCGTCTTCGTTCCTAACGAGCGGGCTCAGGCGCAGGACAGGTAACGTCGTCTGCCCGAAGATGGGGGACACGCATGACTTCAGTTCCGCGAGGATCTCGTTCTGCCCATTGACGATCTTTTTCACCGGTGCACGTGAGCGCAGTGGGCCAGATGAATGAATCGACGCGGGAGACAAGCACGCACCGACCACGTATCAGCCGAATTCGAGTACCGCACGGTGTACTCCTCGCCCTCCAGCCAGCGCCAATACCGCAACCTGCGCCCACCCTCACGTCAGCGGCGTATTCACACGCTCGGGATGAGGAACAGCAGCAGCACGCACGCAGATAAGGCACTCGCGCGCCGCTTCATGCCGTCGACTGGCGCCGTGTTCGTCCCGACCTTGAACGTGCGCTGCTTCCAGTCGATCACCGCGCAGATCGTACCGACGCGGTTCTCGATGCACGTCTCGAGGCGCGCGGACCCGCCGTGGTACGTCTCGACCCCGTATCGCCGCGAGTTGTCGTCGGTGTTGCGGATCACAGACTTGAGCACGTTGTCGGTGTCAAATGGGAGCACGAGCATCGGGGCGGAGGGCATTGCGAGGGAGCGCGAAGGAGAAGGAGAAGAAGAAGAAGAACGAGAAGCCGTGGGGAAACGGAGAAAAGGGACACGGCGAAACGGAGAAGAACCGAGTGGCGTGGGGGTAATGTTTTGCCGACATCAACGGTTGCCGGATTATTTGAATAGGTGTCTGATTCCGTGGAAGCATTATTCAATTCACAGGCTTCGCCTAGACTGCACCGCTTGCGTGCTGGCCGGAAGCAAGTGGGATGATTTTTTTCTTTGCAAGGAGCGAGGAGTGACGGACGAGCACAGAGAGTGCCATCAACATCCGAAAGTACCATGGTGCTAGTCAGCTGATATCTATCCGGTACATGACCCAGTTGCGCATACATCCAAGGTCGTGTTTTCTATGGACGCATATGTAAGGTACGGGAAAGTACCGAAATTAAAACACGATTCACTAGATGTGAGCAATACAATTACCGCAACCCTCTGATAACGGGAGGGACACACAGCCAAGCCAAAAACGAAAGTATATGTACGTAAAGAGCGTCGGAAATTCATACACCAGGAAGAGGAAAGAACCACAACAATCCGCCTACCGTTCGTCGTCGGAGCTGGCGACAGTCGCCTCCGTCTCAGTGCGCTGATTCACGCGCTGCGAAACGAGCAAAGAGTGTCAGTACAGGTAAGAAGAACAGAAGCTAGGATGCACGCACCCCACCGATCGGGCGCGAGTAGTCCTCATGATCGTCAAGCGTCCGCGTCGAATGGGACTGCAGCATCGCCAGCCCGGGACGCAACAGCGTCGCCGGCGTGCCAGTCCGGTCGGGAATCTCCGCAGAAAGCGCCGGATCCGGATCAGCACCCCCACCACCCATCACAAGCCCGGGTGGCAAGCTCGGCGAGGACGGCGGCATCGCCAGGGGCGACGACGTCGTTGAGACCAGAATCGATGGCGGCCGACGCGGGGCCGGGTTCAGCAGCGAGCTCGGGCGGGGCGACGGCGGAGGCGCGGGTACAGCCGTGTATGCATCGGCGGAGATGGGCGGTGGGGTCGGCAGCGCATCCGAGAGTGGAGAGCCGGGAGCACCCCCAGGCGTAGTATTGTACGAGTCCCCGGGCGTATTGAACGAGTCCCCCGGCGTCTGCCCGCCCCTCAGCCGCTCGAGCAGCTGGAGCCCGGACGAGCCCGCCTCGGTCGGCCGCGCACGCGGCCGGGCAAGCGTGTAGTGCGGGCTGGGCGTGCGCGCGTCCGCCGCGCGGTCGACGCGGTTCCCAATCATGCGCAGCTCGCTCCCGACGCGGCTGTCGTCGTTGCGCAGGCGGCGCCGGCCGCGGAAGACGAACCACAGGAGCACGACGGCGAGCACGAGCGCGGCGCCGCTGCCGACCGCCACGCCGACGATCGCGCCGGCGTTGTGTGCGAACGCGGCTCCGGTGGACCGCGTCGCTGCGGGGCCGATGGCGCCGGCGGAGGTGGAGAAGGCCGTGGAAACGGGCCCAGTGGATGTCAGGAGGACGGTGGAGATCAACACGGGCGCCGAGGAGGGCGACAGGGACGAGGAGGGCGAGATGGTGAGTGTAGACGTAAATGTGAAAGTCGTGGATGAGGCTACAGATGCGGACGGGCTGTTTGCAGCGGAGGAGCTAGCTCGCAGTCAGATTTTCGTCCTAGACACAAAAGGCATGGTCGACTTACCTAGTGCTCGACCGGACCACAACCGATCGCGACTGACTGACACTGGACGCAGAACTGGACATCACTGAAGAAGCGCGTACAGAGCTCTTCGATTGCGATGCAGAGGAAGACGACAACAAGGAGCTCGGGGAGACTGCCGCCGACGCCGAGGAACTCCCAGAACGTAAGCTACCGCTTCTGGCCGAACCTGACCCAGAGGATGCGGAAGCTGAGGTAGCACGTGCAGAGGACGACTCGGGACGGGCGCTAAGCGACGTGGGCGAGGGCGTAGGCGCGGATAGCGCTGACGAGGACAACGATGATGAGGAAGAGGAGGCCAAAGTGGACGATGTCGATGCGGAAGACGCAGACAGTGTGGATCGATTCTGTCTGAACGGTGTGACCCAAGCGTCCACGCACAACGCAGGGAGCACACACCTGGCGATGAATCTATCCGACTCTCTCAGACCGGTTCCGGAAACGGATTCTCCGCGTTTTTCTCCAGAGCTTGCGTATGGTTGTGTGTCGTCACCGGGGGTCATGCACCTCGTGTCGAGCGTAACAGGTCGTGGGCGGAGGGAGAGGAGGGGGCAGGGAGGGAGGGAGGCGCAGAAAGGACAGGAGGGGACCAGTGTGGGGCGCTCGCACGGGACGCAGCGACGGGGTATACTATTGATGCCCGCGGAGCTGGAAATGCACCACGGAGCTGGAAATTCGCTCGTTGCCACTCCGTCCGCTCATTTATCCCCCGGTATCATCCGGAATAGCTAGCTACCATACTTTTACATACTACAATAAAATATATAGGTTATATGTGAGCGGGAACCCAATCAAATACAGATACCGGTCCATCAAGTCTGGCTGTGCGGAATGATATGAGCTTCTAACGGGCTCTGCGATCGCTCGATCACCATAGAAATCGGTCAGCAAGTGCATAGGTACACCCTGAACACCCTCCAAGCTCAAGTTTTCGTTACCGGAACGGAAATGCTGGAGATTAGAACACATTGTCTCTGGGCGTGACAATCTAAACTCCGCATTGATGGAGCTCACACGTGCCACGCGTTTGTTGACGTGTGATCTTGACACGCTGCACTCATCTGTAGGCTTCGTTGACGTGTTGCATGCCCCCGTCAACACGTAACAAGATAACGCAGAACGACAAACCTTCTGATACTATCAAACCGTTTCATGAGCTCAGTCGCTCCGAGCGCGAAGAACAAATCCAGGTTGCACTACACCGGCTTCAAAACTTCCAGCGTCTAGGGGAGCGTGCCGTAGTTTCCCAAGTTGCTAGAGATATGGGGGTCCCAGGCTCCACTCTTCACGCTCGATGGAAGAACATTCACGGATCAAAAGCCGAAGCCTCTGCAGCTCAACAATACCTCCCTCCTTCCCTTGAGGCCGTTCTTGTTCAGTGGATCAAATATCTCGGATCTGTTGGTGTGCCGCTGTCCAAGAAATCGATTCGAATTCGGGCTGCACATCTCCGAGCCGATAAGAAGAAGCCCAGCCGCAATTGGATCCCACGGTTCCTCAAACGTCACTCGGACATTGTGCTTGCCACGGCATCGGGTCTTGATCCTAGACGTGCTCAGGCCTTCAACCAACCTGTTGTCGATCGCTACTTCGATGTCCTTGCAGGCACACTGGACGAGCATGAAATTCCAGTCGAGAATATCTATAACATGGATGAGAAGGGCTGCCAACGAGGCGGTGGGAAGAAGTCGGCCCGGGTCAAATACTTCTATTCCCGTCGACAGCGTGCAAAATATCGCCACCGAAGCGCAAATCTCGAGCTCATCACCATTCTAGAAGCTGTGTGCGCTGATGGATCAACACTGAAACCTGGTTTTGTTTTTCCTGGGGTCGAGCACTGTCCTGAATGGTTCAACGAGAATCAAAATATACAGTAAGTGTTATGTCCACATATTGTGTACTCGTCATGACAAGAGCCTGCCAGCGTTTCGATGTCACCTAATGGATGGACAGATAATGAGATCTTCATTGAATGGCTGCGGGACTGTTTCATACCACAAGCCAAAGATCATGCAAAAGAATGCGGCACGCAAAACAAGTCAATCCTTCTCATTCTTGATGGCCACGGCTCCCACGAGACATATGAAGCCATCGACATTGCAATTGAGCACAATGTCATTATATTATGCTTGCCACCGCATACAACTCACAAACTGCAGCCACTTGATGTTGGCGTTTTTGGCCCGTTCTCACGAGCATGGATTGAACACTGTGACACCATCCTAGACCTCACACAGCAGGAGATGCGCAAAGAAGACTTCATCAAAGAATATATGCATGTGCGTGCCGAAACATTCAAGAAGACGACAATTATCTCTTCCTTCAAAAAGAGCGGCATGTATCCTGTCAATCGTGATGCATTTACTGCAGAAGACTATGCCACCAGCATCCCATTCTCCACTGCTGCGCCTGATATTCCAGACTTACCAGATTTCCCTGAATATAGACGGCTGTGCTCACAATCGTCAGATCTGCAGCTCTCTACATCTCGTCCCGACCTTGCCTTGGAGCCAGAACTAGATCTCAGACCAGCAGTGCAACCACCTTGTGACGAGTCGGATGGCAGCAGCGAATCGGACACAGATCCTAATGACAATGATGTTAGTTGCGAGCAGCCTTACACACCCCGTCCAAATCCTCTGGCTCGGCGCAGTGGTGTGCCACCATTGCCACAACCCTATGTCTCGCATACCTCGAATTCGACCGCTGTCCATCCATCTGGATTCTATCATGACCCGGTGCTGTTTGGCCGGATACAACGCCTCGAGGGTGAGGTTCAAGCTCTTCATGGCCACATGGTGCTGCTCGAGGATGAATTGCGCGATACAAAGAGGAAGCTTTTGGCACGCACCAATGAACCAAGCAAGAAACGAAAGCTCAATGTGGAAGCACGGTGCTTAACATCGGCAGAGGGAAAGCGGTTGGCCAAGGAGGCAGATGACGAGAGGCAAGCTAAGGAGCGGGCACTGGAAGAAAAAGAAAGGCGGCAGAAAGAGAAAGAGCTTGAAATGGTGAAGCGGCGGCAAGAACGCGCTCCAGATGCGCCGTTTTTTGGATCACTTGCGGGAAAGAACAAAGAAGAGTTAATGGATCTTGCATTCGACCTCCGCCTCAACGAAAAAGGAACAAAAGCGGCCCTGGTTTCACGCATCGAGCAGCACTTCAACGAGAATCCATCCAAGAAGAGTTTAGAGAAGTATGGAGGGTTGTTTGGTGCAAAGCGTGCACGGCAACGTGGCACAGTTTTGGGGACAAATATTCCGCTCGCCGCTGCTCTGCCTTCAGCCCCTACACCGGCTCTTCCTCCCTTGAATGGCTCCCAGATTCCAACGATCGCTTCGTTCACACCTCCATTCCAATTCGATCACTCTTATCCTCATCCCCCGACACAGTTACAGCCCAGTCACGCACACTTTTACTCTGCATCTCATCCCCAAATGATATACGGACAGCCGGATCCCTTACATACATACTCATCATCCGTTAATCCCTAATCGTTGCATATACTCAGCTTTTGGTCGCAACTGATGTCATTCTTTCAATACATTCATCTGGTACATGCGTGAATGGTCAACGACAGCAGGATCCCTAGTACCGGATGGTTCAATACTTCTCGCGTTCATGCACATATTCACCAAGTCAGATGCTGCCATGGCAGCGAGTCTCCATCGTCTGTTCTCGGACAGTGTATCCTCAAGACGTCTTCTAAGGGAGTCCCGCTCGGCCAGAGCTGTCTGTAATCGCTCCTCGAGTAGCACAATCCGGTTCGAACGTGGGATGTAGCCTGAGAACTCGATGTTGCCTGAGAACGCGTAAGCACAAGGATAAATCAGCAGCAAAGTGAAGAGTGCGTACGCCCAGCACCTTCCGGTAAGGTTTCACTGTCATCCCACTCCACCTGAGAGATTCCAACCTCGGAAGAGTTCGGGCTACTAGTCAGCGCCCTGTCGATGGGACCCAGCAGCCCATGATTGAATCGCGACGTTGGTGAACCGCGATTTTTGTGAGGACTAGCATTTCGCGTGTGGGTACCAGTACCGAGTCCGTGGTCAATATATGCCGCGTCATCGAAACAAGAATCGAAGTAGAAATCCGAAGGATCCCCAGGTCTGTCCGTATGGTCAATCCTATATCTGTAGGCAGGATAGCAGATGCTCACTTTTGACACAATTTCGACGACAATTTCAAGCAAGTACAGCTCAAGCGGGGGGGCGGAGACTCCGCTCTTGTGTCAGAAACACCATGATTCGTTGTTCTCGCGCGCTTTTTTGGTGTTTGAGCCGGATCGGAGTGTGAGCTTGAGTCGTCGATGTCGCTCATAATGAGGAAAAGCACGCATCAGCGGAGCTCTAATTCCCCGTGTGACGAAATGTGACAAGACGCGTTAGTCCCATCCATTCTTCATAATCTCCAGCATTTCCGTTCCGGTAACGAAAACTTGAGCTTGGAGGGTGTTCAGGGTGTACCTATGCACTTGCTGACCGATTTCTATGGTGATCGAGCGATCGCAGAGCCCGTTAGAAGCTCATATCATTCCGCACAGCCAGACTTGATGGACCGGTATCTGTATTTGATTGGGTTCCCGCTCACATATAACCTATATATTTTATTGTAGTATGTAAAAGTATGGTAGCTAGCTATTCCGGATGATACCGGGGGATAAATGAGCGGACGGAGTGGCAACGAGCGAATTTCCAGCTCCGTGGTGCATTTCCAGCTCCGCGGGCATCAATAGTATGACCAGGCAACACACATCAGAACCGTAACGCGAAGACCAGAGATGATGACGATCGTTTTCGCAGCCGGGCTTGACGTGCGTGTGTGTGAGAAAGTGAAAGGCGCGCCCGCCGTGCTTGTCACTCAGCTCCACCCACTGATCCGATCGCTGATCTCGGCTCACGAGTAAACGGCTTTGCACACTGCTTCATGCCACTGTGCGTACGTTGAAATTACTGTACGCGTCTCATCTTGGCTCTCAGTCGACCACTTTTTCCATGCGGCGGATCTCTAATGCGCTGATCTTCTGTCCGCCACTTCTGTACAGCTTGGAAGCAACGCGTGAGAGTGAGGGTCAGAAGGACATTTGAACTTATGCCTCACGTGCAATCGGCCTTGAGCGGTGAGTATCGGTGAACTCGCTGAGAGACCTTAGCCCAAATACCAGCTTTCTGTAGCATGGTCTTGGGAAGGTCAAGACCTTTCGTCCAGCCGCCAGCGAGTGAGCAAGGAAGTGCAAATTCTAAATCACATGTAAGAGAAATCACGTTCCTCGTTTGCGTTCATTTTTGGTCGTTCAGAATCTCCCTCCAGATATTTTAGGCGCGTCAAGAAGCTTGAGGAGAGCTATCTCGGCTCCCCCCCCCCCCTCTCTGCACTGACTCATGAAACAGATAATGAGGCGAGAGCCCCATGAAATGTTTATGTAGGATGTCAATAAACATCCGAGGCTCGGATACAACAAATCTTGATGCTCCTGAGTTGCAGAAAAATCTCCGCATGGACCGCGTTGAAATGTTTCCATAAGACACGTATATGTAGTATGGAATTACTGACGTCGTTGATGGGGTCTCTCGGTCTTCTCTTAGCAAAAGATGAATATTCCTCTGGTTGAGGGGAACCTCATCTCGGCCCGATCAAGCGACCATCTAATCTGTTCCTCGTCGATTTCAAATGGATGATGAAAGCAGACGACCAATTGATGGCGGCAGAACCGTGACCCGCGCCCAAGCCGGCTTTCTGCACACAACCGGCGTTCTACCCTAGCTTTCCCCTCTCCTCCCCCCCCTCTTCACCTCACCCCCTCGAAACTTTTTCTTACCCAGAGATGCAGATGAACGAGTATCACTTTGACAGCGACAACGTGCTCAAGTCCGTGATACGGAACCCGGACGACCACTCGCGGCGCTACGGAATCAAGACGTACCACGACCTCGAGACGTGCATCGAAAACCGCGTCGGCACGATCTGCGCGGTGATCGACTGGCAGACCAAGTCGTTCAAGATCGGAGGCAAATTGGCGTTCGTGAGCATGATGAAACGCAAGGGTGGGGCGTTTTCCAGGTGCGTTTCTGGTCTGTGTTTCAGACGGCTATCGGCGTGGGTGACTGAGGGAGGCCTGGACGCGTAGCGTAAGACACTGGCGGTGGCTAGACAGTCCCGAGGAGTACGCGGTGCGGTACACCAACTCCACGGAAACCTGGTCGGTGCGTGTTCTCCTCCCCCAGTGCTCATTTCAACTCAGTTCATTTTCACGTCTCTTTGTAGGTTTTGAACAGCGACAATACCACTCTGGCAGAGCTCCGATCCTGCATCGTATCGTTCTCAACGACCAAGTTCCCCGTGCTCCGCCTCAGCCCCCTCGTGCGGACCGAAGACGAGCGCCTGTTCCTCCTCCTCATTATGCTCTACTCCGAAGCGAGACGTCTCGACAGAGAGGCTTGAGTAGCTACGCCTCTGCCTGGGAAGACACCTCATTCCATTCCCTTCGTAATATCTATTATGTTCTCTCTAGTAAGTCCATCCAAGCTTGGTCCTTTGCCAGGTTTCTCATGCTTCACTATTCGCAGATTGCGATAGCTCGCCTTGGGATACATATATTCATTCTAGATCACACTCCCCTTATATGTTCCCTTCTTTCGCTACATGGTTGCCTTCCAGTTCGAACTGTGTCGTGTCAGGATCGAGTGAGCGTCCAGTGTGTACGCGAGAGAGCGCCGCCCACCAATCTTCTCCTTCCACCAGAACACCGAGAGTCAGCTTCAATCTTTGACTGGTTAACCAGACTCATAAACTTGGCTGGACCAGAGAATTTGACTGCGTAAGAAACGAGATAATCGCGGCGGCCGGCCGGCTTTCGGTCGGCAATTGATGGCGGTTAAACCATGCCACGCCGCCCAGGCACTCTTTGTACACTCCGCCAACAGCGCCTAGCGGTGCCTGCTTACCCCTACTACGTCCTTCTCTCTCCCTCCTAAGTAGCTGCGGCACGCCCCCAATGCCGTCCAGCCCCGCTCCCTCAATGCTCGAGCTCAACTTCGACACGGAGGACGTGCTTAAATCTGTCGTGCGCAACGTCGGCGACAGCTCGCGGCGGTACGGGATCGAGACGTACCACGACATGGAGACGTGCGTCGAGAACCGCGTCGGGACGATATGCGCCGTGATCGACTGGACGCGCAAGTCGTTCAAGATTGGCGGCAAGATCGCAGAGGTCAGCAGGCTCAAGCGCAAGGCGGGAAGTTTCTCCAGGTCCGTCTGCGCGAAGTTCTGGTCCCCCCAGCTAGCCCACTGACGACATATCCCCCGCAGCACTCGTCTCTGGCGCTGGTCCGAAGGCGAAGAGTACACCGTGCGGTACTCTAATTCGACCGAGACGTGGTCGGTGCGTGTTCCAGTCCACTCTCCACCCCTTCCTTCCTCCTTCCGTCCGCTCGGTCCAGGACTCACACACCAACTCCCGCAGATCACAACTGCGCAAAACGAGACCGTCGCCGAGCTGAGATCGTGCATCACGCCACTCTCGGGCCCCGTCGCGCTCCCGGTGCTCCGCATCAGCTCGCTTGTGCGCAGCGAAGACGAGCGGCTGTTTTTCCTGCTGCTGCTGCTATACTCTGAGACGAGGCGGCTGGATCGGGAGGCTTGAAACGCTGGAGCGTTGACTGAGGACTAATAGAGGCGCATATATCCCGCCGCGATTCATGGATTCAGCTCCAAGTCCGGTTACGGCGCAGTGCACACGTACTTCACGCGCACTATCCCAGGACGCGCGCATTGTGGTTTAGGGGTAGCTGGATATATAATGTATCTGATCAGGTGCTTCTTTTGATGCCGGGAATCAATCGAGATTTCAAATTGAACAACCTTCCATCCGGTTCGGTACGGACGACAAACTCCTTTTTTTGATTCTGCGTAAAAGGACTGGAGAGACATCAAACTTGAGAGATATCAAGCAGACAGAGAAGTTCCTTCAGCCCCATGTCCTCTAACAAGTATCGAAAATTCGAACCAATGATTAGGAGGTCCTATCTGCGAAATATGACGGTACCATCTGTCCATAAAGCTTGAAGCCGGCCGAGAATCAGTTGCAGCGGAGTCTCCCAACTTGTCCAGTTCCGAGTTCGAGCAATTCCGTGAATCAGAATGACCGGGCGATCCAACCTCCACGTGCAACTGTGCAGCAACTGATGCCATACGGGATTCTCATTTCTAGTGTTCAACCGGGTCACGCACGTACAAATACATTCGATCATTGTAGCACAAATCACCTCACGCCCCCAAGGTCGTGCTTTTCGTCGCATTTTCCCCCATACCACTCTCCTTGAGCCCGCCGCCGGTCCCATTCATCGCCACGCCCGTCGCATTCCGCGCCATCTCCAGCAGCCTGCTCCACTCGAGCAGCACCGCGGCGAAGTAGCAGTCGTTCTGCGCGTCGGTCATAACCCGTTCAGCGAAGACCTGGCCGTTCGCCTGGATCGCCCTCGCCTCGGCGTCGTGCGTCTGGGCCCACGCGATCTTGTCCACGAGGTCGGAGAGGTCGGGCCGCACCGGGATGTAGTGCTCGTAGGGCCGCAGCCAGCCGGAGAAGAACTCCTCGAACGCGGTGGACTGGGCGCGCACATCTGGTTCAGAGGGCGTGACAGTGTCTGGGAACGAGCGGACGTACCTTGAAAACTAAGCTCCCGCTCCGCAACAGTCCGAGATACCTCCCGCTGTAGCTGTTCCCATCGACGTCGAGGGCGTACTTGTGCCGGTACACATCCTCACGCGGCGCGCGGGGCCCGTGAATGTCATACTTGGCGACGATTGCGTCTCGGTTGCAGCTGCGGGCTGCGCACTGCGCGTCGACGAACGCAGTGAGCTTTGCGTCGATGAGGCGCGAGTTGTTCTCCGTGCGCGCGATGTCGATCAGCCGGAAACGCGGGAACGACTCGTAGTTGGTGCCGTAGATATGGCCTCCGGTGGAGCTGCCGCGCCAGTCTGTTTGAGAAGAATGAGTTCTCAATTCAGTGCGTGAAGGTAAAGAATACGCACAGATCCTGGACTCCTTGTTGAACCAGGAGATGTTGTTTGGATGACTGTAATTACCGGCCCACCGCGACCGCGTGTAGTAGTAAATTCCAGGGAATAGAATGTCGGAGAAACACGGCGAGATCTTGCCCACACTCAGGACTGGCCATAAATCAGTTGTGAAGTCGGAGCTCGTGCTCGAGCGCAAGACTGCGCGAGCGTCAATCAGCGAACCCAATGTAAACAAAATTTTGAGATGAAACTCACATGCCACGCTATCGACCGGATCGCTCACGAAGCCCGTCGGTGTTTTCAAGACTTGGCACCCGGGCTGCGTGCGGAAAAATTCGGACGTGGGCACCGGTGCGATGCGGAACGGTAGCGGGTCTTTCATACGCATGGCGTTCTGCTGTGCGCCCAGCTCCTGGACGTCGAACACGACCCTCGGCTCGTCACGGCTGTTGAGGAGGAACTCCATATCTGGGAGCACATGCGCGAACTGTGTCGCGGGTGCAGCGGTGAGCCTGAGCCGACGATACGGGTGGCACGAGACCTACCTTGTCTACTATTCCCTTCAGCTCCGCACTAAATCCGGTTCCGCTGTAGTTGGGTATCACCACCTCCCCCCGATCGATCTTGACCGTGACCATCCCGCGTGCATCCTGCCGCGTCTGGGACGCAAAGTGAGACACCCGGTTCACACACCATCCGGACTGGACTCACCAGTTCCCGGCCCCGTTCCACAAGCCGCGCAAACCTCCCCGGATCCGCTGCAGCCAGCTGATAAAACGGCTCAAAGTCCTTGTACACCTGGTCGTACTCGTCCACCAAACACGTCTCCACGGGCGTCTGCGTGAGGTTCCACCACTGATCGTACCCCGTTGGAGTTGCACGTCCCGTTTTAAGTGCGTAGCGCGCCTTGGCCTGGCTGAGCGTCGTCGACTGCCGGGAGAAGAGGATGTCGACTTGCTGGTGCGCCGTCGCGAGCTCTGGTGTCAGCGCCATCGCGATGACAGGCGAGAGTGGTTCGAACGGGGGCAGTAGCACTTCTGTATCCTGCACTGTCGCACTGGTACCATTCCCGGCCCCGGTGCGGTGGTGCGGATGCTTGGCTGGGAGGTACACCGCACCGGAGAACATGCCGAGGAGCGTGAGAGCGCCGACGAAGGGCAGCCAATAGCGACACGGGGTGCGCTGGTGCCGGTCGGTTGGCGCGGAGAGCAGCGCCTTGGGGAAGTGGTGCGGAAGCAGTTGTTCGGTCGATTCGTCGCGATAGGCGCTGGCCATGGTGGGAGTCTAAGGTGACAGCAGGTGGGATGTGCAGGATGGAAAACGGGATCGGGGGTTGGTAAATATGCGGCGGATGGGTGAGACATGGTTGAGGACAGGGTATTGTGTAGTCGAGATACAGACAGGGTCATTCCAGTCTGAGACTGTCGAGACCTGACGGCGGCGGTCAATCATCGCCATCACCCATCGATGATGTGTGATTGATTGATGAGATCATTGTCGTCCGATGGACGCTGCTCACATCCACAACACAGCTTCCCGCAGCGGTGGTCGGCGGTCGATACCAGAGAATACATGCACCGGTCATTTACGGGCAGTTCCCGCTCGGCAAAGTTGGCCGGACGTACGTACACGCGTCACACGTTCTCTCAGTTTTTCCGAGGGAAGCCCACGCCGAGACCTCATTGCAAAGGGACTGACCAGCCACAGAACGGGACCAGCGCCGCAGATGAGTGCAAGATAACAGCCAGAGCTTGTCAACGGCGCTTGCGATTCCACGAACGGGCGTTGCTGTTCGTTGAACAGCCCAATCGCAGGGATCTATGCTGATGATCGTGCTGATCGGTAGCCGCGAAGCGATAGATTAGATATCCTCCTGCATCGATCAATTCCGCTTTGACCTTTTCTGAGTGGGTGGCAAACGGCGTTACGCGCCGAGGGAGAGAGAAAGGAACTGTTCCGTAAATACAATTACCGCTCTCACACAAAAGGCACCAAGAACAAAGCCAGACAGCCGCAAGGAAGGAACGTTCTAGCAACAGCCAATCTGATCGGATCTCGTGCCGAACCAAGGGCGCGCTGTAAAGGTGTGTGACCGTGACGGTCCTATAAAAGGGCTCGCAGCTGGAGGACACGTCCCCATCAACCCCGCACTAAGCAGTCGGCTGCCGAGTGGCTTCCCTCCCGCCTCGTGACGCCTCTCTCCTACACGCGACACACACACGCCCCTGCCACATCACCTTCTTCATTTCTCCCGTCCCGAACTCCCTATAATAGAATACGCGCTTGACGTACGATTACCCACTACTGCTGCTGCTCCTCCGTAGGTGGAAGCTTCTACTACTACTACTTGCTACTGCCATGTCGACACGTGCCTCCGCCCGCCTCGCTGCCTCCGCCGCACCCGCGTTCATCGTCCCGCCGCGGCCGCGTTCTTCCGCCGGCCCCGGGCCGTCGAAGCTGCGATACGCCACCCGCAGCCGCGGCCGCGTGCCGCCGTACGCGGAATCCGATTCGGGCTCCGAAGACGACGAAGACGAAGACGGAGATGCCGGCGAGGACGGCGGCGGCGCCTCTGACGGTGCGGATATGAATCATGAGCATGGCCGCGGCGCCCCGGTGCACGTGCGGCATCTGAACCAGCCCGTGAACCACGCCTTCCAGGTCAGTTAGTCGCTGGCGGGGCCATCCTCTGCCTTGTGTATGTACTCCCTGCTCAACCTGCTCAGCCGAACGATGCAGTGTGGGTGTGCCACCACGAGAAGTGGATTGGGGGCCGCATATTCGCGCACGCCGCCCCCAAGTTAGGCGCGAACGATGTGCGTCGTTTGGCGTTTTGCTTGGCCTAGTGCTGTGCTGATTGTCTGCCTTTCCTCCCCATTCCCGATGCAGAATCATGTGTATTACAGCGTGGTTTACCGTGACGCTTACGGCCACAATCTGCGGCGGTACTTCTCGCCGAACCTGGGAGAGCTGAAGCCCGATTCGGCACCGGTCCGAAAGCTGCTGCGTGCGGCGGGCTGGCTCTGAGACCCCACAGCAGTGCTGCTATTTATTGACATATTCTTACTCCTTGCATCGCACCGCACACATCCACATCCCCACCCACACACTCGCCATCTACATACATTGTCTCTCGCGCATCCAGTTGTCGTTTTGCTTTGTTGCCTGGTTACTGCTGCACATTCTGTTCAGGTCTTCACGCACCATCCATTGTTGTTGTCGTTATCGCGCGAGTTCCATTGCATCTGCTGTAAGCACGGAAGAGCCGGATCTTGAGCACAATCTCCGACCTGCGCCTACTAGCCGCTAGGACATGTTCTTGGGAATGCACCACAGTTCTTGGTATTGGAAGTCCGCGCCTTGCTTTGGTAAGTATTACCCAAGTTTCCTCGGAATTAATGGCGTACATTGCATCTGACGAACTGAAATTAATGGTTCAGCATGTGCTGGTGACAGCTCCTATCATCTCGAACTGGATACCTAGAACCTCGCCTCGTTGAATACCCAGCGACCGACAGTCTCGAGCCAGGAAGTGCGAGCGTTGGCTCAAAAATAGTCCTGCCTTTGATCCGGAGCACGTTTTCCGATCGGTGATCGACATGATCCGGGGAATGACTCGATCCATATTTTTTTGACGATGGTCAAGGTCGATCATTTCTATCTCTCCTCCTCCTCCTCCACCACCTACCAGCGAGACAATGAGTCCCGTCTACGCGCCGCTTGATGTACGCGCGTCTCTATTCCGACGATCTCTCCCGCAGCATCGTTCGACCCAGCTGACGTCCACCAGGCGTCCAAATTGACAGTCACGCTTGCGTCCGCGCTGAAGGAGATTCCGCCGTTGGGCCCATTCGGAGTCGCCAAGACAGACCACATGCTTGTCATGTCGCACGACCCGGTGACGGGGTGGTCAGCGCCAGAGATCAAGCCCTATGCACCGTTGGAACTGGATCCGTCAAGGTGTGTGTCACTCGTGCTATTAGTTCGCAGTGACTGACCTGGGCGCGTCGGACTAGCAACTGTTTGCAGTATTGCACGAACGTGTTCGAGGGGATGAAGGCGTTCCTCGATCCACAAGACCGGCCGACGATGTTCCGCCCCGAGGCAAACATGGCCCGCCTAGTCAGTTCAGCGGCAAGGATGGGTTTACCAGTTCGTATCGCGGCCCCTGCGTCTCCCAGTCATTGAAATGACGCCATTCATCCTAGATATTCGACGCCGACCAGCTGCTCATCCTCATCAAAAAACTAGTAACCGTCGAGTCGCGGTGGATCCCGCGCGGTAACGGCGACAGCTTGTACATCCGCCCGACGATGATCGGCACGAAACCATCAATAGGCGTTAGCGCCTCCGAGCACGCGATGCTCTACGTCATCGTCACGCCCGCGGGGCCGTACTTCTCTACCGGCGGCAAGGGCGGCGTGTCCCTCCTCGCGGTCGACGAGCACGTGCGCTCGTGGCCTGGCGGCACCGGCGCGTTCAAGCTCGGATTGAATTACTCGCCTGGGTTCGTTCCGCAGCGACTGGCGGCGGACAGAGGGTACAACCAGGTTCTGTGGTTGCTCAACGACGGGCAGAGGAAGCTCGTCACAGAGGCTGGTTCAATGAACTTTTTCGCGGTGTTCGACGATGAGGACGGGGGTGCGTGTTTCTCCTCGATTAACCCATCATGTTCAAAACGTTGCCTGACGCAGGGATTACCGTCGTCACTCCACCGCTCAACGGCACCATCCTGCCCGGAATCACGCGTGACTCCGCGCTAGCCCTCCTCCGCGCCCACGCCGCCTCACCCTCCGCCGGTCTCCTCGCACTCCCCGCCTCCCTCCCGCGGCTCGCAATTGAGGAGCGCGACCTGACGACAGACGAGCTCATCGCTGCCGCGCGTGCGGGCAGACTTCGTGAGACGTTTGGTGTAGGGACCGCCGTGCTGGTGGTCGCCGTCGAGCGGATCGGCATCTCTGAAGGCGAGCGGGACATTGGGAAGGTGACAGATATCGCGATGAGCCACGGGAAGGGACTGGGGCCCGTCGGCGATGCGTTGTACGAGAAGATCCTTGCGATCAAGGATGGGAGGGAACAGTTTGAAAATTGGACGGTACTTTGCTAGCAGTCGTTACATACAAGATCAAGCTTGGAGCGGCTTCTGACCAGATACCCAATATAATCACTTGATAAGGTGAAAATTGGGTGATTCAAAAGTGACGTTCATATTTGTTAGATGGCGATCCATTCCATGGCTACCTGACTGGTGTAGAGATTTAATATAGAGAGTTCCGTACATTACTTGAGGGTGACAACTTTCGGTTGAACTGCGGAGCCAGCAGCAGGAAATGGAGTGCGTTCCGCGGCAACTTCGAGGACAGTAACCCTGAGATGACATGAAAGGTCTTCGACGGCAATCAGACCAGGTCACAGAGCGGTCCCATGCGAGGGGCCAAAACGTACTTGAAAATGTAACCATTCATATGTAAGAACAACACTTCTTTTACACTGTATCTGAAAAAAGCTACTGTATCATGGAATCAAACGACACAAGAAACACAGTGCGATTGGCTCCGTGGTTCAAGCAGCGAGAGAAGTGATCGATGCCGGGAGTGCGTCGTAGATGGGGCACAGCTGATTCCACTCCGAAGTCGGGATCAGCTGCGAGTTCCAGTCGGGCACATCCTCCGCAAGCACGATCGCGAAACCCGCCTCCAGGTGCCAGTCGATGTGGCAGTGGAGGAACCACGCTGCTTGATCGTCAGTTACCCGATGCGTGATGCGCGGAGACTCAACACGCACGTCCGCGGTTGTCGGTGAAGAACCGGATCGTGACGTTGTGTTGGAGTTAAGGGATCGCGGGAATAAAATAAAGAGAGAAGAGGTTTGCAATAGCAGTGAATGAAATTGCTTTAGGGCAAACCAATGCCCTTCTACATAATTACAGGTTGCTTATATACTGTATGTTAGGCTATCTAGAGTGTTCTGTAACTGTCCATGGGTTTCCAGTCTGTTAGTAATCAATATGTGAGTTGCCCGAAGGCCGAAGCTGCTCGATCTAATCTAATCTTCAACACTCCCCCTGCAGCGAGGGCTTCATAAAATTCCTAGATGTTCCATATGCGCGTGATTGTCCAATGCTTGGCAACGTCCAACGAGGTGCGTCCAAATTAGCTCTAGCTCCGTTCCGTCCTACTGCCGCGGCATCCTAAATCATTGCACTGATGCATGCTGCCCGATTCTTACATAACGCGTGATTATTCAGTCGCTCAGAGCGCGTAGTCATTGTCGGAGTCATTTTCCTCCTCTTCGTTCACACCGAACACAGCATGTGCTTTGTCGGGTTCATTTACATCTTCGATCTCGGAAGATGGGCAGACACGAGCAATGTGTCCTTTGCCTCCACACCTGTGGCAAATGGCTCGTTTCCACGTTGATGATGACGTGGCGAAGTTTGATGCGGGCTGTCGTGATTGACGGGTGACAGATCGACGGTTATGGGTCGCAGCCATGGCAATGGCAAGTTCCTCGGGGGTAAGTCCATCCTTCTCGTAGCGGCGGCGTTCCTCGGTCAAGATGTCGGCAATGACAGTTTTTGACTGCGGACTAATTGTTCCATGTAAATTGGCGCGAATGAACGAGTCCCATTCAGTCGGGAGCGAACTGAGAAGGGTGACTGCAAAGTCTGAGTCAGACACTTCTTGTCCAAGCGAGCGAAGCTCCCCCTGGAGTTGGCGCATCATTTTGATGTGTGGTTCAAGCGGCTGTTGGTCGAGTGCGCGGGTAGAGTAAAATTTGTGGCGCGCAAGAATCAGGCCCATTTGGCCTTTGAGCTCAAATAATGCAGACAGCATCTGCCATGCACCGAGTGCGGTGGTCTCCCCCTGGATATGTTGGACAATATTAGGTGCGACACGAAGTCTGATCGATGACAGCGTGCGACGATCGGCTTTGTCCCATACGGCTTTCTTGGCGGTATCAGTGGGCGGGGTAACTTCGGGATTGATGTGATCATTCAAGTCCATCTCTGTGATGATGTCCCCCATTTGGACCTTCCAAGGACCATAATTTTCAGGGCCGGAAAGTGGAGTGATACGGAACGCGTTGTACGTGACAGTGTCCGCCATTTAATCGGGTGATCGGTGATATAACCGAGATTGGTTTGTGTTGGAGTTAAGGGATCGCGGGAATAAAATAAAGAGAGAAGAGGTTTGCAATAGCAGTGAATGAAATTGCTTTAGGGCAAACCAATGCCCTTCTACATAATTACAGGTTGCTTATATACTGTATGTTAGGCTATCTAGAGTGTTCTGTAACTGTCCATGGGTTTCCAGTCTGTTAGTAATCAATATGTGAGTTGCCCGAAGGCCGAAGCTGCTCGATCTAATCTAATCTTCAACACGTTGTCACCGGCGCTCCCGATGCTGACGACGTCGCGGCGAGCGGGGTTCACATAGTTGTAGGTGGTGCTGCCGGCCGGGCGGATCACATCAAAGACGTGTCCGTGCAAGTGGAACGGGTGCTGCCAGGGTCCATGAGCGATTCAACCAGGAGACCGAGAAGAAGAAGAAAACGCACGGGACCACCCACGGCACCCGCGGCAAGCGTGATCTCGACCGACGCAAAGTGCGGCAGCGTGTACACCGAGCCGCTGGGGAGCAGCGACTGCGCGGCCTGGGCCCCGGACAGAATCTGGAGCAGCACGGGAACGGTCGGAGGAACGAACGTCACGCCGTTGACCATGAATTTCAGCGTGGTCTGTGTGTCGGTCAGCAATCGAGCTCAAACAGCAGAGGATGCTGTTGGCGCACAGTGTTGAACGCCAGAGCCAGGTTGAGTTGCACATCGGCGCCACCGATGAAAGCGCCGCCGGGGGCACCAGGGTTGACGAGCGGGTGGAGGTTGACCTCGTTGACGAGGCCGTTGACCGACGTGTCCTGCGAGGTCGTAGGCTCGGATTCGTTCGCTCCGATGTCTAGAAGAGGGCGGATGAGATGGGTCACGGCGCAAACGAAACACAAGGGCGCACATCGGAGAATCGCAGAGTTGATCCCGCCGGCGAACCCAGCTGGGCCCGTGTTCGGGTTCGCGCGAATCCAGTAGTTGTCGATGGCCTGGTCAGCAGTGAGGATGAACGAGTAGCGTTGGGCTTGAGGCAGTCAGTGAGCGAGCTGTTCGCGCCGGCAAGAGTTTCGGAGACCACTCACCTGCGAAGATCTGAATCGAGTCGACGCTCAACGGCTCGTGGAGGACACCGTCGGCCTCGATGATCGTCAGGTTCTGGTGGCCGTCGATCTGGAACACGTAGTTGGAGTCGCAGGCCATGTTGATCAGACGGAACCGGTAGCGAAGACCTTGGAAGACATTGATGACGGCGAGGGTCGTGTTCGAGACGGTGGCAGCAGTGCGTCCGAGTCCGTTGATGAGCATGGAGGACGGTACACTGAAGGGTCGACGCATCAGCGTCTGATCGGGATGTCCGAGCGGTGCTTCTGGCGTCACTCACCCAGGACCGACGACCGTTTCGGCAAACACGTTGTACCAGTCGGCGAGCGTGATCACCGTGTCCTCGTTGTCAACATCGTATTCGTCGAGGTAGGGGTCCTCGTGGTCGTAAAGGACGATCGGGCCACGCAAGCCATCGCAGTATTGGGTAGCAAGGTGCGAGTGATACCAGTAAGTTCTGAAACAAGCCCGCGGGTAATCAGATGGGTCCCGTTTTCGAAGAGGACAGGTGCGCACCCGGCTTGCTGGGTAGTAAAGTCGTACGTGAACGAGTTGCCGGGCGCAATCGGACACTGGCTGACGAACGCGACCCCGTCCATGTAGCTCGTCCCGTTCTGGAACAGCCCATGCCAGTGCTGCCGGGGACCCCCCGCCATCAGCACTCAGACAAACAGCAGCAGGATGGGCGGCTCACAATCGACGTGGGCTCGAGCATGCGGATGTCTTGCTGTTGGTCGACGACCGTGATCTGGAAGTTGTCGCCGATGTCCCCGGTGATGAGGGGACCAGGGAACGTTCCCCCAGCCAGAACAGCGGCGCGCGGGACACCGTCGGGGGCGATAGTCTGGTTGACCACTTCCAAGTAGTAGCCAACAGGCCCGATAATGTGGCCAGAGGCCATGCGCGCTGCTGCAGTGAGAGAGAGGAGGGTGCGGAAAGAGAACATGGCGAGAGGCATTCTCAACGAAACGAAGACTGCGATCGTGGTTGAGTCTGTCCATTGAATATTTCGAGGGCGGCCTTTATACAGCCTGGAGAATGTGTCCATCAATCTGTATATCTCGCGCGCAGTCGGAAATCAGCCCTTGAGCCTCCACGGAGCTGCATGGAAGGTGATCGTGAGTGAGCGATTTCGCGTCCAGATTGAAGGCGAGGCATAAACAACGGAGACTGTCAAAAGGGGAAATCTCAGCAGCGAAGCGAGGTGCATCTGCTAGATGGATCCCATTCGGTCAACTGTTTCATTACAGAGAAAAAGAATCCCCCTCGGCCTATCGGCGTCCGTGCCCTTTCTCTCAACCGTCTTCCCCGATCTCGTTCGGCTCAAGAACTCGAAAGGGAACCTAGAACCTGAAAAGAGAGGCCCTCTGCTTCCATCTGTAATTGCGTCATGAATGACATCGCCAGTCGGGTGGATTTTGCCTAGCGAGAGAAACAACGATCATGCCCGGGATATTGAGATTGCCTGAGTGCCGTGGGACCGAATGCTTTCTTGACAATCACCCTATGACAACATCTGGTACTTGAGGTCTACAGTTTCACCAGCGTCGTGAAAAGTCTTGTGTAATATATCTTACTTCTATCTATTTCCCTGCTCATTGTCGGGAGTTCGGTGCCACGTCTACTCATGACTTGCGTGATAAACCGTCTCATCGCAGTCTAAGGTCCACTAGAAGGGCAATACCTCGACTCCCGCAGGATGTGAGCTTTGCATCATCACAAATTTGTTGCATTCATCCTTACTCATCATTCTCCCCGAGCTCGGGCAGAGAAGTAGAAGCAGGGACCCAGAACTGCACTTCTCATCAGTTTGCTGATTGTGGAAACGGTGCTTAACCTAACAAGCAAGAGATGTATGTGGGCATGTGGCTGGTTAGAAAAAACGAAGGTAGAATTTATCGCAGTTATCGCAGTTCTTACCTTGCTTGACTGCACCTCCCATTGGTCAGCTGAGTCTCAAGATGGGGCTAATCTCAAAAAGCAAGAGATGCATATGGACATGACGCTTCTTTAAAAAGAACAAAGGTAAAATTTATCACAGTTCTTACATTCTTGACACCCTTTCACAAATTTCTTGAGATCTGTGACCGCATTTGCATGCACGTTTCTCGGGCAGATCTCCTGCTTCCAAGCCACATGAGCCGATCATCTGCCCCCGACTATGCCGTACGGAGCATCATCTGACTGCGATGAAGCGGGTTGGCAAAGCATGGAGCTATCAAGGGATCATCCACATCCACTGTCTCTCACAACCGTTGGGCATTTCCTCTGCACTTCAAGGGGCATAGAATAAGACCTACTTGGAGCTGAAGAAGAACGGAAACCAGATGCGTTTGTCAGCAACTCAGAGATGGGAAGTGTGAAACAAAGATCTTCACCTCGCATCTGATCTACTTCTCTTCTGGTTAGGGCAACCGTGAGTATACCACTGGTCAGAACAGTACATCTCTCATTTCTATCTCATGCTAACGTCAAAAGAACTTCTTTTCTCACGAAAATTCTTTCTCGACTGTTGTGTATACCCGGAACGATCATCGCCAGCCTAGCCGTATCGTATGTTCGCTGACTGTAGGGTTCCGCTGAGCTAATGAAGCTGACTCATACGGTTTCAACCTTTCGAAAGTGAATTCCTGCGCTACACGAGTTGCGCGCATGCGCTGAGAGCTCACAGTGTCTGCATCATTTATTTTCGCCCAATTCCAATGGATTACAGCAGCTGAGTATCTCAGCTAATTATGTAACACCGGCGGGCAGTCGCGGCATTTATCAGGTGACATCAGAATTGACTGTTTCAAAGCTCATCTTCTATCCATGTGGGTCGCCGAGGATCATCTTCATAGCATGAAGGAAGCACTGAACTGAACCAATCTCTATTATTTGCACTGCGCGCGATATCCGCTCGTCCCTTTTTGATGTCCCCCAACTCCGCTTGTGGCCATGGTCGGCCTTGAATCAGATTACAACAAAGCGAAAATTGGCCTCGCTTCTATATTCGCTCGATACATTGTACAGGACGAGATCATCGAGAAGAGCCATGGTGTTCTTTGTTTACGAATCCGATTTGCATAGTGCCCAAGTTGAAGAATGAGCCGAGCGTTTGTCTGCATGATGCTCAAAGCTTCAGGTTCGTGGTCGTTGGTGGAATAAAAAGGGCTTGTGTATCCAAAGTTTCGGGGGAAAAGGTACTGCGCTCGCTCTTGACCGCCGCGAATGACCTGGATTTGCTCACACGCATAACCGGTGAAGGAACCGGATGACTACGGGTGTGTAACGCGCTTACGCTCAATTGGACGTCGGCGAGTGGCGAAGAAATAATCCTGAACTCTGGGAGGAAGGCGCCGAATCCTTGGACGATCTTGTTCCTATTTGGAAGGCTACGCAATAATTCACTCAGTGGGATGAATCTTCTTCTGCCCAGCTGGCAGCCCTGGGAAGCCAGTCACGACTCCCCTGCTTCGCGAGGATTACAAGGGCAGCTAAGTCGTGATGTACAGCTTTTCACTGGTTCTCAGTGGGTTCATCCTTCTAGCGAGGGACAATCAAATCAGACTTTTTTTCTTCGAAGAATCAACTATCCGTCAGCCCTACAGTTCTGATACTATGAGCAATCAGCATTCCTGTCCCGGCAAAGATCCAGAAGACGCCTCGAGTCCTGGATGTGTCTGCTCGACCATCCTTTGACACGTCCAAAGAGCGAACCCTAGAACACATCAGACCCGGCCATACCCCCCGTCCTCCAGAAACAGCTTGGTCCGCTTTACGATCCCTTCCAGCCCATCCAGCCACCTCCTCAGCTCCTGCTCAAACTTCTCGCGATCCCCGCCCTGACATAACGCGGCGTAGAACTGGTCCCGGCGAGGCACAGCACGGATGGCGATCTGTATCACACACATACATCCACATAAGTGCGAGGTGGATTGACTGACTGATGGCTTACAGTCACCACAGAGCGCACGAGGAAAGTGTGATGGTGCTTGAGAACGACATCGTAAGCGCGCCGAAAACACACATGCAAGGCGCAGGACGGTTCGGACTGCGTCGTCTGGAGCGCGAGGCACGTGAATGCCAGACCCCTGGACTCACGTCATCAGTGCGAGGCAACAACGGGTGCTTGCAGCAAACGCACCGGATGAGACGTGTAAGGCAAGCAGCGGCGTGCTTTTGCCCCTCCGCATGCTCGTTGCGTACAAGGTCCTCCAAGCTGGTCGAGTTTGAGGCGTGGGATTCGTATCGCTGGCGCACGCCCTGCATTGTTCGATGGATACTTGCTCAATAACCAGGCGGCGAGGATTCATCACTGACAGCAATGTTGTTTCGAAGATCGATCTGGACGAACGAGAACACGCCGGCACCGAGCAGGTCTAGCGCGCATGCGTCGAGTTGTCAGTGACCGGGTATTCAACGAATTCGCTCACCGAACATGGCCACTAGCCCATCTGACGCTAGCAGAAATCCTTCCGTATCGACCGCATCGGATCCGTTCTTTAGTTCCACGTCTGCAAAAGACTAGCGAAGACGTTCAGCCGCGGTGGTTTTTTCGTGCGTGCATCGGAGTGTACACCTTGACAGTTTCGAAGTGAGGGGCCATGACAGTGCGAGTGATAGACTTCACACTCTGCCACGCGGCTGAGCCTCACTGATTTATGCCTCCTCGTCGTACAGCCGCGCGGCAAACGCGTGCAGTGGCGTGGAGAGTGCAAGGTGGTCACGGTGGATGCGATCGGATTGCGTGACACGTGCATTAGGCGCAAGATGCTTTTGATCCGTGATGAGAGATAAGATCGCTCGAAAAGAGGACCTCTGATTATCCCTGATAAGGCCGGCAAAAAAACCTGGATATTGAGGAGTCAAATTTCCGGCCTGTATGTGAAGCATTTTTCTTTTATCATCTTATGGCCGCAGAGATATGGTTGAGGACAAGCTGGTCGGCCTCTCAGGTGCGTCAAGGCTCTCCAGCGGTGGTGGTCATCTCTTACTAAATCCCAGAACATTCAATATTGAGATAATTATTAGCCCACAGCAGACTATTTGAACCTAATCAGATCACAATAATTTATGCAAGCTCAAGTGAATAAAATGTTGGGGCATATGTTTACTCCAAACGACCAAGAGCCCCTGGCGTGATGCACGTGCAAAATCCGATCACATCCACCGATACTTCCCTGCGCTCTCTCCACACTAGTTCAAGCCTTGACTGCGCGTCTGCAAGAGTTCAAGACATAAACTCGTGTTTGGCCGCGTGGGAGGTCTCTAAGCCACCCATTGTATCGCCATGGATCATCACTTCGAAACTGTCGAGGTGTGCGCTCCGATGCACGCACGTGGCATGTTAGAAAGGATCTAAAGAGGTCGACACATAGGAATTTTTGTCGGCATCGGATGGGCTAGTGGCTGCTTTATGTTCAGGGAGCATATTCAGTCAATCCTACACGACTGACGGAGTGGAGGTATGCGCGGTAGACCTGCTCGGTGCCAGGGTGTTCTCGTTTGTCCAGATCGATCTTTGAAACAACATTGCTGTCATTGATGAATCCTCGCCGCCCGGTTCTTGAGCAAGCATCCGTCAAGCAATGCAGGGCGTGCGCCAGCGATATGAATCTAATGCCTCAAACTCGACCACCTTGGAGGATCTTTTGCGCCACGAGCATGCGGAGGGGAGAAAGCATACCGGTCCATGCCTGACGCGTCTCATTGGCTGCCTGCTCACCGGGTACCATTTGCTCCCTCTACCCAACTGCGATTCCGGGGGTCTCGGGTTTACGTATCTGGCCCGGCAAACGATTCGGTCCGAGTCCACCTGCGCGCTGCATGTGTACTTCCGGGTTGCCTATGACCTCGTGCCGAAGCACTAACATATGTTGCTGGTCCGCTCTGTGGTAAATGTCAGGTATGAATCCTTTTGTGTATCCTTGTGCTCATGTGGTTATTTCGACGATGCGCATTGTCGTTCGCGCCGTTCCTAGCAGAGACCCGTTTTTTTTCGCGTTGTGGCACGGCGGAGATCTCGAAAAGTTTGGAGGGGAGTTGAGTAGGTGGCTGGACGTGCTGGCTGGGGTCGTGAGGCATACCAAACCGTTCTTGGATGATGGGGAATTGGCTCGGTCTGATGCGCGCTGGTATTCCATCTTGGGACAGTGCCCATCCACGATCGAACGGAGACTCACGGGATTCGAGTTCTCAAGCAAGGATCACTTCTCGGCCATCCACAACTCTGGGCGAGAGTGATATTTGAAGAAGAAACATTTGATGTGATCGGCCCCGCGCGCGAGAAGAACTTCAAATAAGTTCATCGTCGCTTCCGAGCCCTTGTAATTTTTGCAATGGAAGCAAGCCGTGACTAGCTCCACGGGGCTGCTACATAGTCGGGTAGAAGAGCCCATCGGTCCACTCAGGCAATTTTCCGTGTGTGGCCAGGCCGTCGGGGGATTTGGCGCCTTCCCATGTGTGCTTTGGATTGATTGTATTTCCGCCGCTTGCCCAAAACATTGAGCCCTGATACTCTTCGTGATTGGAGGATAAGAATAAGTTGTGCTCATTAACTGCAAGCTGCGACTATCCATGCAAAGGGAAGCCCAGCCCATTCATCCTCTTGAAAACTACGTGGGTGAGACTTGAAACCCGACGAACAGCGTTGGACGCACCAACTTGTCGATCATGCTGTGCAGCACAATTGTCTCGGGCAAATTCGGTTCCGAAAAGGACAAGCGCGGCGTTGTCAGTTGAATTCAAGGCATACAATGGCATCAAGGCGGCGTTCGGGGCGTCAAAATCTGTCAAGCGGGAATCGCACACGATCTAAGGGATTCGAAGGAGCTCAGATTGATACCTCTTGAGAACAACGTGGCGAAGAACTCGAAGTTTGTCATTCTGTGTCCGTCACTCTCGTCAATGGCCGTGACTACCCGGTCTTACTACCTGGGATTTCCAGCTGCTCCGACGATCGATTGGCCTTGGGCAAGGATAGCCGGCGAGAAAACCATTATTGTTTCCATGGATGTGCACGATCGTTCTATCGCAGGCAGGAATCTTGCAATCGATAACCTGCAGGCCAATGAGTCAGCTCCATCAGCTCAGCGGAACTTGACTCGCCTCTCACGCAAGAAGGGCGGAGGGCTGACTCCGCAGGCTGACGATGATAGCACACAGTAGTTCAAGAAGTATCTCTCTGGGAAAAGAAGCTTTTTCGCTCATTCTCCGCAACGTCTACATGTGGGTGGAGATGGGAGATGACCGATGTCTTGCTCAAATTGTGCTGGTCACAGAGATGGGACTGCTGGATTGGTAAAAATCTTCGCTTGCCGCTTTCACATCCCGCAGCCTTTCTCGACTCGATCTGGTTTTTCGACTCCGCCCGGCATAAAACGGCCTCCTATGCTACGGTCCTAGAATCCCGAAGGGAATAAAAAGGGTTGTACAATGGCGTGTATACATAGATATTTCCCCGATGGCACCGTTCTCCGATGTTCAAAACTGATTCACGTGGCTTGAACGCAGAAGATGAGCCCCAGTAACGTGTTCGAGAATGAAGTCACAGAAGTCACAGTCGGTGTCGAGCAAGGGAAGAATGACTTTGTCTACCATGCGCATCTCGTCCTAAATTTGGCCAGACTGGCTTCCGCGATCAGCCGTTTTGGGAGAGGTGCAGTTCCATTTCGTGTGCTTCTTTGTGTCAGTTCGAGGAAGGGTTTCCAAACGCAGGAATTTGTTGATGATGAGCCGATCAGACCAGAGAACCGCAACCATCCAGGAGTTAAAGACATTATCCGACCGTCTCACCCGCGGCAAGGCTCAAAGCGCTCAAGATAAGGCCCTGACGGTCTTTGACTCCACTCAAGCAATTGTGAGCCACCGTGGCGTGTAATGGCGGACATGTGAGGAAGCACCATACTCTGAATGAAACCATGAATGGATGGATCTTTACGAGTCGATGCCCTGTACTTGGTCATAGGACTCTTGTTGGGATGAGATTAAGTTTGACAGCGCTTAAGACACGTCCGTGGATCGGAAGTTCGTCTGTCCACCCTCTCGTGGTGCAATATTCGCATGAACAATAGTGTCTGCAGTGGCAGAAGAGCTGGCGAGACTTGAGGACTGTGTGCGAGCGTCAATTGTCCCGTCGCGTTCTAAAACCAATGCAATGAGGGGGCAGAATCATAGGCCGAGCAGAGCGATTTCGATTTTTCTCCCTCGCTAATCTAGTGTGCCGGATGGAATTTCTCGGTCAGATGCACCTCGCTTCGCTGCTGAGATTTCCCCTTTTGACAGTCTCCGTTGTTTATGCCTCGCCTTCAATCTGGACGGGAAATCGCTCGCTCGCGATCACCTTCCATGCAGCCCCGTGGAGGCTCAAGAGCTGATTTCCGACTGCGCGCGAGATATACAGATTGATGGACACATTCTCCAGTCTGTATAAAGGCCGACCTCGAAAGATTCAATGGACAGACTCAACCGCGATCGCAGTCTTCGTTTCGTTGGGAATGCCTCTCGCCATGTTCTCTTTCCGCACCCTCCTCTCTCTCACTGCAGCAGCGCGCATGGCCTCTGGCCACATCATCGGGCCTGTTGGCTACTACTTGGAAGTGGTCAACCAGACTATCGCCCCCGACGGTGTCCCGCGCGCCGCTGTTCTGGCTGGGGGAACGTTCCCTGGTCCCCTCATCACCGGAGACATCGGCGACAACTTCCAGATCACGGTCGTCGACCAACAGCAAGACATCCGCATGCTCGAGCCCACGTCGATTGTGAGCCGCCCATCCTGCTGCTGTTCGCCTGAGTGCTGATGGCGGGGGTCCCCGGCAGCACTGGCATGGGCTGTTCCAGAACGGGACGAGCTACATGGACGGGGTCGCGTTCGTCAGCCAGTGTCCTATTGCGCCCGGCAACTCGTTCACGTACGACTTTACTACGGGCTACCTGAAAGTCCCGCGGAACCTGTAGGTCCTGTCTGGGTCCTGTGTGACATGACCCAGACTCGAACTTGGGTCCCGTTGGGTCCTGTGTCGTTGTGACATGTCACGCTAGGTCCCGTACAACTCCTGTACAGGACCTGTTCCACTTCGAAACACTTCAGGAAGAGACTTCAGTCCGTGGATCATATAATTAGGACATACTTAACCACATTTGTTTGACAAGGACCGAGAGGCATTGTCCTGATATGTAACTACTTACTTAAGTAATAGTTGATCGACGCCGTCGATGGCGTTGGTGATGCCCACATCATCAACACAAGTAATCCCCTTATTCTTCCAGATTTGTTGTGAATGTATTCGATTTGCTTGTGTCCTTTGCACTGACTGTGTTAGTGTTAAGTAACTATGAATAAATACTGCAGTTGTTGGTCCTGTAACTCCTGTTCACAGGTCCTGTAACTACTGTATACAGGTCCTGTACTATACAGGTCCTGAAGTCCTGTATTACATGTAGTAGGTCCTGTGAAGTCCTGTAAACAGGAGTCCCGTCGCGGGCAAAGCCACTGCAAGTAATGAGAGAAGTCGAACAATTCATTTTCTACTACCGCTGCTAAGTACTTATTACAAGGAAATAATCAATTACCAACTCGTCGCAAGCTGCGGCGCAAAGGAAGTGACGGAGGCACGTCTTTCTTCGCGCCGCGGTAATTGGGTCGAGGTTTCGGGCGCTCCACAATCTTTCCGGTGTCCGATTTCAGTTGTTTCTCTGCCGCTGAGAGCTCATCATCTGATCGCCGTTTCAAGTTCAGAAGAATGTGGTGATCGGAGATGGCATCCTCCCGCAATGCGCATTGAGTCCGAACGACTGTTGGTGGCCTGAGCTCGGAGATGTAAGCGGTATGTTTCTTCTCGAACGCGTGCTGCGCCGCGAAGGGATCGAGACCTGTGCAGCGCCTAAAGTCCCCCGTAACTCTGCGCATCACCCGATAGATTGGACCCAGTTCCCTCTCCAAGTCCTGCTCGCAGGAATGAATGCTGCCGTCATAAACTTGACAGACGGTGTCGCCATTTAGATCTAACGGCTTTCCGAGTTCATCTTGGACCAGTAGTCCCAACAGGAGAGCAATACCTACCTCGGAAAGACGTCTGCTCAGCTCTAAGGCATACCCGACCTCAGGAGAGGAGCTTCTAGGCGCGGGTTGGCGGCCTGACTTCTCGTCATCCAGCGCTACCAATCGCTTGAATATCTTCGGTGTAACGAGATCAAGCAGTGCCAGTGTTTCCGCAGTCGAAGGGAGTCTCACGGTTCCCACCCAAGTTCCGTTACTCGGCTTGTTCTCCAGGAAAAGGCGGATAACCGGATGAGCAACGTCCCAGTTTGAGATAATTATTGCCACGGGTTCATGTTGAGCACTGGGGAGAGCGTCTAGCAACCCACCTGTGTGAGTTGAGAGCTTAGTGTGGGCACTATGCGGGAGTAGTCAAGAGACTTTGATTATAGGGTAATAGAGCCCTCCTTATATACAATACAGGGGGCTATTTGTGTCTATTTAGGACGAGTCGACATGACTCTAGATGACACGTGATGGAGTCATAAGATGTGTATCACGACATCCATCTGGCAGACAATAAGATCATCATTTGATCAACACTCCCCCACGCTGAAAACCACAGGATAGTGTTTGAAAGCGAAATCTTCATCGGCCATTCCTTCAGGACGAGTTGAACTCAAGTCCTAGTTGGGACCTGAACTTCTCGAACTTGACGCGTCCTAGGTTCTTGGTGAACATATCTGCAGGATTCTCACTGCCCGGAATAAAGAACAGTTCAACCTCTTCTTCCTCGACTCGCTCACGAATGTAGTGATAGCGGATGTCTATGTGTTTCATCCTGCGGTCTCGGTAGGCATTGCTGCCACTGAAGAGTGCACCCTGATTGTCACCGCAAATGGGTACTGGGATGGTGAGTTTGAACTGGAGTTCCGAAAGGACACTCTTCAACCACATCACCTGGCGACTACAATCTGAAATCGCCATGTATTCTGCTTCGGTCGAAGACTGCGCGACAGTGCGCTGAAGCCTAGACTGCCAGCAAATAATCCCGTCTGCCAATTTCGTGAAGAAACCAGTGGTAGACCTCCTCTTGATCGGATCAGCAGCCCAGTCTGAATCGCTAAATGCAATGAGCCCTCTATCCGTCGCACCATTGAAAATGAGCGAATAATTCCTAGTACCAGCCAAATAGCGGCAGATATACAGCGCTTTATGGAGGTGGTCTTGGGACGGATTGGCGGCAAATTGTGACAATTTGGTCACAGCAAATGCAATATCAGGACGTGTGCCTAGCATGATGAAGAGAAGAGATCCAATGACTGATTGGAATTTCTTCCTGAGCTCTGGATCGACTTCATCCTCATTTGGCATTGGAACATATCCAGCCGGTAGAGGGGTCGCTGCAAACTTGGCGTTCTGCATCCCAAAGCGCTCTAGCACCTTGTCGAGATAAGGAATCTGATCAATTTTGATCGAAGATCCTACTCTACTGAGGCGCACGCGCAAGAACTCTGGAGTATCTTCAGAATTGCGGCATTCCCATCGCTTGTTGAACTCAGCCTTGAGAAAGGCGAGGAGCTTCTTGTTCTTGGAGAAGAACAGAGCATCATCCACATAGACTATTATGACGGCTATGCTGCCATCAGAGTCCTTGTAGAAGAACACGCCGGCATCCGATGTTAGTCGGATCCAGCCCATGGCTTTCGTGGACTTGGTCAGCGCTTTCCACCATGCTAAAGCAGCTTGTTTGAGTCCATAGATTGCCTTGTGCAAGCGCATGACTTTGCGCTCTTGGCCTCTCGCCACAAAGCCTTCGGGTTGTTCCATGTAGACCTCTTCGTCAAGCTCTCCATAGAGAAAAGCCTTACTGACGTCGAGTCCAGACCAATGCCAATCATTTAGCGCTGCAAGCGCCATGACTAACCGGAACGTCTCATACCTGACGACAGGAGAGAATATCTCGTCATAGTCAACACCTTCGACTTGACTGAAACCCTTGGCAACTAGGCGGGCACGTTTTCGGCCATCAGATTTTTGGTCAAAGACCCAGCGACATCTGATAACCTTCCGTCCTTTCGGGCGGTCCACAAGGGAATAGACCTTGCGCTGACGAAGTGCCTCTAACTCGTCGCGGCAAGCATCAATCCAACCTTTCTGTTGTTCAGAAGGCAACCGCTTGATATCGCGGAACGTCCAATCGCGAATTTTGGACGTATCAGGTAGGTTCTCATTTGGAACCGCTTTTGACAGCAGCGCCGTGATGAGCTCTACTCCCCCTTCCCGGCATAGCTTCTCCATGCGTGCATCCTCGTCTAGATCATCAGAAGCACCCGCGTTTGAGGAATCTGGTTGCGAGCTAGGGCCGGGAACCCCTGCATCAGCACCGGTTGATGGTTGAGATTGGGAGCTACCCTTATCTTCACCAACATACCGCTTCCAGCCTCTGCTGTTCTGAATGTCACGGACTATATCCGTAGGGGTACGCTTTTCCCCATAGACGTTTCCTGGACGTGTAGGCACATTCCGCTGGCGTGAAGACCTTCGAGGCTCAGGAGCTGGTGAAGCTTCCCGACTTGGTCGTGGAATTCTACTTCTACGAGTCCTCTGAGGTTCATCCCGACGCTCTGGCGGTGGGTCCTGACGATTATGACCGTCGTCACCATCATCATTTCCCTGTACGGGAGGTGGTGGAGCCGGATCAGATGGCATGGGAAATGGAAAAGGATTATCTCCATATAGCCAATCTTCTCCGTCTACCTGTGGTGGATCTTGTGGATTCACTGGGTCATCACGTTCTGGAAATTCCTCTCCAACAGGAACGTGGGGTGGTCAATTGCTGTCAGGACAGCGGGGGAACAACTCCTCGTCGAACAATGCCTTGGTGGCGACAAACGTGGAATTGTTTGTGCGCATGAACAAAAATCCTTTCACACCATCAGGAATGCCCAAGTAGGTCATCAGCTCCGATTTGGGCGATAACTTGTTGGCGCGCTTCTCATCAGGGATAAAGACATATGCAGCGCAACCAAAGACTCGGAGTTCGGAAACATCCGGTTTTTCCTTGTGAAGAGCTTCAAATGGAGTTTTCCATTTTAGACGCCTGATAGGTGTCATATTGTAGATCCGTGTCGCATGTTTGATAGCGAATTCCCAATAAGAATTAGGAAGACAGGCAGTGAAGCGCATGGCTTCTGCCTTATCCATGATCGTACGATTGAAGCGCTCGGCATGCCCATTCTGCTGGTGAGCATATGGAGCACCCTTCTCCACTAGAATTCCTTGTTCCGCGAGAAATTCTTCCATTCCCATCCCCATGAATTCTCCCCCATTGTCAATATGCCACTTTTTGATGGTGACATTGAACTGGTTTTTGACCATCGCAATGAAATTGCGCATAGCCTGCTTGGCGTCGGATTTCTGCGCAAGGCATACTGTCCAGCCATAGGAGAGTGCTTCGTCGAAGAAGCTCATGAAGTAGCGGTACTTGTGATAAGACACCGTGGGAAATTGTTTGAGATCCGAGTGGATCAAATCAAACGGATTCTCCGCTCGTTTTTCGGAAGGCGGGAAGGCACATTGGTGCATTTTCCCTTGTGCGCATCCTTTACACGGTCGGGTTTCCTCGGGAAATACTAGGTCTTCTGGAAAGCCCTTGGTATTCTTCTTTGCCTGACGTAAAACGTCTTTCGACGGATGTGCAAATCGCCGGTGCATGATCTCATAATCCACCTTGTAAACAGTGGACATGGATCGCACTGTCTCAGCCGTACTAGGCTTTGACATCAGGAAGTACAATGCAATGTCCTTCCCTAGAGTTCTAAACTCCATGATCGAGAGTGGGGACTTCCCTCGATGTAAGCTGATCCGCGATTCGTCTCCACGAACGCGAGATCCTCCTTTGAGTAAGGAGCCCAAAGACATGAGACGACCATGTAATCCTGGCACTAGGTACACTGGATATATCTGAGAAGTCACCATTGTCTTTTCTCCATGCCTTGTGACGTAATGATCGATGAAGGCTGTTCCTCGACCA